TCTCCCTCACCACCAACACCCACACCACCGGCCCCCCGACTGGAACATCCTTCAGCACCAGCACCCTCGCGCCCAGCTCCTCACGCCCACAATCCACAACTCTCACCACTCACGCCCCTCCTTCCACCACCACCACCAGGGTGACACCAACTTCCCACAGAGTTGTCACGCCAACGGGCCCTCACAACCCAACCTCGGCCTCCTCCTCCACCACCACGACTTCTGGCCGCTCTGAGCCCACCACAGCGGCCCATGCCACTCCTCCGGGCAACTCCAGCACAGCCTCCCCACTCACACGAACCACCGCGGGCACCACCCACCAACTGGACTCGGTCAGCACGGCCAAGACCACCATCAGCACCACCGGCAACCTGGGCTCACCCACGGCCACCTCGGCCACGCCTGCTTCCGCCTCACCACCACACACCACCATCTCCTCCACCCCCACCCCAACCACTGCGTCCACCAGCACCTCGGAAACCAGCTCCCACACTCCCACCAGGCCACAAACCCCCTCCACCACTCTCTCAGCCTCCACGCTCTCCCGAGCCACCAACACCCACACCACCGGCCCCCCGACCGGAACATCCTTCAGCACCACCACCATCGTGCCCAGCCCCTCACCCCCACAATCCACAACTCTCACCACTGACAATCTTCCTTCCACCACCACCACCAGAGTGACACCTACGTCCCAGAGAGTTGTCACGCCAACGGGCCCTCACAACACCACCTCGGCCTCCTCCTCTAGCACCACGACTTCTGGCCGCCCTGAGCCCACCACAGCGGCCCATGCCACTCCTCCGGGCAACTCCAGCACAGCCGCCCCACTCACACGAACCACCGCAGGCACCACCCACCACCTGGACTCGCTCAGCACGGCCAAAACCACCATCAGCAGCACCGCCAACCTGGGCTCACCCACGGCCACCTCGGCCACACCTGCTTCCGCCTCACCACCACACACCACCATCTCCTCCACCCCCACCCCAACCACTGCGTCCACCGGCACTGAGGGACGCAGCTCCCACACTCCCACCGGGCCACACACCCCCTCCACCACTCTCTCTGCCTCAACGATCTCCCTCGCCACCAACACTCACACCACCGGCCCCCCGACTGGAACATCCTTCAGCACCAGCACCCTCGCGCCCAGCTCCTCACGCCCACAATCCACAACTCTCACCACCTACGCCCCTCCTTCCACCACCACCACCAGGGTGACACCAACTTCCCACAGAGTTGTCACGCCAACGGGCCCTCACAACACCACCTCGGCCTCCTCCTCCTCCTCCAGCACCACGCCTTCTGGCAGCCCTGAGCCCACCACAGCTGCCCATGCCACTCCCCCGGGCATCTCCAGCACAGTGTCCCCAGTCACCCAGACCACCGCGGGCACCACCCACCCCCTGGACTCAGTCAGCACGGCTAAAACCACCATCAGCACCACCGCCAACCCAGGCTCACCCACGGCCTCCTCGGCCACGCCTGCTTCCGCCTCAGCATCACACACCACCATCTCCTCCACCCCTACCCCAACCAGTGCGTCCACCCGCACCGCGGGAACCAGCTCCCACACTCCCACCGGGCCACACACCCCCTCCACCACTCTCTCTGCCTCAACGATCTCCCTCGCCACCAACACCCACACCACCGGCCCCCCGACTGGAACATCCTTCAGCACCAGCACCATCGCGCCCAGCTCCTCACCCCCACAATCCACAACTCTCACCACTCACGACCCTCCTTTCACCACCACCACCAGGGTGACACCCACTTCCCAGATAGTTGTCACGCCAACGGGCCCACACACCCCCACCTCGGCCTCCTCCTCCTCCTCCAGCACCTCGCCTTCCGGCAGCCCTGAGCCCTCCACAGCTGCCCATGCCACTCCCCCGCGCATCTCCAGCACAGCCCCACCAGTCACCCAGACCTCCTCGCGTACCACCCACCACCCAGATTCTTATTCCTCAGTCCAAAGCACCAGTTCAACCGGAAGTTATAGTTCTACTCCCTTCTCTGTGGGTCACAGTGGAAACCCAACTTCTGAAACTTTATCCCACTCCCCAGGGACATCTCCTGTGGTCCCAAGCTCCAGTCTCACTTCTTCTGTTTATGTTACTTCCAGTTCTTCCTCTCCCACAGCCTCCCACACCTCCCCATCCTTCACACCCTCCGCTTCACCTCTCCCTGTTTTCTCTCCTAGCAGCTCTCTGCCTTCCTCGCCCAGCACTTCCACTCACAAGACTTCCCCTGGTCTTGTGACTGCCTCTCCCACTCCCTCCTCCCCCACTCCTCTCAACTATACTTCCCCACCTTTCCACCTCTCCTCATCTGCCCCACAACCCTCTTCCAGCACTGTTGACTTTTCCACATCCAGGACTACAGCCAGGGCACCCAGTTCATCCCCTGTGTCCTCTCATTCTACCACCTCCAAATCAACGTCTCTCACCAGCCAGTCCTCTACTGACAGCCTCTTTTCGTCCACCCTGGGGGTCACTTCCATCTGGACGTCTTCAGCAACCAACCTCACCTCGCAGCCACCTGTTCCTACCGGCCTCAGCACCACCGTCCTGCCTAGCTCCCCCCCTGGGCACAGAAGCTCCACCTGGCAGCCCCTGGGGACCATCTCCCCTGTGCCTTCTTCCTCTTCTCCTCTAGGCACACCTCAGCCGAACACCCCTGGTGAGTTTGTCTCTGAGCCTACAGCATCCCTGGGCCCCACGGGCTCGCATGGAGGCCCCTTACTGTCTGTGTCTGCTCTGCTAGACTAGCCAAGCTGTGCCCAGGTGGCCACAATTCGCTTGGTTTGTTTTTGCTTCTTGGGTCACACCCAGCGATGCTCATGCGTTAGTCCTGGCTCTGCACTCAGGAACCATTCCTGGCGGTGCTCAGGGGACCATGTGGGATGCCAGCGATTGAAACTGGGTCAACCTCATGCGAGGCAAATGCCCTACCTGCTGTGCTATCGCTCCAGCCCCTGCAATTCCCTCGGGACACTCCGCTTCTTCTCCCAGACTCCCCTGGCTCCCACGGACAGGTAGACCTGCCTCCCGGGGCTCTGCCTCAGTGTTGCCTCTGGCAGCCGAAGGCCTGCGTCAGCTTGGGGTTACCAGTGTGCCCTGGTGTGGTCTGGTCAGGTCCCGGCAGCTGGCCGTGTATCTGTGTCTGTGGCATCCCTCTGCCACCTAAGTTGTAAGACTGCCCCCCTGAGCTCCCCCAGTGCCAATGCACCTGGAGCCTCCCCCCTTGCCGCCCTGATGCGACCCCGTCAGTGGACCCAGACCCTCGCAGCCGATGCCCATATCCACAGGCCAGTCCAGAGTCCCCCATGCCAGGACAGTGCTGTAGCCTCCTTGGTCACTGGCACCCAGGAGTCGGGCTTCTGTAGGCTGCAGGCCCAAGTGGAGAGTCTGGCTGGGGGTTTCTTCCCTGGGGTCACACTCATGCTCCTTGCCTGTCCCGCAGATTCTGAAACCAGCAAACCAGAGAAGCCGATGCCTGCAGGTTGGGGCCCGTGCGGAGGAGGGGGCTGGGGGGCTGGGGCAGATGAGGGGGCCGGGCAGGTGCTGAGAACCATCGCCCTTCCCGCCCAGTGCAGCCATGCATGGGCCCTAACGCAGCCACACGCTGTCCCCACATGAGGGGAGGTGGGATGTCAGGCGGGAAGCTGTGGGGCCCTTAATGCTGGCTCTGAAACCGCTGCTCACCGCCAGAGGTCTGCAGCGTGAACGAGGTGCAAGAGGAGATCACGGTCCAGGGCTGCACCGCCAACGTGACAGTCACCCGCTGCGAGGGCGTCTGCACCTCCTTATCCAGGTGCGTGTAGCCGACAGTCAGGTGGGGGCCCCAGGTGAGGCTGAAGGGCGGGCGGGGCTTCGCCTGGCCACACACCAACCCGGGTCCCTGCTGGCCCCTCTGCAGCTACAACCTGGACACCAAGCAAGTGGACACGCGCTGCAACTGCTGCCACCCTGTGGACACCTACGAGCACTGGGTGGAGCTGCCCTGTCCAGACCCCCAGGCACACGACCAGCCGCTCGTCGTGCTGCTGCTGAAGTTCACCAGATGTGCATGTGGCCCTCAGCCCTGCGCCAACTAGACCCCCGGCCCCATCTGCTGGGCCTGGCACCCTCAGGGAAGCCTGGCAGTGCCTGACCAGCCCCTGCCCAGACCCCTGAGGTGGTCTCCTGGGGAGAGAGCTTGGGGGATTCAAAGAGCCAGGACATGCCCTGAGGTGCCAGGCACAGGTGACAAATAAATGGGCCAAAGCACAGGTGTCTCGAGTGCCGCCACTGCGTTCTACACACCTTCCGGGACCCTCCCAGAGGAACCACGGGGTGAACTTGTCCCTTGGCCTGTGCCACACAGAGGTCGTGCGGGTCTAGCCCCAGGGCCCCTGCCTGGACATGTCCTCACCCAAAGACCCTCGTCATGTGGGTGGCCGGGGAGGGTTGGGGCTGTTGGGCGCTACAAGCACAGCCCAGATTCACAGGACCACGAGTGCAGAGGGGAGTAAACCACAGGGTGGGGGCGACCAAGGCTGCAGGTCTGTGGGTCGGACCCAGCACCCCGCCTGGGGTGGAACCCATAAGCCCCCGACAGCAGACTCCGGGGTTCCCACGGGGTATCCCCATGGAGCTCCACCACCGTAGGGAGCCCAGAGAACAACACTGAGGTTTCTCAGGCAGGGCCGCCAAGACCAGGGAGCCTGGCAGAGAGCTTCAGAGCACGAAGGCCTGACTGGTGAGCAGGTGGGTGCCCCCAGCCCCCAGCAGAGCCGTGTCCACTGTGCTGAGCAGTGCTGCCCTTGGTCCCCGAGCAATCCTCCTCCCCAAAAGAACCACCCGGTACCGGCTTCCCCGGAGCCCAGGACCTGGCACGGAGGGCGCCCCAGAAACTAGCCCAGCGTGTCACTTCCCTTTAATGCGAGTCACAGCCCCGGAGCCGCCCCAACCCCACAGCCCCAGCTTCTCCACGCTGCGCCGTCCCCACGCACAGGTGGGCGTGGACTCAGACGGGACGGAGACAAGGACGAGAACAAGGAAGCAGGCGGGTGCCGCCGCCGGTCCTGGCGCTTAGAACTGCTGGGCCAACAGCTCGCACAGCCGCTGGGAGACGCTCTCCTTGCTGGCACGCAGCGTGAGGCGGTAAACCTGCAAGGAACGTGGCCTCAGAGCTCAGCCCCACGCCGGCCCGCGGCTCAGCAGCACCAGCGCTACCTCCGGAGGAATGAGGCGGCTTAGCTCTGACCCGCAACTCCCTCCTGCTATGGCGCAGGAAGGGGAGGGAAATCCCAGGCCCACGGGCACAAGCAGGGCCCAGGAGGCTCAGACACTGCCCTGCAAGACAGCAGAGCTGCCCAACTCAGGACCCGACAGCGCGACCTGCAGGGCGGCTAAAGGGGCTGTATGGGGTGGTAACGGGTACGGCCAGCCCAGGCAGCCAGTTCCCGGAAGCAGACCTGGGCTTGCAGATTGGGCTCCAGACGCAGCAGGCAGCCAATCTGAGTGGTTCTGGTGTGGATGATCCCAGCTCCCACAAAATTAGCAGGATTGGGGTCGACCTCTTCAAGGAGTGCAGAGCCAAATCCGATAATCTGTGCAGAAAGACCAGCTCAGAAGTCGGATGGACGGGGCAGGGGCGAAGGCGCTGACCGTGCACAGGGCCAGGAGCGACCCCTCAGCACAGAGCCAGGAATAGCCCTGAGCACTGCCACGGGCAGTCAAAGCGCCCCCCCCACCCCCACCCCAAGACAAGAGTAACCAGAGGCCAGTAGAGACCCGCGAGAGCACCACGGGGGTGGGGAGGGGCCCGAGGCAGCACCGACCTTGGCTTTGGTGATCTCCGTGTCCATCGGGTGCTTGGCCTTGAAGATGTTCTGCACTTCCTGCTGAGGGCTGAGAGCAAGAGCAACGCAAAGCCCCTGTCGCCCAGGCTCCGGGCAGCTGGCTGTTCCCGCCTCCCGCGCCACAGGACAGGGTGTCCGCCTCACCTGCTCAGCTGCTTCCAACGCTGAAAGAAATCCTGAGAGGCCATTTCTGTGGGCTGGAAGAACTTGTTGAGTGTGATCGGCAGCTTAACGGACACGTTCTGCAAGGTGCCGCCATACCTGCGAGCAGAGATGGCGACAGTGGACATGGGCACCTGGAGCTTCAGTCTTGGGGGTCTGAGGGGGGTGGGGGGGTGGGAGGGGTGCTCCTGACTGATCCATTCAAGATCAAAGCAGAATGTTCTGAAAGACCAAGTCAGAAAGGACAGGAGACCGCTCTCAGAGCACAGCCTCGGGGGTCCGCCCTCCCCCCTGCACTCTCTGAAGGAAGGGAACTGAGCACAAAGACGACAGTGGGCCCATCCACACAGCCCAGCCCAGCCTGACCCGCCAGTCTGTGCCAGGGCCCTGTCCCACCTGAACTGGACGTTGAGGACGGGTGCCTCGGTGAAGTCGGATATACACTCAATGTTCACCACCTGCTGCACCTGCGCGCCCCCGTCCACGGTGGGATCCACGGGCTTGGTCTGCAGGCTCAGGTGTGCGGGAGTCAAGGTGGCCACGTCAGTGCCAGGCCCCACCCCAGGCCCAGCGTGAGGAACAGCCAGGAGCATGGGTTGTGTCCTTCCCAGACCGCAGGCTCTGAGGCACCCCCGGGTGCCTTCGTTCCCCAGTGCTCAAACTCCTGACCCAGCAGGCCAACACACAAGGTGCCTGGGGCAGAGGGGCCGCGGGGACCTAGCAGTAGCCCTGGAAGACTAAGCTAATGTCACAACAACGTTTCTAAGTGAAACAGAACGACTGTCTTAAGTGGCACCTGAAAATAGCACAAAGCACAGGCCCTGGTGAGCTGTGCCGAGTGAGCCAGGCGAGGACCCTCACCCAGTCAAGTGCCGCTGTGCCTCGCCCTGGGCTCCGGGAAGGTCTGAACCTCTGCCTTTGTGGGTCCGACATCAGCACATCTCCACATCTATTCGTCTGACTCAGCTGCCTGCATTCACTGCCCAGCTGCGTCTGGGCAGGAAAGTCCCTCGGGAACCACAAAAGCACCACCTCAGGGCCCTGCTGGGCACTGTGGCAGGGAGGCCGCAAACATTTCCTCTTCCTCCACTCAGGGGATACCCAGCCATGACTGGACCATGGCAGCTGGGAGTGAAGGTGACTTGGCCCCAGGGGACATGGGTGGCCTCCGGGGCGGAGCCTGTGATCCATACGCAGGACCCCAGGCATGTCCCCTGAACACTGCCAGATGTGGCCCCCAAACAAAACAAAAACTATCATCACACGAGAGCCAGACTCGGCAGGCCCGTGAGGACGGTGGCAGATGCAGCCCGCTGACCCCACCCAGCTCCAAACCCCCTCTCAGCAGACAGCGGCTTCCACCAAGGCCCCTGAGGGGAGGGGGCGATGGGGACAAGGATATTGGCCTGCAGCTCGTCGGAGCACAGCAGCGTGGGGCTGAAGTTGAAGAACTGCGTGGAGGTCTTGTTCCCGTAGAAGATGAGCATGCGGCCTGGAAGAAGCCCAGGGTGGTCTCACGCGCCGGACACGGGCTCAGCACCACAGCCCCTGTGGGCAGCCCCAGCCAGCACAGGGAGATGGCGCCAGCAGGCCCATGGCAGGCTGCAGCGGCATGACGCTGTCTGCGCCCAGAATCCAGACGACCCCCTAGTGCTCGCCCTCCGCGAGCCTCCCTTAGCAGCTCCAGGAGAGCTGGACACCCCAGCTTCCTGAGGTAGCTCCAGAGCAGGACAGTGACCCGAGTGGACGCCTGGCCCCACCCATCCCCTGCATCTGCAGGGACAGAAGTGCCACCCTCCAGGGCCACAGAGATCGGCCTCTGCCTCCGGCGTCAGGGGGAGCGTCTCCTTCCATTCTGGAAAAAACTCCCATAGCCTTTGTGTCTGAGCACCCAGTTCTGGGCCACACTGACATGGCCATCCCTCTGAATCCAGAACCTTCCCTCTTCCCCCGGGAGCCTCTGTCCCCAAAGACCCCCAGATGGCCCTGGCCTTCGTGTCTGCCTCGGCCTTCTGTAAGGAGCAGCACGGGCGGCGAGTGGCTCCCTGGTGCGCCAGCGCTGGGCGGCACACACGGGCTGCGTGTCGGCACTGAAGCCTGGCTCGGGCCTCGCCAGTGTCCTCCCGGCTCCTCCCACCGCACCCCGCGTCCCTTTGGATCAGGAGCAGCCATCTGGGCCGGGCCTCTCCCTGGGTGGTCCTCAGCTCCTGCCACCCCCACCCCCACCCCAGCAGAGCTCAGAAGCCCACCTGCTTGCCCACGCCACGCCCACTCCCTGCCTGCTGGCAGACTGGGTGCTGCCTCGTGGGACTTCGACGCGGAACCGGCCTGTGTCCCACATGCTCGCGGAGGAAATGACTCAACACGCCTCCCTCGTTTGTACGAAGAACTTCTATTCAGAAAGTCCACACGTACCTAAGTTCTGCCGGAACTCAGACTTCAGGCCGACCTGCAGCAGCTGGTTCTCAAACAACACGCCGTTGTTCTTGCAGACGAACCTGTGGGCCACCACGGGACAGCCATGCCGCTTGGGCGGGGGAAGGGCGCAGCGAGCATCGCAGCCAGGACGGAGGGCATGTGGCGGGAGGGGACAGAGGCGGGGAGGGGACGGCAATGGGAGGGGACATGGCAGTGGCGGGGGACAGGGGCAGGAGACAGTGGTGGGGCAGGGACAGCGCTGGCCTGTTTCCTCGCAGCGACCTGACTCCTTCAACTGGGTCCCAGTCAGGGGCCGAGTGGGGTGAGTCAGCAGTGCGAGGCTGCCGAAAGCAGGAGCACAGTCCAGCTCAAGCCCAGCCCGCGTGAGCACCAAGCCCACGCAGACACACCATGACTCACGGGCACTCAGACCAGAGGGAGAGGGGAGCTGAGGCAGAGAGACGAAGGCCAGGCTCTGCCGTCCTGGGAGTCCGGCGCGAGCGGCCAGGGACGCGGCAGGGAGCAGCAGCGGGGAGTCTTAGCGGCCCACCCTCGCCCCCGAGGAGCCTGGAGGAGTCCCCTTTGCCGAGCCCAGGGCCCCGCAGGCGAGGTGCTCTCAGTCTCAGGAGCCACGCCAAGAAGGCACCGGCACCCCCACCGACACCCACCCAGGACACCCACACCAGGGACCCCACCAAGGGCTCCTGGGGGGCTGCAGGCCGGAGCAGGCGGCCTTGGCAGGAAAGGCAGGACAAGAAAGGGCCCCAGCGAGAGGCACAGGCTGCCAGGAGCCAGCAGCCGCCGGCATGAGGGCGGACGCAGGGCATCCTCGGAGACCTGGGGCTCTGGGGCGCACCACACTGCCCAGGGCCACGCGACTACCAAGAGTCACCGAGCCTCAGCCAGGCCGCCACCCGGGAGGGGAACACAGCAGGTGACAGGCAGTGAGCCCCGAGTGCGGACACAGGTGACGGGTGACACTTGTCACACTCCAAGAACGCTTGTCCCCAGTACCTGGCAAAGTTGTCTTCGGAGCCAGGAGCGAGGGGTGCTGCCGTGGACGGTGAGTCTGAGAACACGTCCACCAGCAGCCCTCCTGCCGAGGTGGGGGGGGGCCCTGCAGGGGCAGAGGGCGCCCCCAGGCCCAGGAGGTCTGCAGACGGGGAAGGCGTGGACTGTGAGAGAGGAGAGGGCCTGTGAGACCAGCTCCAGGGACACACCCCCGCCCTGCTCCGTGCAGCCCTGCGGACTCTTGTACACGCAGGCAGGTGGAGGCACAGGCTGGGCGGTGGGAGGGGACAGCACACCCCTGCCCCCCACGACCCCCCCACGCCGGCCCCACCCCAGCTCGCTGAGCCCAGGAGCCGAGTGGCCAGGTGGCCACCAGGGGGTGCAGGCTGCAGGGAACAGGTGGGCACAGGCGGAGGGCGCGAGAGAACACGCACCGTGGCGCTGGCCACGGCCTGGCCGGGGTCCGGGCCCCCGTTGAGGTCGGCGCCACGCTCCCGCTTGCTCGCCTCCAGGCCGCCCACGGAGCTCCGGCCCTTCTTCCTCTTCAGCTTGGCCAGGATGGACGATTCCCGCTCTGGGAACGGTGGCATCTCCTCCAGCACTGTGGCCTGGAGAGGCCGCATGTCAGCGGGCACCAGGCAGGGGTGGGCGGGGCTGAGTGGGTGGGGCCTGGCAGGGGAGGGGCGGGGTCGACCGGAGCAGAAGACAGCCGGGAGGACGGACGGAAGGAGAGGGGGGAGGGCAGAGGGGACGACAGACGGGCGGGGCCGGAGCCGCGCGCACCAGGATGTCGGTGCTGGCCACAGTGCTGAGGCGCAGGTACTCCACCGCACGCTGCTGCAGCTCCACGTCGGCGTTGCGGAGCTGGCTGTCACTGCGCAACACGTCCTGGATGGTGGCCTTGACCTCCGGGAAGAGATTGACGAACTTGATGTAGGCGGACAGGAGGAGCGCCCGGCCAGGCACACTGCACAGGTGGAACTTGGAGTGCAGCAGGTGGAACTGAGTCAGGGGGCTGCGGGCAGAGCGGGAGAGACCCTCATCACCAGAGTCACATGCCTGCAGCCACCCATCAGTCCACAGACCTCCTTACCTCACCGCAGCCAGCCACGCCTCGCTCCCCAACCCCCCCACATACCAAATGACCACCACTGCCGCACCCCACAACCTGCCCGCGGCCACCCTGCAGCCGCCTGCAGCCGTCCCACGACGACCGCAGTTACCTCGCAGCCACGTTGAAGCCGCCCCACAGCCACTCCAGTCACCCCCCAGCCACCCACAGCCACACCAACAGCCACCTGCAGCTGCTCCACGGCTACCCTCGTCTCCCCAGACGCTCCACATTTGGCCCAGTGGCCCCCAGCCACCCGGAAGTCTCCTCACAGACGCCCCAGTCACCCCCCAGCCACCCCGTGGCTGCCTCAGCCACTGCGCGTGCTACAATGCCCACCTGTGGCCCAGGTCACACAGCCATCCCCAGCTCTCACCTGGATCTCGGGTCCCCGGCAATCAAGTTGCCGAACTCCCCCAGGATGTAGCCCCCCACTTTGACCAGGTTCTCGTGGCACGCTGGGGCCTGCAGAGCCTGTGGGGACAGAGGTGTGAGCCATCGGCGCGGCGGGCAGGCAGGCGGAGCCGGGGCGGGGAACCCACCTCGAACACGGTCTTGGCGGCGTAGCCCTGCACGTCGTCCCGGTTGGTGACGATCTGGATCACGCGGAACCACACCTCCTCGCTCACGTGGTCGCCGGCGATGCGGATGAGGTTGAGGATGGTGTCCACGTACCACGCGTAGTCCACAGCGTACTTCTCGGCCAGGATGGCCACCTTCAGCACCTGCGGGGACCCGACAGGGTGGGCGCTCAGGAAGTCCCCGCAGCGGCCCCTCCCGAGACCCCACGCGAAACAGGGTCAGGACCACATGGTGCAGCCCCCCGGACGCTTGCCAGGGCAGCTGGGTTGGTTGGTTTTTGGGACTTTTTGGGTGAGAGGCAGGGGCATCTCCAGTGGTGCTCGGGGCTTACTCCTGCCTCGGTGTTCCCAGCTCAGGACCGCTTCAAGCAGGGATCAGATACCCTACGCGGTGCCGGGGATCAAACCCAAGATCACCTTGTGTAAGGCAAGTGCCTTGCCCCATCCCGTCTCTCAGGCCTCTGACCACCTCTCCTGGACCACAGAGCTCCACACCACGCTGGAGCAGGCGACAGAGCCAGTCACCCGAGCAGTGACTCCGATGCCCCCACCGCAGCACTCACGATCTCCTCCCGGATGCAGTAGTCGGCTGCTTCCAGGTAGCTCAGCATCTCGGCCACAATCTGCTGCGCGTTGCTGCGATCACACATGGCGTAGAGCAGGTCCACGGCCCGCTGCCGCACGCTCACGTCCCGCTCGGTCTGCAGGGGAGGCACAGGGAGGCCATGGTGGGCCCTGTGTCCCAGACTCCGAGCTCAGGGCTGTCAGATGGAAGGGGAGCCCAGGCGGTGGCAGCCCCGAGCCCGCAGGCCACACATGCTGACCACAGGGCTCTAGCCGCCGCCCACAGCACCTGGGCAAAGGGGCATTTCCTTTGGCCAAGAGCAGGTTTCCTTTCAAAGCAGGACCGTGCAGTTCTCTTTCACGGTGACCTGTTTCACGGTTTGGGCCTGCTTGGGACCCCGCGGGCCAACAGGGATTGGCGTGCAGAGCACTTGCCTTGAGGGCATTGATGACCGTCTCAATGTGCGTCTTGACAGCCTCATGGGAGAACTCGGAGCTGGCCAGCGCACACATGCTCTCCAGCGCCAGGTAGCGCAGGTTGGTCTCACGGTGCTGCAAGAACTGGCCCAGCTGGTTACAGGCACGCACCAGCAGGTTGGGCTCGCTGCAGGGGGCAGAGGGGCATGGTGCCAGCCGGGCAGGGCGGCCAGGGGGCCACAGAACCGCCGCGCCCTTCCACAGCCGCCCACACCTCCCTTGGGAGAGTTCAGAGCTCCGAAACGTTCTGATAAGGCTGACGTCAGCAGAGACTGAAGGCCAGCTCCATGCAGACGGGCATCACCGAGCCCACTCACCACCCCCTCCCTCTGCGTGCCCGAGAGCAGCCTGCACCACCGCGGGAGCCCAATGTGGGCGGTCTCGGCACCGGCCCGGCCCCCGGAAAGAATGCTGGGAAATCGGGAGACCCCGGCCCACCTGTCATGGTGGATGACGAGGCTGATGGCCTCGAAGAGCACCGCGTTCTTGGCGTTGGAGTGCTGCACCTTCTTGGACTTGGGTGGCTCCTGGGCCTTGTTGAGGATCGTCTCCAGGCACTCAGTCAGGCGGCCTCGTGCTGCGGGGTCTTCTGGGCAAGAGATGCAGCCTCAGCACAGCGGCCGCCTGCCCAGCCCCACCGGCCCACTCTGCGCACTGTCAGCCACTGAGGGCACGACTGAGGGTCGGGAGAGCCCTGAATGTGGGCACCACACACCACCTCACAGGAGACACCACACTGGTGCACACCACACCCACATGCCACATGTGCCACCACAAGCACTCTACCATACATGAGCCACACCACACACGCCTCGTGCACATTACAGACCACCACACATACATACTATATACGTGCCACAGACATGCATGCACACACATGCCACCACACGAGCACATAAGACACATGTATCGTACTACATTTGCACAAACCATCAAATGCCACATCCTACCACACACAGCATCCCACAAGTCATCACATACAACTACATACATGTGCACACATCACCACACATGCACACACATCTGCACATGCCACATGCGCATACCATACAGGCACACACCACCAGACTTGCCACCATACATGCATAAGTCATGACACATGCACATACGTGTGTACACCACATACACATGCACACATGACCACACACATATACCGCATGCATGCACTACACACACATGCACACCACCATACACAGGACACATACACACATGCACACACACAAAACCGTGCTAAGTCAACATATTCATGTTATGAGTCACAGCATGACTGAGAAAGGCTGAGGGAAACGGAAACAAAACACTTTCCTCTGCCCCAGCTCTTAGCACAGCAAAGAAAGCGTCACGGGGCACCAAAGCGAGAAGATGCTCGGGGGCCTCCAGCCGAACCCAAAAGTCAGGCGTGAGGCCCGAGACGGCTCGAGCGCCACCACAGCTAGAGCCACACCAGGCTGGGCTGGACACATCAGGATCGGGCATCAGCAGGGCAGAGGAGAGGGGCAGCCGGGTCTGGTCTGGGCGGCCCCTGACCCGGGAGCCAGATTTGACAGAGAGCGAGCCAAGCCCCTTAGGGAGGGGAGACGGGGGGGGGGGGGGAGCCGCTGCTCCTCAGGGCTCAGGGCTGACACGGTGCTGGCCTTGCATGCAGCCGACCCAGGTTTGATCCCAGCATCCCACAGAGTCCCCCGAGCCCACCAGAAGTGAGTGCAGAACCGGAAATAACCCCTGAGCACTGCTGGGTGTGGCCCACACCTCCCCCAAAAGAGGCCCTGGACACAGAAAGTGGCACAAATGGTGAGTGACTGCAGGGACTGTGTTCAGAATGACCTTCATTCCAACACGAGGCCACGGCTATAGCGGTCTCTGGGGGCCAGCTGGGAGGCCCAACGCTCCCACACACGCGTGAGCGAGGAACCCTCTGTGGGCTCAGAGAGACGGTCCAGCAGGGAAGGCACTTGCCTCGTACAAGGCCACCCACGTTCAATTCCCTGGACCACAAGTAGTGCTCCAATCTCCACTAGGAGTGATCCCCGAGCAGAGTCAGGGGTGATCCCCAAGCACAGAGCCAGGGGTGAGCCCCGAGCAGAGTCAGGAGTGAGCTGTGAGCCCTGCCAGATGCGGCCCAAACACAAACACACAAAGCCCGACTCTCTGGCCCTTCCCTCGGGAGGCCCGTGTGGACGAACATACACTCTTCGGAACCTCCACACCTCGTCCACCTAGCGGCCCAGTGCGCACGCGGCGTGGCCAGAGGAGCTGGGCCTTACCTGGGGGCGGGTACGACTGCAGCAGCCGCAGCAGCTTCACCGAGAGCCAGGGCGCCGGAACAAAGTAGTACGTGTAGTCCTGGAGGTCCGTGGAGGCCGACGTGACGATCTGAGGGGGCAGGCGACCGTCACGGCAGGCCCAGCATGGCGGAAGCTCCCCGGACGCTTGCAGAGCAACACAAGTCCGGGGCTCCCAAGGGAGGGTACACAAGGCGCAGCCTGGTGCTGAGGGCAGCGCCCACCTGTGCCCGTGCCCGTCCGGGTGAGCCTGAGGGTATCCTGTGCCCATGTCCGTCATGTGTGGGCCCTGAGGGTGCCCGTGACCGTGTCCATCCAGGTGGCCCTGAGGGTGTCCATGCGCGTGTCCGTTGTGTGTGGACCCTGAGGATGTCCCGTGCCCGTGTCCGTCCGGGTGACCCTGAGGGTGCCTGTGCCCATGTCCGTCATGTGTGGGCCCTAAGGGTGCCCGTGACCGTGTCCGTCCGGGTGACCCTGAGGGTGCCTGTGCCCATGCCTGTCGTGTGTGGGCCCTGAGGGTGTCCCGTGCCTGTGTCCATCCAGGTGGGCCCTGAGGGTGTCCGTGCCCGTGTCCACCCGGGTGGGCCTTGAGGGTGCCCGTGCCCGTGTCTGTTGTATGTGGGCCCTTCAGGGGTGGGCCTTGCCTGGCCTGGGAACGGCTGTGCCATGTGTGCCTGTGAGGGTGGCCCTTACCCCCGGAACAGGCTCCTGACCCGGACTCGCACACTTTCCTCCCCAGGAGGGAGACTGGTGCCCACCTCACTCCATGGCGCGCACCCGCGTGGGCTCCGGGCCAGAGGGCACTGCCATCGCCCCAGCCTCTCCCGACCGACACTGGGCAGGAGCCGCCCCACCTTACAGCCAACAGTGCCAGAGCTTGGGAAGATTCTCTGGACAGCTCAGCAGTCCGGCATGGACACGCAGCTGCAAGACGGTCTGCCCCTCACACAGGGACAGGGACAAGAGTGGGCCCCAAGGTAGAGGGGACAGGCCTACACGGCAACATGACAGAAGTCGCAAACACTGGAGGGAAAGGAAGAATGCACAGGACTTCCTGCTGACAGAACCAAATACGGAGCGAGGACAGCAAATGTCACCCTGCGCGACTGAGCCCAGTCATGTGAGCGTTTCCTGAGCGTGTCAAGCCGGACGCGCTCGAGAAGCCTCTGGCGGAGCACTGAGTTCAAGCGTTTCCCAGTTAACATGGCACCAACAGGCGGGGGTCACACCCACCACCTGGCCCCCTGGCGCCGTGTAATCCCATCAGCGGCCAAGACTCAGAGACTATAAAATCCAGATCCCGGAACCGCGCGGCCGCGAATGCGACATCTTATCAAAACTTTTTTTTATGACATCTTATTGTCTTATTTCTACTTTGGACAAACTTGCAGGCTGTCGAATGTAGCCTGCCCACAGGGCAGAGTCTGGCAAACTCCCCGTGGCGTACCAAATATGCCAAATACCAGTAACAATGATGGGTCTCATTCTCCTAAAGAGCCGTGAATATAATCTCAGGGCTAGGATGAAAGAGACGTTACTGGGGCCTGCTCGAGGCAATCGACGATTAACAGGATGATGAAATGAAATGAAATGAAAACAGTGCCACGGACCTAAGTGTGCGCCCTCCCCATCTTTCTAGGTTCTCTGGTGGGGCCCCACGCAGTGCTCAGGTCTGAGCCTCCTTGCCATGCTCAGGCCTCTGCGTGTCACCAACTGACGAACTCTCCTGCGTGACAAGGGGCAGGGGCTCGGAACAGCAGCTTCCAGCTCAGCCAGGGCCAGCGAGGGGCCATGGGCACCACAGCGCCCATCACTGCTCCCGGAGAACTGTGTAAGCGTGAAGTCAGGCACACACACCAGCCCCTGAATCACCAGAGTGGGCAAGCTGACACCCCTCAGGGGCCCGGGAGTCAGAAAAGCATCGGAAAAGGAAACAGAGCTGGGAAGACCGAGGGACCCTCGACTCGGAAGTCTGCGACGTCACAGGGAGGGGAGGTGCTGGTGCGCAAACCTCCATGGCTGACAGGCAGCGCCATGAGCTCGGACCCGGGAGCAGCCTGACCAGCCCGACTCCCGAGGCCACGAGAAAGCCTGGGGCTGCAGAACAGGGACACAGTGCCACCTGGAGGTCACACGTGGAAGAGCGTGATGTGCGAGGACGTGGCAGCACAGACAAGCTGCGACCGTTAACAGCCAGTGCAGAAGGTGACGGACAGCCTAGTGTGGACACTCACAGTCCCCTCGAAGACCAGCCACAGCCCACACTAGCGCAAAGGGCCTCCACACAACAGGGATGGCAGGAGACTGGGACCAACGGGTCTTTCACGGAAGTAGCAGCCCCAAGGCCGACTGGCAGCTCCAGAAAAGACATCAAAGAACTGAGCAGAGGGTGGCAGGGGCGCCCCCAACACAGGCCGAGGGGCCGAGGGCAGCGGATATCCTGGCAACACCCAAGGCAGCACCTCCGCAGCCCCACGGACGCCAGGGTGGGGCACGGGAAATGCACGGGCAGCGTGACGACCTCGAAGCCGCGCACACATGCCCCTCCTGGGAAGGGACAGGTTGACGGCATCCGCCCGCCACGGGAAACCCGTGTCACAAGGAGAGAAGAGGAAAAGCCCGGTGCCACCCACGTTCCACAATGCGCAGCACAAAGGCCCAGGTCCGACAGTGCTGTGAGGGGCCAGTGAGCGGCGTGTGAGGTGAGGGGCGCATGAAGTGGGAGGCGAGTGTGAGGTGAGGCAAGAGTGTGAGATGACGTGAGGTAAAGTGAGGCAAGCGTGAGATGAGGTGAGGATGAGGTGACAAGACGTGGAGTGAGAAGATGTGAGGTGAAGCGAGCTAAGGAGACTGTGAGGCGAGCATGATGTGAGACAGATGTAAGGTAAGGTGAGTGACAGGGGGCCTAGAGTGAGGGGAGGTGAACGTGAGATGACGTGAGGCGAACGTAAGGCGAGCAGAACAAAATGAGGTGACATGAGACCAGGGTGAGGTGAGGGCGAGGCGAGTGTGATGAAACGAGGAGGCAACTACGAGGAGAGATGAGATAAGGAGAGGTCTGAGTTGAGTTTGACTGACACAAGTGTGAGGTGAAGGGAGTGTCACGTGAGGCCAAGTGTGAGGCGAGGTGAAACCAGCGTCACATGAGGTGAGACGACCGTGAAAACCCGTGTCAAAGATAAAATGCAGAGCCTGATGTCGGTCACAGTCCATACTGCTCAGCACAAAGGCCCGGTCCCGAATAGTGCGGAGGCCAGCGAGCATGAGGAGGGGAACATAAGATGATGAGATGAGGTATCAAATGAACCCAGTCTAAGGTGAGGTGAGACAGGCGTGACATGAGGTGAGGTGAAGTGAGGCAGGGTGACTGTGGCAAAGTGAGATGAGGTAAATGTGAAGAGAGATGAAGTGAGTGTGACATAAGGTGGGAGGGGAGGCAAGTGGGAGGTGAACATGAGGTGAGGTGAGTATGAAGCAAGGTGACTATGAGAACTGAGTGTGAGGTGAGATGAGGTGTGACAAGTGTGAAATGAAGTGCAGTGAGGTGACTGCAGTGAGGCAACTGTGAGGTAAGGTGACTGTGGAGTGAGATGAGAGTGGGAAATGAGATGAGGTAAGGTGAGATGAGTGTGAGGTGAGGCGAGTGTGAGGGGAGATGAGGTGAGGTAAGAGGTGAGCTGATGTGAATGTGAGATGAGGGGTAATGAAGTTACATGAGTGAGGTAGGTGAGTGGGGTGGAGTGTCAGGAAAGGAGAGTGTTAAGGTGAAGTGAGATGAGCGTGAGATGAGGCAAGTATAGGTGAGGCAAGTGCAAAGTGAGATGAAGTGAGTGTGAGGTATGGTGAGGCAACTATGAGGTTAGGTGACTGTGAGGTGAGTGGGAGGTGAGATAAGGTGAAGTGAATCAAGTGTGAAGTGAGGTGAGCATGAGTGAGGGTTAGTGTGAGGTGAGTGTAAAGTGAAGTGAATGTGAAGTGAGGCAAGTGTGAGGTCAGGCAGTTGTGAGTTGAGATGATTATGAGGTAAGGTGAGTGTAAAGTGAGGTAAGGCATATGTAAGGGAGGTAAAGTGAGTGTGAGGTGAGATGAGGAAAAATGAAGTGAGGTGAGGTTAGTGTAAGACTGAAGCGAGTGTGAAATGAGATAAGGTGAGGTGAGGTGAAGTGAGGTAAGGTAAGTGTGAGGTAAGATGCGATAAGTCAAGTGTGAGGTACTTGTGAAGGTAAATGTGAAGTGAGATGAACGTGAGGAGAGGCAAGTGTGAGATAAGCTGAGGAGAGGTTAGGCAAGTATAAAGTGAAGTGAGGGAAAATGAGGTGAGGAGTGTGAGGTGAGGTGAAGTAAGTTGAGTTACAGCAAGGTGAATGTGAAGTGAGTTGAGTATGAGGAGAGGTAAGAGATGAGATGAGATGCGATGAGGGGAGGTAATGTAATAGTGTAATGTAAATGTAGCTGTCAAGTATGATGTGAGGTGAAGTGAGACAAGTGAGGAGTGTAAACTGTGGCTGGCAAGTAGGAGCTCTCAATGATATGAGCTGAGTGTATGGCAAAAAAAGCAAGTGTGAGGTAAGTTACAGAGAGAATGAGAAGGAGAGTGTTAGGTAGGTGAAATGAGGCAAGTGTGATGTGAGCTGAGGTAAAGGGAGTGTGAGGTGAAGCAAGTTGTGAAGTGAGATGAGCTGATTCAAGTATGAGGTAAAGTGAGGTGAGATGAGTGTGAGGTGATGTAGGGTGTGGCAAGTGTGAGGTAAGGTGAATGTGAGACAAGGTGAGGTATGTCGAGTGTGAGGTGAGGCAAACTGAGGTGAGGTGAATTAAAGCAAGTATGAGATGAGACAAGTGTGAGGGGAGGTGAAGGTGAGATGAGAAAAGTGAGGTGAGCTGAGGCCAGCATGAAGAAAGTGAGGTGTGGTGAGGGTGAAGTGAGACAAGTTGAACATGAAGAAGCAGGCGTGAGGTGAATCAAGTGTAAGGCGAGGCAAGTGTGAAATGAGGTGAGGCGACGTGAGGTGAATATGAGTTGAGGTAAGTTTAAGATAAAATCAGGTGAGGTGCAGCAATTGTAAACTAAGGTGAGGTGAGGCAAGTGTTAGGTAAGTTATGAAGAGAGGCGAATATGAGTTGAGGTGAGGCTAGTGTGAAGTGAGGCAAGGCAAGACAAGAATGAGGTGAAACAAAGGTGAGGTAAGTGTGAAGTAGGTGAGACGAGTGTGAGGTGAGGCAAGAAATAAGGTAAGGTGAGATGAGGCGAGTGTAAAGTAAGGTGAAGTTAGGGGTGAGGTAAGGTGAGTTTGAGATGAGGCGAATGTGAAGTGAGGTGAATGTGAGGTGAGGTCAGGTGAGCAGATGTGAGGTAAAGTGAGGCAAGTGAGAGGTAAAATGAGAGTGAGGTGAGCGAGGTGGGTGAGTGAGGTAGAGAGGCAAGAGTGAGGTGAAGTGAGGTAACACAAGTTTGAGGTGAGGTGAGGTGAAGTTCGATGAGTGAGTAAGGTGAAGTTAGGTAAAAGATGAGACGAGGTGAGGCCTATTTGAAGTGAGGTGAATGTGAAGTTAAGTGAATGTGAGGTGAAGTGAGCAAGCGCAAGGTGAGGTGAGTTGAGTATGACGTAAGATAAGAGAGTGAAGTGAGTGTGAGGTGAGGAGAGGCAATAGTGTAGTGGAGTAAGTGTGGAGAGGCAATAGTGAGGTGGAGTGAGGTGAGGCAAATGTGACATGAGGCATGTTTGAAGTGAGGCAAATGTGAGGAGAGGTGAGATGAGGTGAGGTGAGGCAAGTGTGAGATGAGGGGAGGTTTGGTGAGTATGAGATGAGCAAGTATGAGTTAAGGTGAGGTTAGGGGTGAGGTGAGGGGAGTTTGAGGTAAGGCAAATGTGAGGTGAGATGAGTGTGAGGTGAGATGAGGAAAGTGTCACTGAAATGAGTATGAGGTGAGGAAAGGCAAGTGAGAGGTCAGTGTCATTTAAGGCTAGTGTGAGGTGATGTGTGTGAGGCAAGGGTGAGGTAAGAAAATGAGGTGCAGTGGAACAAATATAAGGTGAGGCAAGGAAAATGTGAGGTGAGGTGAGGCTAGTGTGATGTGAGGTGAGGGGAGTGAGTTGAAGTGATGTGAGGTGAGGTTTGTGTGTTTTTGTATGAAGGGTGGGGTGAGGTGAGGTGAGTGTGAGGTGAGTGTAAGGTGAGATGATGTCAGGTAAGGGGAGCGTTAAGTGATTATGGTATAAGGTGAGTGTGAAGTCAGGTGAGGTGTGAGGTAAGTGTTATGTGATGCATGGATAGTGAGGTGTTAGGTAAGTGTGAGGTAAGGTGAATGTAAGGTGAGATGAGTGTGAGGTGAGGCAAGTGTGAGGTGAGGCAAGTATGAGGTGAGGTGGTGTGGTGAGGCAAGGCAATTTTGAGATAAGATGACATAGGTGGAGTATAGTTAAGGTGAAGATGAGACAAACGTGTACTCCCAACCTGGCATCCCAGCGTAGCCCTGTACACTCAAGCAGAGTGACGACTTAGAACAGGAAGGATGCAGTGTGGGCACTACCCTGACGCCCCAAATATATCCCAGCGTGTTCTTGCCGAGCTCCTACTGTTCTGGCTCCCTTGACTGACACGAAAATTCTCAAAGAATCCTGCTACACCCAGAGAAGCCTAGTGCCACCAGGTGGAACCTCTAGACCAGCAAACAGCAGACGTTCCCCCAGGGGAGGCTCCCCAGGGCCTGCAGGACTCACCCTGCTCAGTCTGGAGACAGCCAAAGACACAGATGTGCGGAACTCCTCGGGGTTCTTCTGTGCCAGGGTGGTGATGAGGCTGGTGGCAGCAGTCACCACACCCTGAAAGACACGGCAGTGACACTCAGGGTTGTGGAAGCAAGGTGAACTTGAGGGCCCCGGGGACTTAGCGGGACTGGGGACCCCTGGGACACAGGGAGACTTGGGGTCCCCTGGGGACAGAGACTTGGGGTCCTCTGGAGCATTTGGCCCGCAGCACCTGCCCGTTCCTCCCCTGAGCTGCTGAGGATTCAGCCCCCTGAGCCCCAGTGTGCCCTGTGCCACTCTCTCCTGCTCTCAGGAACGCACTCACTTGCTCACTCTGAGGGCAAAGCAAGGCCAGCATGTGAGGCCTGGCCGAGGAGGAGAGCCTGGGGCCGGGGCCCGCAGGTGCTTGGGGTGCGGGGGCAGGGCTACGGAGGAGAGGGCCGAGGGTAGTGGGTGGGCAGGGCTGGGTCCGGGGTCGGCACCTCACCAGGTGCTGGTCATTGAGCAGATGCACCACGCGGGAGGTCCAGTCGCCCATGGGCACCAGGTCCGGAGATGTGCGGTACAGGCGCAGCAGGCACAAGGCTGCGCTCTGCTTCACGCTGTCCATGGTGTCCCTGAAACGCAGACACTCAGACAGCAGGCCACAGAGCCCCACAGACAGCAGGCGACCGCGGAGATGAGTCCATGCAGGACAAAGCAGGCAGCAGCCCCCCGCCCACCACCAGCAGCGGCCGAGGCTGGGTGTGTGTTCGGCCAGGTGGGGTCAGACGAGCTGGGGGTGCCATGCGGTCAGCAGGAGTCTGCTCCCCAACTCAGCACTCCCCAGACTCTGGGATGGGCTGGGACCCCGTGTTCTCGGGAGCGATGCCGGTGGAGCGAGGCGCGGGGGTGGGGATTTGGTCTCCTGCACAGTGGAGGAGCCCGTGACGGGGGCGGAGGGGGCGGACCTTGGCTCCTCATCATTCCCACCTGACAGTCACCAAAAAAGACACATTTTCAAGGACCCGGGCACACACCCCGCTACCAGAATTTTGGGGATCTCCCCAGCAAAGGCTTCGCCCATCTCGCGGCTGCCCACGTTGGCGATGCAGTGCAGGGCCAGACCCATGAAGGTGGGGTTGCGGCTGGCCAGGTCGTTCTTGATGGCGTTGTTGATGAGGCGGATGAGCTCGGAGTTGGAGTTGACCAGCACGGAGATGAACAGGTAGCCCTGGGCCGGGACGGGCAGAGGGGCACGACAAGCTCGTCAGGAGACAGAGTGGCGACCTGAGGAGAGGCGGGTCTACGCCGCCAGGGAGCGCTTGAACGGCCGCCTGCGGGCAGACACCAGGATCTGTCCCCAGTGCCCCCTCCCGAGGACAGGGCTGAATAAGGACGGGGCGAGCCGGGGCTGGCGGTGGCCTTCCCCAGAGGAGGCAGCGCTGGGGGGCTGGAGAGGGTGACATGCACGTGGGGAGGGGCCACTGCAGGAAGGGCTGCTCGGGGCACAGCTGGGGACATGCTCTGTGCGGAGCGCCAGAGGCCAGCACCAGCGTGCGGCACCTACAATCTGCTTCTCGCTGTATCTGTTGGAGCTCAGCAGGTTGACAGCCTCCATGTGCCCGAAGTCGATGTCGTGGCCCAGAAGGAAGATGAAGAGCAACTTGCACACGTACTTTTTCTTGCTGTAGCCATCGAGAGCCTTGTCTCCTGTGAGGAAGCAGGGGTCATCGGCACGGACTCGGTGTGTGCCAGTCGGCGACAACCCACCGCGGCCACTCGGGCCTCCAAACGCGGCTCCACTTGCACAGGAGGAAGCGGGCACAGCTGCCCCCAGCATACCCCAGGCCCCTGCCACGGCTCCATGGCCACAGCCCCCTGCCTCGGCCCCACTCCCACTGCCCCACTGTCACAGCCCAACTGACATGGCCTGGGGCTGCCCGCCTCAGACCCACGTCCGCTGCCATGACGCAGCATGTTCTGGAACATGAGCAGAGGCCCACATGCCTGTCTGCATGGTAAAGCCACACGTGCAGGGACCCAACCCAAGAGTCCCAAACCAGCCACTGCCAGCACAGCAGCACCAGGGAAGGACACTGCGGTCCCCTCCTGCCACCAGCAGCCTCCACGCTCAGATGAGGGGATCCCCAGGGTGAGGGGGACAGGGCTTGGACACGGGACAGAGGCCGCAGTGCACATGGGGGCCTGCACACGGCTCCCGTCTTGAACGGGGTTCCGAGCAGTCTGAGGCCCTGCCGGGCACATGCAGGAGACATGTCTCCTCCACTCTGAGCCCAGAGACCTGCACACTTACTCACGCACACTCGTTCACTCATTCTCCCACTCATTCATTCTCTCTCGGTCACTCAGTCCTTTCTCGGTCGCTTACTCGCTCACTCATTCATTCTCACTCTCATTCACTCGCTCACTCATTCTCTCCTTCAGTTATTTATTCTCTCAGTCACTGTCAGTTACTCATTCACTCACTTGCTCTCTCATTCTCACTCTCACTCACTCATTCATTCACTCACTCTCACTTTCTCTTTTTCTTTTTGCTTTTTGGGTCACACCCGGCGATGCACAGGAGTTACTCCTGGCTCTGTACTCAGGAATCACACTTGGCGGTGCTGGGGGACCATATGGGATGCTGGGAATCGAACCTGGGTCGGCCGTGTGCAAAGCAAATGCCCTACCCGAATGCCATAGCTCCAGCCCCATTTCTCACTTTCTCATTCTCTACAGCTCACTCATTTATTCTCACTCCTGTTCACACTCAGTCGCTCTCATTCGCTCACCCTGTCACGCACCTTCGCCCTCGCTTGCTCACGACTCAGTGACTCATCCTCACTCTCTCTGTCCCTCTGCTGCTGCACGCTGCTCCTGCACACTCGCCGCCACTGTGGTGACGCACACTTACGTGGCCGCGTCCTGTCCCGGGGGCGGCAGGCACCACCGGGGCTCCCCGTTCCCCACCAGCAGGTCCCTCCCGAGGCCCTGCAGCCCAGCCCCCGCCTGACCCCGCGCCACAGAACAGGGCACTCTGGCCCCCGCTCGGTCTGAGGCCTGCTCCCGAGTCACCCGGCCCCGGCAGCCCGGGCCTGCCCTAGCACCAGAAGCTTATACCGTGTGCCCACGGCTCCCGCTACCGACACCAGCCCAACTCCCCCATGCCGGTACGCCAGGGTCTGGCCTCCAGGGACCCCGGTGTCCCCGAGGGCCTGTGGCAAGGACAGAGCTACATCCCCACTGACAGGCACTGCCCGACCCACATGGCCATGCTCCAGCTGGACACCAAGACCCTCCCGAGCCCCAGACCTGCACAGGGCACAGGGCCCCTCCCTTGGGCACCAAGTGGCCCTGCTCCTGGCACCGCTGTGGCCCTCCAAAGGAAAAAGGTCACTGGAGATGGCAACGGACATGTGCCTGTGGGCACTCAGCTGGCCCCAACACAGAAGAAAATTAAAGTATAAAACAAAAAACAAAAATGAACGAGTGAGCAAGCTAAACGCTACCGGGGTCACAGCAGCAACTACCCAGAGCCTCACTGGGGTGAAGGGAGAAAGGGAGGGGGCAAGCATGCCACCACCCGGGGACAGACGGCGGCCGGCAGGGAGAAGCGCTTACCTTTAAACTTGGATCTGATATTGGCCAGCTCTTTGTTTATTCTCTTTATTTCTGCCTCTTTACTTTTACCTGGAAAGACACACAGCACAAGCCCATGTCCTTCTGCCACCGACTCCCCGAGACCCCCGCCTCCCCACCCTGGCATCCAGTACCACCCCTGCCCCCCGCCAGCACGAGGCAGGCACGGGCTCACAGCTCCCCTGCACAGACCCCCCCCGCAAGGCCCCCCGCTCCCAACTCGAGGGACCACGGGACTCGCTCGCTCCACAATCAGGAAACAAAGATCCATTTTCTGCGTGTGGTGCTCTGACAGCCCCACCCCACGCTGTGCTGAACCCCCGGGATGTGGTGGCACTGAGCGTCTGTGTCTGCCAGGGACCCAGCCACAGGACAGGAGGCCGGGGCAGGGGCAGGGCGGCGAGCTGGACACCCCTTTCCGTTTTGCGGAGTCAAGGAAGGGCTGGAGAGACAGCACAGCAGGGAGGGTGCTTGCCTTGCATGCGGCCAACCCAGGTTCTATTTCTAGCCCGGGTTCTACTTCTATTTCACATAGGGTCCCCTGAGCCGTACCAGAAGTGATCCCTGAGCACAGAGCCAGGAGCAAGCCCTGAGCACCACTGGTGTGGCCCAAAGACCAAACAAAAAAAACAAAAGAAGAGGGAAAAAGGAAGAGGAAGGGGGAAGAAGGGGGGGAGAGGGGAGGGAGGGGGAGGACACTGCAGGCGCCCAGCAGAAAGGGGTGTTCCCCCCACTCTGCCCTGTGGGAAGCACCTTGGTGCCCCGGGCACACCTGCCCTGCTGCCTCCCGACAGCAAAGCCAGGGTGAACCACTTAGAAGCAGAATGTGGGGTCACGTCACGCCTGCACTGAAAAGCTCCAGGGATACCAGCAGGACCCCACGAGCTGCTCTCGGCACCTCCAGCAGCCCCGGCCCACACGTGCCACCACTGCCAGCTGTCCACGTGATGCGCAGCTCACACAGCCCTGGCCCACACATGCCACATTGCCATGTGTCCATGTGACGCTCAGCTCACATGGCCCCGGCCCACACAGGCCACACTGCCAGTGTCCACAGGGCCCGCAGCTCACACGGCCCCACTGGGCTGGGGGGCAGAGAACAGGCCCTGTTGTGGGCCTCTCCCCACTCTGCATAGAGCCAGAACACATGGACAAGTGGTAGTGTTGAGCACACACATGCCAGCGTGAGTATGTCCACATATGGTGATGCACATGTGCCTGTGTGCACCTGTGTGCGCCTGTGAGTTCCTTATGTGCCTATAAAAGCTTATGTGTGCCTGTGTGTGCACATATGGTGGTGCACGTGCACCTTGTGAGCCTGAGTATGTGTTAGCGCTTGTGTGCACGTACACATATGGTGGAGCATGTGTGCCTGCATGCAAGCCTGTGTGCCTGTGTGTGTACATGCGAGTGCCTTGTGCACCTTTGTGTGCCTGTGTCTGTGCATGCTTATGTGTGCGCGTGTGCATGCCTGTGTGACTGTGTGCCCATATGTGCCTGTGCACAAGCGCCTGTGTGTGCATCTGTGTGTGCCTGTTCGAGCCTGTCTGTGTCTATGTGAGCCTGTTTGCTCGGGTGTGCACCTGTGTGTGCGTGTGTACACACCTGTGAACTTGTGTGTTTGTGTGCCTGTGTGTGCGCGCGCCTGTGAGCCTGTGTGTCTGTATGAACCTGTGTGTCTGTGTTAGCCTGTGTGTGCACACCTGTGAGCTGTGTGTCTGTCTGTGTGCACCTGTGAGCCTGTGTGTGTGCCTGTGAGCCTGTGTGCACATCGGTGTGTGCCTGTGAGCCTGTGAGTGTCTCTGTGTGCCTGTGTGTGTGTGTGTGCGCCTGTGTCTTGCATTCTCACTTGTGTGTTGTATCTACGCTGTACGAGTATGTGCCCGTGTCTTTCATCATACAAGTCAAGCCCGCTGCTGGGGTGTGTGCTGGGTGAGCTGGCACAATGCCCAACCGGCAGCCTCCTTCTGAGTTCACTGTGTGGACATCTGCTTGGGCGACAGTGCCAGAGATCAGAGACCCGGAGACGGGCACTGCCACCTCCACACACAGCTGCTCCTGAGCCACCACCCCGCCCAGGACAGGCTCCACCTCTGCCCGCTACAGGCTGACTCAAAGCACCAAGTGTCCACGCCGAACACAGCAGCCCCCAGCCGCAGGCAGAGAGGCACCTGCACCCCTCGCCCTGTGTCCCCGCTCAGCACCCGGGAGGCTGCAGCGTGGCCGACGAGGCGCCCACACGGCAGAGCGCCGGCAAGCCCTGGACAGACGCTGGCAGAGCTGACAGTGACGCCCCCATTCTTCCACAGCCCAGCCCCGCCCAGCAAAAGCAGCTGATGACAGACCCCGCGGGCCGGGCGGTGCCAACAGAACCCACCGCCACGCCCCAGGGACCCAGCATTGCTCCTCGTGTGGTTCCAACTCCGCATGCCTGCGAGACAGTTGCAGGTCCCCATGATGGACATCAGGGTGGCCCCAAAAGAGCAGCCACCAGTCCCTGGGGTCCTTGGGCCTCAGTTCCCTGAGACATGAGCCCCGGGGTGCGGTGAGACTCAGAGAAGGCCCAGCATAGGACAGAAGCCCCGAGCGGGTGTGCCCGCGGGCCCATCCAGGGCCGTCTGAGGCTGGGACACCCGAGTGCAGGGCTGCATGGGGGTGACCCGCTTGGTGCATGGGGGGACAGTGACCTGCTCACACCAAGGCCGTCTCCCCACCACTGCCGTCAGGGACCACTTCCTGGCCACGGAGCCTGCAGCCACTCCCTCCCACTGCCAGGAGACAGGGCCACAGGCCGCGCCCCCTCCTCGTCCCCTCCCCGACTCCGTCTGGGCTGCAGCAGAGCTGGGGGCCCATGCATAAAGGTGGCAGCGCACACGCTCAGCGTGGGCAGCCTGACATGGCCCTAGCACGGCCAGACATGGTGCCTAGGATCTCAGGAAAGCGAGGGGCCAAACAAAAGATAGCACAGCAGGTGCTGGCCTCACCTTCGGCCGCCCCAGTTCGATCCCTGGCACCCCATGAGGTCCCCTGAGCCCACGAGGACTGAGCCTGAGGGCAGAGCCAGGAGTTGGCCCTTGGCACTGCCGGGTGGGGCCCAAACACAAATCAAGTGAGGCTGCCCCGTCCTGCCAACCAGGAGCAGCCACCAGGACACCCTGCCGCTCCCTGGAACCCCCGCAACTTCCCTGCCTGCCCGCTGCCCCCTGCATGCCCAGCAAGGCAGCAGTTCCCAAAGGTTCTGCAGAGGCCGGGGTCCACACACAGCTCTGCCAGGATGGTGGTACTTGGCGGGCACCCGCCTGCTTACACAGATGGGGGAGCGCAGAGAAACCGGCCAGCAGGCTGCATCTCCACTGCGGAGCCCAGAGTCCAGGCCCCCCAGAGCAGCTTCCACTTGGCTGGGCTCAGACGGGTGGGCCTGGCGCACCCACAGAGGACACAAGCTCCGTCCACCTGGTTCTTCACTCTGGACACCCCAGGTCCACACTGGACTCGGGCTCCCAGGTCTCACGACTCTCAGGCTCCCAACACTTCTCAGCATGTCTGGAGCTTTGGGCAGGGCTCTGGTGAGCTAAACCGTTCACGGGACAGCCACCAGCCAAGGCCCGTGCGCCCGAGTGCCCAGTGCCAAAGGGCAGCCGCAGGGGTTGGGACCCTGGAGGCCCCGCAGCCACGGACTCCCCCATCCAGCTCCACCCCTGGCCCTAAGAAACTCTAATTCCTGCACATGCACGTGCATATACTCACACTCACACATGCACACGCACAGACAAGTGCACGCTGGCACACACCGTCAGGGGATCACGTGCTGCTGGGGACAGAACCCGGACCCAGGCCCGAAAGGAGCCCTCAGCCCAGCACAGCAGCCGGCAGCAGCATCAACCCCCCTCTCCTCCAGCTCGGGGTCCCCCGCGCCCTCTGCCCCACTTCTGGAATCAGCGGCCGCGGGAGGAAGCGGAGGAAGTGCCTTTCCCCAGTCAGCATCTCACAGGCGGCAGGAGGAAGCGGCAGGAAGCGCCTTCCCCAGTCAGCACCTTCCCGATGGACGCGCAGTCAGCACTGGCGAAAGGCGTTTTCCTGGGGTGGGCTGGGAGCCAGGCCTCCTGCAGCGGCAGGCCCTGGCCGAGTCAGGAGTGGAGACGGGCCGGACCCCGAGCCCCAGGGCCCTGCTGAGACCAGCCCCGAGCACCAGGCGGCTGCAACCCCAAAACCAAAATAGCAAAGAGCAAATCAAAAGCGGCAAAGGACAGACAGAGCCGGACGTGCTCCCACAAGCACCCCCAGGCTTCACCGTCACGCCGAAGCTCCCGCTGATCTCCGTCTGCAGATGCAGCCCCTGCACATCCCCTTCCGACTCGGGGTCACTGCGATTCCGTGAGCCAGACATGGGTGGGCCCCCACATCCTGGCTCTGCACTCAGGGGTCACTCCTGGCGGGCTCGGGGTGCCCAGGGCTGAGCCCGGGTCAGCGGCAGGCAGGGCAGACGCCTCACCCGCTGGACTGTCCCTCCAGCCCCAACCAGTGGTTTTCAACCTCGGAGACGTTCCAACGTGATTCACGGCGCCGCCTCACTTCCACAGACAGCAGACGCTGCCGCCCCCTCCCCGGCCCCCACGGCACCTGCAGCAGAGCCACATGACGGCTGTCTCCGAGGACGCCAGCCGGGGGGCAGGGCAGGTGTGGCCCAGCCCGCACGGCGAATGACACCCCTGTGCTCCGGGGCCCGCCCACAATCCACTCTGGGGGACCCCCACTGCAACGCCCGGATGACCCCAGTCTGTCAGCAGCACCGGCACCAGAGACAGCTCGGCTGGTTCTGCCCGGGTGACCCGAGGCCAAGCTGCTGGCGCGGGGCACGCACCCTGAGAGGAAGGGGCTCAGCAGGGTGGGCATGGGGACCTCAGGCTGCACCTGCCCTCCCGGAGGTGCTGGTCCCCGAGAAGCCGGCTACCGCGAGGGGCTCTGCAGGACCCGGGAGCCTGCACAGGTGCCAGGGAGCAGCTCCAGCTCACCCCGAGACCCACCGCAGAGTAGCTCGGGGCGGGACTGACCAGAAGCACCGGGACAGCTCCAGGAGAGGTGCCCCAGGAAGTGACCCCCAGAGCCGCCTCTGCACTGGCCACGGTGCTCAGTAGGTTCCACTTGGGGGACCACGGCCACACATGCCAGGGTCTAAACACTCAAGCACACACGAATGCATGCACATGTGCGCGCGCACACACACGCACACACATGCATACATGCACACACGTGCATACACACACGTGGCCGCGCCCCCAGCACAAGGACGGCCGGCACCCCTGTCCTGCAGCAGGTGACCAGGCCCAGGAGAACCGCCCGTTCCGTTCCCAGACAGCAGCACCCACCCCCGGCCTCACGGCGCCTCCCGCCGACTGGACACTCCCTGCCGGAGCAAAGGGGCAGGAGAGGAGGGCACTGAACCCGGGAATGCTGAGCGGGAGGGCGGGGCTGGCGGCCAGGCCGGAGGGAGGTGGCTGGAGCGGCAGAGGTGAGGGCGCGCTTCAGTGCACACGCGGGCAGAGGCCACGTCCAGGCGGTCAGCCCGCTTCTTTCCGAGCCCAGAGGAGCCAAAGGGGTCTCTGCCCGCCCCGCCCCGCCCCGCCCGGCCCGTGGGGTCCTCGTGGCCGGCCACAGGCCGGGAATCCACGCGGGTGAAAAGCGCCAAGGCTGCTGGGCAGGTGACGCGGAACGGACACAGCTGGGCACGAGGGGCCCCACGCAGAGCTCAGCCCTGCCCGCCAGCGCGGGCACCAGCCCCCGGAGGCCACACGGACGCCCCTGGCCCCTGCCCCGCAGCCCCGGAGCCCAGAGCGGAGACCCCCACCCGCACGCGGGACTGACACTGCGCCTGCAGCCCGCGCCCCCGAGCTGTGCGCCCACCTGGCCCCTACCCCCCAGTCTCTGCACCCCTGGGTCGCGCCCTGCGAGCTGCAGCCCTGCAGCCCTACGCTCTGCCCGAGCCCCCTACCCTGCGTCCCCGCGCCTCAGCCCTGCGCGCCGCGGCTCTGCGCGCCCCCCACACCTCAGCCCTGCACCCCCGGCCAGCGCCCTACCCCCACCTCAGCCTGTGCCCGAAAACCCCCCTGCACCTCAGCCCTGCGCCCCTGGCCCGCAACCCCACACCTCAGCCCTGCGCCCCCCCACCTCAGCTCTCTACACCCCAGCGACCCCCGCACCTCAGCCCTGCGCGACCCCCCCACTGCCCTGCACCTCAGCCCTGCGCCCTTGGCCTGCACCCTGCGCCCCCCGCCCCTCAGCCCTGCGCCACCCCCCGCTCTGCGCCTCAGCCCTGCGCTCCCCTCAGCTCATTCCTGCGCCCCCCCCATGGCCCGCGCCCCCTGCGCCTCAGCCCTGCGCGCCCCGGCTCTGCTCGCCCCCCACACCTCAGCCCTGCAGCCCCGGCCAGCGCCCTACCCCGCACCTCAGCCCTGTGCCCCTGAGACCCCCCCCGCACCTCAGCCCTGCGCCCCCCACACCTCAGCCCTGCACCCCCGGCCAGCGCCCTACCACCTCAGCCCTGTGCCCCTGAGACCCCCCCCGTACCTCAGCCCTGCGCCCCCCCCACCTCAGCTCTCTACACCCGGGCGACCCCCGCACCTCAGCCCTGCGCGACCCCCCCACCGCCCCGCACCTCAGCCCCGCGCCCTTGGCCCGCAGCCTGCGCCCCCCGCGCCTCAGCCCCGCGCCCCCCGGCCGCGCCGCTCACAGTTGCGGATGTCCGAGATGAAGACCGCCAGGCCCCGCATCCCGTCCCCCTTCGACACGGCCGGCATCTTCGGGCCCCGGGGAGCGGCCGCGGCGGGCGCGCCGGGCAGGAGGGACGCGGGGGGCGCGCGTCGCCGTCGCCGCCGCCGCCCAGGAGCCGCCTCAGCCCGAGCGGCCGCCGCGCACGCGCACGCACGCACGCTCGCCGCCGCGCACGCGCACGCAGGCGCGGGCGCGGGTCCCGGCGGCGGCGCGGGGGCGCGCGTCGAGGGGCGGCGGCGCGGGCGCCCCCTGGAGGCCGCCCCGGGCGCGCTCGCGGCCTGCGGACCCGCCGTCCGGGCCTCGCACCCGGGTGGCCCTGGGGGGCGGGGGGCGTCCGACGACCCGGAGAGCCCGGCGGGGCGCAGGTCCTGCGCTCGCTCACGGAGGGGGGCCCGACCCCTCCCAGGAGGCTCCAGGGACCGCTGGGTCCCGCCTGGAGCCCCTCCCGGGGCGAGCGTCGGGGTCCGCGTCCCCCTACCCTCCGGGGAACGGGCCCCTGTTGGAGGAGCTAGCCCGGTCCCGGCCTCCGCGCAGAGCCCAGCCGACCCACCCCCACCCACAGCGACCCGGAGCCGGGCGCTCTGGAACCTTTGTGCCACTTTCCCAGACCGTCCAGGAGCGGGGCAGGCGTGGGGGGCTCCCTGGGGGAGGCGGCCGCCCAGTGCCAGACCAGGGCCTCCTAGGATGGGCCACCTGGGAGGCTGAGGCAGCTTGGCGCTGAGGTAGGGCTGGGGCAGGGCTGGCAGGCGCGCGGGGGTCCCTTTCTTGCTTCTCCCCAGACCCCACTGTCCCAGACAGCCACCCACTGCCCCCCACCCAGCTGCTGTGCACACCCAGCGGTGCTCAGCGCTCACCCCTGGAGGAGGAAGCCTCAGTTTCCCCTCGCCACTGAGACAGAAAGCCAGACTCCACTTTGTGGCGTCAGTAGGCCACGACCCTCCACTCAGGGTCACGAGTTTGCAAGCCAGAGAGAAAAACCTGCCAGGCCCCAAGGCCACAGAAATGCTCCAGACACCACAGATAACGGGATGGTCCCAGGAAGCGTGACAAGGTGTAGTAACGCTCTGGCTCTGTGTCACCGTGTCCTGGGCTGGCTTGCTCAAGGCGGCGAAGAGGGCGTGCAGCCCCCACTTAGACCCCCAGCACTGAGTCCCGCCATGAGTGTGTTTGGGCGAGTGAATGACCTTGAAGTATCTGAGTGTCTGCCCTGTCTCTGTGTCTCAGGCTTGTGGCCACTCAACGCCCACGAGGGAGCTTCTTCTCTTTTCTTTCTTTTTTTTCCTTTTCTTTTTTTTGGGGGGGGGGTCACACCTGGCGTTGCACAGGAGTTCCTCAGAGGACCACATATGGGATGTTGGGGATCAAACCCGGGTCAGCCACATGCAAGGCAAACGCCCTCCCTGCTGTGCTATTGCTCCAGCCCAATATTTTCATTCTTGGGAACGGCTCCAGCCTCGCCCGCATCCCCCCTTCTCTGCACTCTGGACCCCCGTGTGGTGCTGGGAGGGGACCCAGGGCAGCGCCCTCCCTCCTGTCTTCAGCCCTGAAAGTGTCTGGAGTTATTTGCACGGGACACCTGCCCGCTGGGCCGTGGCGGCCACTGTTCACAGGACAGGGCGCAGACAAACCTCCCTCCGGGTGCCACCGGAAGGTGCTGAGCCCCCTGGGAGGTGTCCAGGCATCCAGGGGGCTCAGCTCCCACCAGACTGGAACTCGCTTGGGTCTGCTGGTCTCGGAGACTCGCCACCATACTCACCACCACTGTCCCGTCCCACAAAATGGTGGTGAGGGGCTGGTCCCATGTGGCCGAACACCCCCAGTGGTCAGGGGCATTGGGGGCTGTGGACCTGTGTGCCCCCAGGGGTGTACTGTGTGCAGAGACTGAGAGGGTCCAGTGAGGAGGGGAGTGACCTCAGGCGGGGGGCGGGGGCTGACTTCCTGCTGGCCCTGGAGGGGGAGTCTGAGAAACATGGGGGGGCCAGAGAATGGACGGGAGGCCATGCATGGAGGACCCTCCCTGCTTCGCCAGAGCCCATCTCCTCTGCAGATGACCATGTCCCCAAGCGAGCCACATCGGAGCCCCAGGGCAGGGGTTTATGCTGGGGGCAGGGAGAGTGCAGAGGTAGGCAGTGGCTGCAACAGCTGACCTCACAGAGGCCCCCAAGCCCGCTGGGAGTGAGCCCTAGTGCAGGTGGGATTAGCTCTGAGCACTGCCCAGTGTGGGCCAAGCCCCCCCCACAAAAAAAAGTTGGGGTGGAGGGTAAAGGGTGGGAGTGGGGATGCAGGGAGGAGATTGGGGGTCAGCGTGGAGATTGGGGGTACAGGGAGGAGACTGGGGGTGCGGGGTAGAGATTGGGGGTCAGCGTGGAGATTGGGGGTACAGGAAGGAGATTGGGGGTGCGGGGTGGAGATTGGGGGTCAGCGTGGAGATTAGGGGTACAGGGAGGAGATTGGGGGTGCGGGGTGGAGATTGGGGGTCAGCGTGGAGATTAGGGGTACAGGGAGGAGATTGGGGTGTGGGGTGGAGATTGGGGGTCAGCGTGGAGATTGAGGGTACAAGAGTGGAGATTGGGGTGCAGGGTGGAGACTGGGGTGTGGGGTGGAGACTGGGGGTACAGAGGAGATTGAGGGTACAGGGAGGAGATTGGGGGTGCAGGGTGGAGACTGGGGGTGCAGAGTGGAGTTTGGGATACGGGTGGAGATTGGGGGTCAGCGTGGAGATTGAGGGTACAGGGAGGAGATTGGGGTGCGGGGTGGAGTCTGGGGGTGCAGTGTGGATATTGGGGGTCAGCATGGAGTTTGGGGGTGGAGGTGGGGTGGGTTCTAAGGGGTCAGGCTGGTGGCGGGCTCTCCTGGGGGCACGTAGAGAGCCGGGCAGCCACAGCAGGATGGTGGTGCCCAGGGGGCAGCCAGGGGTGGGGGCAGCAGGGAGGTCGGCGGGCTGCTCTGGGCACCTGCTTCCCTTTCCCCCCTGATTCCCCTCAGGCCGCACCTGAGGCACAGGGTGAGGACTCCAGCCCCTCTGTGGGTGCTGAGGGCCCCTCTGGGACGGGCGTCTGGCACCTGGGCCTCGGGGTGCTGCCCACCGGGGTCAGGAGTGAGCGTGAGTCCCTCCACACCAGCTGTCCACCCCACGGGCGGGTTCCCTGCCAACCCTGAACCACTGAGGTCAAGAACTGTTGTGGCGGGGACCTGGGGTGCACCTTGTGCCCACGCATCAAACCCGCTCCCCTGAGATGGCCCTCGGCCCAGGCACTGCCCTGGCCTCCGTCCCCAGGAGCCGCTGGGGAAGGTCCCACTGGCCCCAGCCAGGCTTAACCCCAGCTCCCAGCACTGCACACAGTCCTGGCGGCCACCCCGGGCCAGTGGCGGGATCTCTGACCAACATGTTCACAGTCCAGCAGCAGCAGCCAGGATGGAGCCGCCCGGACCCCTAAGGACCCCGTGGGACTCCCCGGCCCCTCGACTTACAAACCAGAGAAACTCAGGTGGGGCTGTGACGCGCAGGCTGGGGTCTTTCCCTTGCCTTGCTGTGTGAGACCCTGGGTTTGACCCCCAGCACGTGGAAAAGAAAGAAGGCAAGAAAGCAAGTGAGAGAAAGAGAGAGGGGGGCTGGAGCAATAGCACAGCGGGGAGGGTGTTTGCCTTGCACGCGGTCAATTCGGGTTCAATTCGCAGCATCCCATAGAGTCCCCCGAGCACCGCCAGGTGTGATTCCTGAGTACAGAGCCAGAAGTAACCCCTGAGCATCGCTGGGTGTGACTCAAAAAGCCAAAGAGAGAGAGAGAGAGAGAGAGAGAGAGAGAGAGAGAGACAGACAGACAGAGAGAGAGAGAGAAGAAAAGAAAAGGAAGGAAGGAAGGGAGGAGGGTCGGAAGGAAAAAAAGAGAAAAAAAGGGAGAAAGAAAGAAAGGAGAAAGAAAGGGAGGAAGGGAAAGAAAGAAAGAGAAAAAGGAAAAAGGGAGGAAGGGAGGGAAGGAAAGACAGAAAGGTTCGGGGCTGGTGGTCTCAGGGACCCGTGCGAGGTTGGAGGGGACCCACTCGCTCTCAGCTGCCCCCAGGACCCTCCCAGCCCTCAGGGACATCAGTGAAGTCCAGTCACGCACAGCTAGGGGAGCTGTGTTCACAGCAGCTGGACAGGACGCCCTCGGCTGCTCCTGTGCTCTGGCCAGGCTGGGAGATGGAAGTGGACACCCCCATGTGGGCCGGGTCGCGCTTGTGGCCCCAGTGCCGGACGCCCCACCCGACCGCGGCTTCCGCTGGCGGCACGTGAGCCGGGCCCTGCCCTGGCTGTGCTTACCCAGCACCCGGGGAGGAAATCCTGGCGCACGGCCCCTTCCTGGCCTCCCGGCTCGAGGCTGGACGGCTTCTCGGAGGGCGCCACAGGCCTGGACCTCGCCCGGGGGTGGGCTTCCCTGCCCTTGCCTCGCTGGCGCCCACTCTGCAGAGGAGGGGCCAGGCCAGAGTCCCGCAGGCAGGGGTCTCGGGGTGTCCGGAGCACAAGGGCCCGAGGCCTCCTCTGCGGCCCCCCACCCGGGGCTGCCCTTGCCCTGACTGTCCTTTGCAGGCCCGAGCAGTGGCCCATGGGTGTTGGTCCCTCGGCTGGTCCCTCCAGCCGCACCAGCAGGACAGCCAGGCAGGGGTCTCCACCCGCCCTCGTGGGTTTGCACAAGGAGGCCTCCAAGTGCCAAGGGGCTGGGGCGGGTTGTCCCGCGCCCTCCTGAACAGGACACTGCAGGGCCCCTCGCCTCAGCTTTCTAGCTAAGGGACCCCCATCCGCTGTGCCCCCTCCCTCCCTCCCTTCTTTTCTTCTCTTCCTTCCCTCCCTCCCTCCCTTCCTTCCTTCCTTCCTTCATCTTTCTTGCTGTGTCACGCGTCTGTCTCAGGACTTACTCCTGGCCCTGTGCTGAGGGGTCAAGGGTCACTCCTGCCGGGTCTCAAGGACCGTGTGTGGCAAACCCTGGTCAGCCTGCTGTGCTTCTCCTCCATCCGGGGCTCCTTTCTTTCTTTTTTTTTCTTTTTGGGTCACCTGGCAATGCTCGGGGTTACTCCTGGCTCTGCACCCAGGAATTACTCCTGGAGGTGCTCGGAGAACCATATGGATGCTGGGGATCAAACCTGGGTCGGTCGCCGCGTGCAGGGCAAACGCCCTGCCCGCTGTGCTAGTGCTCCAGCCCCACGTGGTTCCTTTTTCTTTCTTTCTTTCATTTTTTTTTTTTGCCTTTTGGGTCACACCTGGCAATGCATAGGGGTTACTTCTGGCTCTGCACTCAGAAATTACTCCTGGCAGTGCTCGAGGGACCATATGGGATGCTGGGAATCGAACTCAGGTCGACCACGTGCGAGGCAAACGTCCTACCCACTGTACCATCACTCCGGCCCCACGTGGCTCCTTCCTTGACTGAGAAGATTTATTTTGATTGTTGGCTCTTGGGTCACCCCCTGCACTGAGGAATGATCCCTGGCGGACTTGGGGGACAATCTGGGGTGCCAGGGATGGCGCAGGGCAAGAGCCCCACCCGCGTGCATCTCTCCGGCCCATAGGCTGAGCAGATCCGAGAGTGAAAGGGGCTCCTGTGACGTCCCATCCAGACACAGGCTCAGGACTTCGTGACTTTTCACATCTCCAGTGGAATGTATGAGAAGCATTTTCCACATCCTCTTGAAGTCCTTCGGCCTGTGACTGGAGAGAGCACAGCGGGGAGCGCACTGGCCTTGCACGCAGCCCACCTGGGTTCAGTCCCCAGCATCCCATATCATCCCCCAAGCCCACCCGGAGTGACCCCTGAATGCAAAACCAGGCGTAACTCCGGAGCACTGCCGGGTTTGGCCCAAATTCCTCCAAAAATCAATAAAAATTAAAGTACTTCAGCTTGTCAAAACTGACAAACCTCAGGTTCTCCTTTAGATTCAATTTTTTTTATTTTTTGGGATTTTTTTTGCGAGGGGTCACACCTGGCGATGCACAGGGGTTACTCCTGGCTCTACACTCAGGAGTTACTCCTGACGGTGCTCAGGGGACCATATGGGATGCTGGGAATCGAACCCGGGTCAGCCGTGTGCAAGGCAAATGCCATACCCGCTGTGCTATCGCTCCAGTCTCTAGATTCAAATTTCAAATGCAGTGAACTCCAAATCGTCTGAAATGCCCCAGAAACCTGAAAGTGGTAAACATAGTAGGCAAAGGAGTAATATACCCAAAAGCTCTTTCAGGTCCACGTAGTAAATAACTTGGTGCTTAGTCTCTTAGACCCAATTTTAACTTGGTTTTCTGTGGTGGTTGGTTTCGGGGTTGCACCTGGTGGCACCGGGGGGCTGTTACTGGCGCATTGCTCGGGGCTGAGTCCGGGTCATGTTGGGGGGGCTGCATGCCAGGATCAGTCCCAGACCTTCCACACGCAGCGCTTATGCCCAGCCTCTGAGCTGCCTTCCCGTCTCAGGATACTCCAAACTCCTTTATGCCTCCTCCCGAATCTTCCTGCAGCTGGAGGGCGGGCCGCGCCAGGAAGTCAGCTTCCCTTCAGGCTCCTCAGCACCGCCTCTGCCTCCACAGGGCTGGGCACCCACAGGGGCTCCTGAGGGCCGGCCCTGAGCTCCCTGCTCCTGAGGGGACCCACCCTCCTTTCCTCAGCGGACCTTCCCTCCTCTCCTGAGGGGACCCTCCCTCCTCTCTGTAGATCCTTCTTCCTCTCCTCAGGGGACCCTTCCATCTCTCCTTAGGGGATCCTCCCACCTCTCTTCAGGGGACCCTTTCATCTCCTCAGGGGACCCTCCCACCTCTCCTCAGTGGATCCTTCCACCTCTCCTCAGGGGACTCTTCCATCCCTCCTCAGGGGATCCTCCCTCTTCTCCTAAGGGGACCCTCCCATCCCTCCTCAGGGGACCCTCCTACCTCTCCTCAGGGGAGCCTCCTACCTCTCTTCAGGGGAACCTCCCACCTCTCCTCAATGGATCCTCCCACCTCGCCTCAGGGGACCCTTCCATCCCTCCCCAGGGAACCCTTCCATCTCTCCTCAGGGAACCCTCCCATCTCTTCTGAGGGGACCTTCCCACCTGCTCCTGGAATTGGCCTCACCTGTTGACCCTCATGGCTACTCCTGACCTGAATCTGCTCCTGGAGCTGATCTCACCTGTCCTTGAACTGTCCTTAGAGCATTTGGGGATTTTTAAAAAAGAGTTTTATTTTAGACATCGTGGCTTAAAACCCGTTAACGTGGGGTTTAATGAATAAAGCACTTCAATACACCCTTCGTCAGAGTGTCCCCTTCCGTCCACCACACACACCTTCTCCCGTGGCATGTGTCCTGCTGAGGCCCCGTTCTCAGTTTCTGTTGCGTTTGGGCATTTGCTAGTCCCCTACCATCAGACCTATGTCCACATATGGGAGAGATCATTTCGCGTCTGTCCCTCTCCTCTGGCTAGCTCCACTCAGCATGACACGCTCCAGACCCATCCAGTAGCCGATGGCGCGATTTCATTCTTCTCACAGGGATTGATGTTCTACTGTTTATAAGCATCAAGGCTCCTTACGTAGTCACCCGTTCTTGTGCACTTGGGCTATTCCTAGGTTTTGTCTACTGCGAATAGTGCTGTTGTTCTGTGATTGCAGAGCTGAGGCCCCTTGGGTGCTAGGGGCCTTGCTGCTAAGACCCAGGGCAGTGCTGGCGTCTCCTCAGCAGGCCCTGGCCTGTGGGGCCCTCGGTGCAGCCAGAGACCTCACTGGGCTCCTCCTGAGCTCAGCCTGGCCCAGGGTCAGGACGACAGGCTGGGGGTGGGGTGGGGTGTGGAATCAGGGAGCAAAACTGTCCAGTGACACTGAGCAACCAGGTCATGCCCCCCCCCAGCCCCTCTACCAGCCCCTCAGGCCCGTCAGCAAAGACTGCGGGGTCTACCGTCTGGAAATGCAGGGAAGAGGAAGAAGAAACCAGGAGGAGAGAGAAAGAACAAAGTTCAGCTCCGGAGAACGGTCTCAAGCAGCAGAAGGGAGAACCAGCCGGGTGGGGTTCCTCCAGCAGATAGGCAGGGCAGGGTGGGGCCCTCGGCGGGAGGAGTGGAAGGTCCCAGTGACTAAGGGTGCTAGTCACATGCCCCACCCCGGAGGGGACCCTCTCTCCTCTGATGGAGGAGTCCAGCTGTGAGATGCCCTCGCTGGTGCCAGAGCCCGAGAGTGCGGCTTTCGGACACGTGGAACCTTGATATCCAAAAGCGACTTGCAACGCCAGCCCGCGAGGCGCCCCCGGCTCGGGCTCTCCCTCCAGCGGGAGACTTCTAGCAGGTGCCCAGTTTCCCAAGGACCTATGAGCCGGGGCATGGCTCTCCCTGGCTGGCATCCACCCAGCATGAGGGTGATCCCCGCGGGTGCTCCCTGCGCGCCGCCCAGCCTCCCCACCCCCTCCTAGCGCCAACTCCCCAACAGTTCCCTTTGCATCATCAACACGCCGCCCTCCAGGGGCTCCCACCCCTGTCCCGCCCAACCGCGGCCCTTTGCCCCGCGCACAGCCTGAGCCCTAAGGGAGGAAGGAATCACTCCTGGCCGAGCTCAGGGCACCTATGGGGGGTCCGGGATGGACCGTGGGTCTGCCGCAAGCAAGGCATACGCCGTCCCCGCTGTCCTGTCGCCCCCTACACCCACCAGACCCTTCCCCGCGGCCCAGTTCCACTCACTGGCCTCGCCCCTGCCCCGCCCTCCTACTCCGGCCCCGCCTCTCTTCTCCGGCCCCGCCCCCGGCTCGGCTCCGCCTCTCCTCAAGCCCCGCCCCCGACCCGGCCCCGCCTCTCCTGCTCCGACCCCACCTCTCCTGTTCAGGCCCCGCCCCGGCCCGCCCCCTGCTTGGCCTCGCCTCTCCTCTAGCCCCGCCCCCGGCCCGGCCCCGCCTCTCCTCCAGCACCGCCCCGACCAGGCCCCGCCTCCCCTACTCTGGCCCCGCCCTGGCCAGGTCCCGCCTCTCCTGCTCCGGCCCCGCCTCTCCTCTAGCCCCGCCCCCGGCCCGGCCCGGCCCCGCCTCTCCTACTCCGGCCCCACCTCTTCTACTCCGCCCCGCCTCAACTACTCCAGCCCCGCCCTGGCCAGGTCCCGCCTCTCCTGCTCCGGCCCCGCCTCTCCCGCTGCGGCCCCGCCCCCTCTGCTCTGGCCCCGCCCCGCTCCCTCGCGGCCCGCCCCGGCTCCGCGGGCGGAGCGGAAGCGCGCGCGGCGGGCGGAGTCCTGGGCGGGACTTCCGGCCGCGCACCGGCGGCTTCCGGCCGAGCGAGGGCGGGCCGGCCGGCCTGCGGGACATGAAGGTGAGCCCCGCGCTGCGGCCGCGGGGCCGGCGCGTGGGCGCGCGTCGGCGAGGGGCGGGCCGAGTCGTGCCGGGGGACGCGCGGGGCTGCGGCCGCGGGCTGCGGGCGCTCGGGGTCGTCAGGGTCCCGGGCGCCCCCGCCGGCCGCGCCCCCTGCGCGCGTGTCCCCCGGCGCCGCCCCCGGCGCCCCCGGGCAGGTCAGGGCGCGCGCCCCGCGCCGGGAAGCGGCCCCCGCGCCCCCGGGTGTCGCTGCGGCGTGGGCCGGCCCGGCGGCCCCGCCCTGAGCCCAACGGCCGGGACCTCCAGGTGGTTCCGGGACGCCGCCCTGCCCAGCCCCGTCCCCCCTTCCGCCGAGCCCCGACCCCTGCTCGGCGTGCGCGTCCTTGGGGGCCGGCGGCGGCCGTGTGGACCAGCCGGGGTCCTCCCGCTCTGCGTCGGGCTGGGGGGCCCCGCGGCTCGGAGGGTGGCCCGGCCGTTGGCGGCCGCTGCGGCCCTGAGCCCCGCGGCTCCCTCCCTCCCTCCGGCGCGCTCCGAGACCGGCGGGTCCCTTCTCCCACCTGCCTCCACGCCCCCTGGGTGGGGCGACCTGCAGCTCCTGCCGCCCTGCTCCCCGGGGCGGTCTCGGTCCCGTGCTCCCCGGGCGGCCCGGGCCTGTCGGTTCGCTGGCAGAGCGGTCCCCTGCGCCCTGCTCTCTCGCAGCCCCTGGACCCCCACCATGCGGGTGCTGCTCAGCGCGCTCTGGGTGACTCTGGCTTGCAGCTCCGTGCACACGACCCTGTCCAAGTCGGACGCCAAGAAGGCCGCGGCCAAGACGCTGCATGAGAAGGTGCGGGGGGAGCGGGGTCTGGGCGCAGCACTGATGCCACCCCGCCTCTGGCCGGGGTGGGCACGCGAGCCCGCGCCGGCCGGGCGCTGACGGCTTCTCCCCGGCCTCCGGGACAGACGCAGCTCTCGGAGAAGCCCGCGCAGGAGCGGGGCCTGGTGGTGACGGAGCTGCGAGCCGAGGACGTGGTGCGGGAGCATCGCAGCTACTGCTCGGCCCGCGCCCGCGAGCGGCACTTCCGCGGCGACGTGCTGGGCTACGTGACCCCCGTGAGTGAAGGAGGGGGTGCAGCCTCAGAGGCGGGCGGCGCGCGGGGGTGCTCGGCCGCTCAGCAGCTGGCTGCCCCCGCAGTGGAACAGCCACGGCTACGATGTCGCCAAGATCTTCGGGGCCAAGTTCACCCAGATCTCGCCCGTGTGGCTGCAGCTGAAGAGGCGCGGCCGCGAGCTGTTTGAGGTCACAGGCCTGCACGACGTGGACCAAGGTTCTGTCTGCTCGCTGTGCGCATGGGGGGCGGGGGGTACAGGCTTGTCTGACTCGAGGTCATGCGTGCCGAGGTGGGGCCTGTGTGTGTGCAGGCATGTGTACTGTAGAGTGCACACGTGCTACGGGCAGGACCAGAGTGTGCAATGGGGTGCGTGCGTGCTGAGGGCAGGACTTACGTGTGCAGGTGTGCATGCCAAGGGGCGCGCGTGTGCTGCGGGCGGGATCCACATGCAGCGTGCTCACGTGTGCACGCTTGGAAGCCCGCTGAGGCTCGCATGAGCCTCACGCGCGTGTGGCCGCCTTGGCAAGGGTGTGAGTGGTGTCAGGGAGTCGTGACCCCGTGGGACTGTCTGGCCTGGCCAGCGAGGGCCCTTGGAGCTGCGCGTGCAGCCTCTGACCACATCCTTTGCTGCAGGGTGGATGCGGGCCGTGAAGAAGCAGTCCAGGGGCCTCCGCATCGGTGAGTCCCAGCCCGCCACGCCTCACCCCTGCTGTCAGCTGTGTGTCCAGCCCCCCACTCACCCCCGGGCCGGGGGCTGTCCCATCCCGCTGCCCCATCCACTCTCCTGCTGCTCTTCCTGTGGACGCGGGGCAGGGCTGGGCAGGGAACGTCCCTGATGGAGCCCTGGGTCCGTCTGCGGTGGAGGAAGGTCAGGCAGGCACCCGACAGCCCCTGCCCCGCCCACAGTGCCTCGGCTCCTCTTTGAGGACTGGACCCCCGAGGATTTCCGGAACGTCCTGGACAGTGAGGATGAGATCGAAGAGCTGGGCAAGACCATGGTCCAGCTGGCCAAGGTGAGCCAGCGTCGTGGGGGCACCTGGGAGACAACATCCACACACACACGCACGCGTGGACACTCTGTGGGCTCTGCCTCCCACACACATGCAGTGACTGTCACTGAGCTGCAGGGTGACACTGGCCTGGGTCAGTGCTGGGGAAGCACCCGAGGGCCTGGACACGGGGCTTCTGGGCCGGAGCGTGGCCCTTGGTCCGGCTGTGAGTGACCCTCGGAAGTTCTGTGGCATTGGGGTTACACCCCCTTCCCAGACTGCCTCAGACCCCGTCCAGGGCTCTGGTCCTCTCAGGACCCCCTCCCGGAGCTCTGCCTCAGGCCCCTCCCAGGACTCCCCACTCCCTGACCTCTGCCTCGGACCCCCGCCCATGGCCCTTGTCCTCTCAGGACCCCTTCCCTGACCTCCACCTCGGACCCCTGCCCAGGGCCCTTGTCCTCTCAGGACCCCCTCCCTGATCCCCCTCCCTGACCCCTCTCCTCCTTTTCAGGCTCAGCACTTCGATGGCTTTGTGCTGGAGGTCTGGAGCCAGCTGCTGGGCCAGAAGCATGTGTGAGTGGGGCTCTGTGGTGCCTCAGCTGGGCCCAAGGGACCCCGGAACTGGCTGTGGTCTGGGGCTCCTCACCCCCAGCTGCCTCCTTTCCCCTGAGGGATCACGGCCAAAGGGCGTCTGGGCTGGGGGCCCGGGTGCTTGGTGGGGTCCCCTGTAGGGCCCCCAGGCCATCTCCCCAGGCCCCGTCTCCTCCCTCGTGGGGATGTTTACTGTCCCTTTTCCCCGCACCATCTGCTCGCCACAGCATTCTTGGGGTCCCCCAGGGGAAGGGCAGACCAGCTGACCGCCCCATGGTGACGCTCCCCAACACAGGGGCCTCGTCCACCTGCTCACGCACCTGGCCGAGACGCTGCACCAGGCCCGCCTGCTGCTCATCCTGGTCATCCCGCCAGCCATCTCCCCCGGGTAAGGCCAGAGCGCTGGGCTGCGGGCACACGCCGTTGTGCACACGCAAATGTGCATACGTGGGTACACTCGCACGTGCATACACAGGCGCACACAGGCGTACGCAAGTATGCATACATGGGCACACGCAGGCACACTTGAATGTGAGTACTCAGGCACACCCGGGTATGCATACACGGGCACAACCGTGCATACGTAAACGTGCAGGCAGGTGAGCTCACGGACACGTGCATGTGGGACACACACGTACACACGGTTCAGCCGGCCGTGCCCCTGGGACTGCTCTGCTGTCCGCAGTAGCTGAGCACCGGGTGGCTTCTAGGGAGTGGGTGGCAGGGTGTGGGCGACGCCTCCCCGTCACCAGTCAGGGTGAATGCAGAGTGGGTGGCAAGATCGAGGGATTCGAGGGGGCTCGAGCTGACACGGGAGCGGCGGGGTCCAGGGGTGCCTCTGCTGTCCCCGCAGGAGTGACCAACCTGGCATGTTCACGCACAAGCTGTTCGAGCAGCTGGCGCCAGTGCTGGATGGCTTCAGCCTCATGACCTACGACTACCCGCGGGCACAGCAGTGAGTGTGGGTGCCGGGGTCCCTCGCCCGGGGGTCGGGCTGCTGCAGACACTGGCCCCCCTCAAGTCCCCTCACCATGCAGGCTTGGCCCCAACGCACCGCTGGCCTGGGTGCGAGCCTGCGTGCAGGTCCTGGACCCCAAGGCCCAGTGGCGGAGCAAGATCCTGCTGGGGCTTAACCTCTATGGCATGGACTACGCCACCTCCAGGGACGCCCGCGAGCCCGTCCTGGGGACCAGGTGAGTCCCTGGCTGGCCTTGAGGCTGGCGTCTCCTCCCGGGTCAACCTTGGGGAGCGGAGCTGCCGTGGTGTTCATCCGGGGTCGGCCCGCGGCCTGGCCTGTGCAGATGCTCACACCCCTCCTGTCGCCCAGGCCTCCCCAGCCCCCGAGCCCTGTCTGGTGGCGTGAGATGCTCCTGCGGGTGGGCAGGGCGGGCTGGGGGTGCCCCGGGCCTCAGAGCAGCCATGCCGGCCCCCGCAGGTACATCGAGACGCTGAAGGAGCACCGGCCCCGGCTGGTGTGGGACGCGCAGGCCGCCGAGCACTTCTTCGAGTACAAGCGGTGAGTGAGGGGGCGGCCTGGCGGGGCCGAGGGAAGCCCCCCACCCACCCCGAGCCGACGGGTCTGTCTGCCTTGCAGGAGCCGCGGAGGGAGACACATGGTCTTCTACCCGACGCTGAAGGTAGAGCTGGCCTCAGGCCGTGTGGACGTGGCGCAGGGCAGGGTCCTGGGGGTGCTGGCCCGGGGTGGGCAGTAACTGTCCCCATTGCTATAGTCCGTGCAGGTGCGGCTGGAGCTGGCCCTGGAGCTGGGCGTCGGGGTGTCCATGTGGGAACTGGGCCAGGGCCTGGACTACTTCTACGACCTGCTCTAGCGGGCTCTGGAGCGGATTGACCAATACAGGCTTGTTTGCTGGACTCTGTCTGCTGTGCTCCTTGGGGCGGGCGGGGAGACATGCACCTGGCCGCCTGCACAAGGGGCTCAACCTGGGCATCCCTAGGGCAAGGGAGCTGGCAGCCTGTGGGCAGCAGTCCACCCACGGCCACTGCTTCTGCTCCCCAGTAAACCCCAGCAGGTGGCCAGGCCCCACCCTGCTGCCCAGGACAGGCTGGGCCAACCTTCCAGTCCAGGCCAGCCAGCAGGTAGCTCGGAGTGACCAGCGTGAGTGTGCTGCTCAAGGCGGGCCCAGGCCAGCGCCCCCACACCCCCCTTTGTGTTAGTGTGCTGGGGGCGGGGCTGGACAAGCCTGGCCCTGTGTCCCACCCACCCTGTAGAACCCAGCGAGGGACACTGCACACAGGCGTGGGCATGGGGGGCACGTTGGCACAGCTGGGCCGTGGCAGCTCCGTGGATGCCACCCTCTGTGTGGGCAAGCCAGGTTGCTGGCCCTGGGCACGCAGTGCCACCTTGCAGGGTGCATAGGGAGCACTTGACAACCTGGGGGGCCCTGGGCTGGAGTCGGCGGGCTCCCCCACACCGCCCCTCCCGGTCCAGGTAGCAGAGCCACTGTCCCACGACCACTTGGGCCACTTTTATTTGCAAACCCTGAGCGCTTCTGCGACAGTGCCCGGGGGTGGGGGGAGAGGGCTGGGGGAGGTGGTGGGCTGTGGTGGAGGCTAGGGTGGCCGGGGCACGGCCCCCAGAGTGTGCCAAGCGTGTGGGTCTGCGTGTGGACGCTCCTCGGGCACCTGACTAAGAAGTGCCGAGCCCCCACCCCCGCCGTGGAATGTGGGTGACGGGGCTGTGCCCGCCTTGAGCACCAGAGCCGGCGGGGGGCGGGGCCCCTCGGACATGCCCACTGGGCGTCTCTGGAGCCCGGTCCTTTGGCGCGGAGCCCGCGCGGTGGTCACGCGCAGTAGGTGTCGGCCTTCACCACCTGGCAGTACATGGTCATGGCGAAGGTCAGGCCCAGGATCTGCGGGGACACGTCGGGCTCCAGGATCCGGAGTGGGCCCACCGCCTCCCCGCCCGCGCCTCCCCCGGCCCGGCCCCCACCTGCACCAGCGCCGTGCACAGCCCGAAGACGCCCACGGCCAGCAGGTTCTCCTGGAGCCACACCTTCACCGTCTCGTAGCAGGGCTGCAGGAGGGGCGCGTCAGCGGCCGGCCCGAGCCCCCCACCCCGGGCCCCGGCCCCAGCGCCCGCGGGCTCACCGCCTTCCACCACGTGCCGGGCGCGTGCAGCCCGCAGCTCTCGCTGAACTCCAGGCAGCAGGAGTCGGGCACGCGCGTGGCGTTGTACACCTCGAACCAGTCGGTGTAGTTGGAGACCCCGCAGCAGCGGAACTGCGGGAGGGGCGGAGCTCTAGCCCGCGGCCACGCCCACTGGGGCCACGCCCCGCGCCCAGGCCACGCCCCCACGCCCCAGCTCACGTCCGTCTGAATGATGCTCCAGGCGTTGGTGAGGCCCACGTTGCCCGGGGTGCCGTACAGGTGCAGCCCCTTCTTCAGGTCCCGCTGCGCGTACCTGTCAATCTGTGGGCGCAGCAGGCTCGGGAGGGTGCCCACCTCCCCTCCCCGGCCCTCTCCACCTCGCCCACCCTGACGAGCATCGCGAGGGGGCCGCGGCAAAGGGGACGGACCAGTGGAGCCCAGGGCCGAGCTGGTACTGGCGGGACGAACGGGTCTGACGGAAGAACTAATTAGCAGAGCCACCAAGAGCTGGGGCCGAGCGTTCCCGTAACAGACCCGGGTCGGGCGCCGCAGACGCCCCCCACCCCACCCCGGCCTGTCCCGCGGGCGGGCGCACCTGCTCAGTGTAGGCGAAGAACAGGATGGCGACGGTGGCCTCCAGCAGGAACACCAGCAGCAACAGCACGAAGAACTGGGGGCAGGGGCGAGCCTCAGCAAGGAAGACCCGCCCGGCAGGTGGCACCCCTGCACCTCCCACGGGGGTCCGAGAGCGGGGCCGGCCGAGGCGGGCGCCCCACACTCACGGTCAGCAGCAGGCACTTGTGCTCCTTGATGGCCCCGACGCAGCCCACGAAGCCGATGGCCATGACGAAGGTGCCGGTGACCATGAGCAGGTTGGCGGCCGACAGGGACGGGAAGGAGGAGGACAGGGTCGCAAAGTTCCCCTGCGTGGCGGCCAGCCAGATGCCGACCCCCAGGATGCCACAGCCGCCCAGCTGGTCCACCGGGCAGAGAGAGGGCAGTGAGGGCCGGCCGCGTCCACCACCCCCTGCCCCACCCCACCCCTCCTGTCCTGTCCTCTCCTGTCCTGTCCGGTCCCCTAACCTCGAGCTGCAGCAAGGGGGCGCCACGGTGGGTGACCGCCTCTGCACTCGGGAACAAGGGCGGGCACCTGTGCAGGTGCCAGGGCGGCCCGGTGGGGGGCGCCCTGCCCGCTCAACACCAGAGTGCACTGTGCATGGGCACCACAGCCGTCCCCTTCTCGGGGGACGTCCCACCGCTGACGGTGACAAGGTCCACGAGAGGCAAAGCAGCCCTGAGCCTGGGGCCCAGGGGCACTGGGGCACCTCCACGGGGACTGCCTGGGGACAAACCCGCAGCCCACCTGCGCCAGCCTCAGCCCAGACGTTCCCTGCAAGCCCTGGGCCGGCCAGCATGAGCCCTGCAGCAGCCCCAGAGCGGGTGGCCAGACACCCCCGTTTCTCAGACCTGTAAGCTGAGGCACAGAGGAGCGGCTGTGCGCCCTGGCACTGAATCCCCCAGAGTGCGGCAGACCTGAGGGGCACAGGGCCCCACCCCTCCCGCTGCTCATGCCCTGGGTCTTGCAGAGAGCCTGTTCCCTGGTGCCAGTTCCCCCCGGCGGGGCAGCCGAGCAGGGACAAAGGCGGGCGCCCCATTCCACCTCTGCCCCCTCCAAGATGCCCAGCAGAAGCCGACACCTGGTGCTACTGCAGCCCCCGCCCTGCACAGAAGACAAGAAGGGGGTCCCTGCGCTGGCCTGCCAGAGTCTGAGGGAGGCCTGGTGGGCACGCTGGCTCAGGGGCCCACCTGCAGGGCCGGGCGACCATGATAGCAACCGGGAGGGAGGGGGGTGCGCAGGGCACGGAGCAGGGAGCAGGGACCTCCCGCCTGACCGCGGGCAGCAGTGTGGGCGGTGTTCGGGGCCGCGGGAATGGCCCCCTCGGCCTGAAGGCGAGCCCCAGGCAGGGCTGTGGTCGGTGGCCAGGGGCCCAGCAGCGGACAGGTGAGGTGCTCGGGGAGTTTGTATTTAAAGCCCGGAGCCCGTCTGGCCCCGCCTTCCCCGCCAAGGACGGCGCCAGGGCTCCTGTCAGCGGGAAAATGAGCAATGGACGGCTCCAGCGGAGCTCCCGGCCCCAGGGACCCCAAGGGCACCGCGAGGACGGGCGGGAGGAGGCAGGGAGGACGGGTGGGAGGACGGGCGGGAGGACACGGCCAGCAGCGGGCAGACCGCACGCAAAGCGGCCCCTCCTCAGCTAGCTCTCCCAGCCCGCTGGCCGCACGGTGCCACGGTCGCCGCCCACCCTCGTGGAGGGCGCAGAGACCAGCCGGGCGCCGTGGAGGGGCAGAACGCACGCCTCTCGCAGCCCCCCGAGGACCTGCGGTGTCCCCTCGCCCGCGTCTCTGCCCAGCTGCGTGTGTGGGGCCGGGGTCAGGCCCGTGAGGCGAGTGCCAGCCTGAGGCTCAGGGCAGCAGATGGCGGGCAGCTGAGTCTGCGTGAGGGGCTCGGTGCCCTGCAGGGCCCAAGTCTGCCCAGAGCCGTCCCGGCAGCCGGCACAGCCTTGGAGGAGCCAGCAGCAACGTGCCCTGCAGGGACTCCGGGGAAGCCCCTCCCGGCCAGGTTACGGGACTGATCTCGGCCCCGAACAAAGCAAGATGCCCCTTGGCAGGACGCTGGCGGACCCCTTCTGCAGGTGACTGGCCCACCGTGCACTGCTTCCCGACGCCCCCCACACCCCCAGTGCAGCCAGCGGGAGAGGGAAGCCGGTGTCCCATGAGGGGGCTCCCAGTCCACTCCCCAGGGTCAGCGCGGCACCCAAGGGGCAGCCCTGGGGAGACCAGCTGCCAGGGGGGAGGGAAAGAGCCGAGGGGGGGTGCCCGGCAGGGGGAGGGGTGCAGGGTGAAGGGGCGCAGGGCTGGGGGGAGGGGGAAGAGCCGAGGGGGAGGGGTGCTGGGCAGGGGGAGAGGGGCACAGGGTTCAAGGGGGAAGGGCGCAGGGCTGGGGGGAGGAAGAGCTGAGGAGGAGGAGGAGGAAGTAGAAGAGGAGAAGGAGCAGGGGAGCAGGGGGAAGAGCCGAGGGGAAGGGTGCTGGGCAGGGGGAAGAAGCACAGGGTCAAGCGGGAAGGGGTGCAGGGCTGGGGGAGGCGCACAGCCAGGAAGAGCCCCACCAGCAGGCTCCCAGCTGGGACCCAGGAGAGGTGCTCAGGAGCACTGAGGGGCCTCTCATGCCCACAGGGATCCCGCCCCCTCCAGTCAGTGCCCGGCCTGGTGGCACAGTGTGACACCCCGGCAGCAGGACCCCCTCAAAGCCCATCACAGGGTCCCTGGGGTCCCTGCTCCCTCCACTGACCCCGCTGCACCCTGGGGACCCACGTGGAGGCTGGCAGGGGTGCCCAGCACAACACCCTAGATCTGGGCACCAGTGTAGGGCAGGGGCGGCCGGGGAAGGTGAGGGACTGAGTCTGTCTCCCAAACAGGGCCCAGGACAGGGTGAGCCAACCGCCCACGCTGCTGTGTGTGTGTGGGGGGGGGGGGTCGCCAGGACCCTGCAGCCCCAGGTCTGGGAGCACGAGGTGGGGGGGAGGTGTGCATACAAGGAGCTGGTTCCCCCAGCACCTGCCACCTGCCCCACAGGTATGGGGGGGTCAGGACACCACCTGGGCCTTGGGTCTGAGATGGACCCTCCCCGTCACCAAAGTGACCAGCACCCTGCAGAGAACAGGACCCACCAGCCTGAGCTGCCCCCCCCCCGGGGGGGGGCATCTGGGGACTCCACGTGCGGAGGATGTGTCAGTGCGGTGTGCCGCGTCGGGCGCTCCGGGGAGTCCGGGGTCCCGGACCCCTCCCTCGAGGGGGGCGCACAGCCACACCGTGTGCAACCGGGCTCCCCACCAGGTCCCCCTGCAGGTGCCGGCAAGGACCCTGCTCCGGCGCCCGGCCTGGGGGGGGAGGGTCAGAATGCCCGCCCGCCCGGGCACCTGCGGGCTTCGGGAGCGGGGTGCCCCGCCTGGGGGCCCCGGGGCGGGGTGGGGGCGACTCACCCAGAAGAGCAGGTTGAAGGCGAACATGAGGTACTTGACGCCCTGCAGGCAGCCGCGCGCCATGCTGCAGCGCCGGAGCTCTAGGAGGAAGATGAAGGACAGGTCCAGGTAGAAGACCACGTACTTGGCGCCCTTGGGCGACGGGTAGCGCGCGCGGGCCGCCTTGGGGCCGGGGCCGGCGCGGAGGCCGAAGGCGCCGCCGCCCCCCGCGCGCCCGAACCAGCCGCGGCCGCGCGCGCAGCCCGGCTCGGGGGCGTCGGGCGACGGGCTGCGCCGGTACGCGGACTCGGTGCTGGAGCGGCGCATCGCGGCCCCGCGCCCGGGACCCCGCGCCCCCGCGCCCCCCGCGCCCGCGCCGCGCCGCCGCCACCTGCCCGCGCCGCAGCCCGCGCCCCGCCCCGCGGCGCCCCGCCCCCCGCGCTGCCCAATGACCGCCCGGGCCGCGCCGGCCCCGCCCCGCAGCCGGGCCCGCGCCGGACGCCGCCGTGGTCAGCGGGCCCCGCCCGCCCGCCCGCCCGCCCGCGCCCCGCTCTGGCCTGCGGGCCTCCACGGGCGAGGGCTCTGGTGTCCAGCGCCCCTGCAGGGAAGGGCCGGGCTGACCCCACGCCGCTAGGCCCGAGCCGGCCTGCGCCCCGGCCCCCGTGGGCCGGACACCCGGGGACTGCCGCCTCACCGTCACCTCCCGTCCACTCCTGCCCAGGCCCCCGCGGGACACGGGTGGGAGCCCCAGGGGGCGGGGGCTCTGTGGCTGGGCGGCCGCAGCGCCACTGCCCACCCCTCTGGCCCCTGGCTGAGTTGCTGAAAGACCACCGCGGGCACCGGGTTCCAGCCCCGGCCAGGCCCACCTGAGACGGCGCCACCACCCAGCCCTGACCCCTGAGCGGGGGCAGACTGCGGTGGGGACAGGAGCCCCCCGTCACGGGCACATTCGGGAGAGGGCGGGCGACTGGGCAGCACTGCTGCCGCTGCCTCACCAGCACGCTGGCGGCAAAGGCCAGCTGGGAGAGCTGGACGGGTGTCCGGTGGGCAGTCAGTGAGCGAGGCCACTAGGCGACCCCTTGGACACTCGGGAGGTGGGAGGGCAGGCACCAGGCATGTCCAGGAATCAGGGACATCAGGAGACCCAAGTGCCGCACCCTCGGCGCCCAGCCAGCGAGCAGGCTCAGTGGGCACGGCCGCAGCAGGAGGACTGTGAAGGGGACAGAGACGGACAGGAAGCCCCCCCTCTGCTCCAGGGCGAGGGGCCCACTGGGGGAGTCCACCCTCTGGCCTTGGCACCAGGGCGCCCAGGAGGCCACTCAGAGTTGGGGCGAGGATGGGCCCCCATACTGCCCCCCAGGGCACTGGAGGTGGTCTGTCCACTGACACACCTGTGCCAAAGGCTGGCCCAGCAGCCTTGCAGGGAGCGGAGTGGAGCCTGGCTCCAGGAGGGCCGAGAACCAGCGCCACACTGGGTGGCCCAAGCCATGGCCCTGCCATGGGAGTCCCTGGAGGCCTCCAGTCCAGCCGGGCCTGGGGGCCTCCCAGCAGCTCGGACATTTAAAACGCCAAGACCCTGTATCGCCTCCACCGCAGTGCACCCCACACTTACCGCGGTGTCCCCCCACTGCAGTGTCCCCCCCACCGCCACCGCAGTGCACCCCAGCCGGGCCTCAGCAGCAGGTCAGCAGCGCCCCAGGGTCCCCGCTCTGGGAACCAGGAAGCGTAGCGGTCAGCACCCGCGGCCAAAACGAAGGCCCCGCCGATGGCACGGCCCCTCCATGCGCCTCCTGGAGTCCTGGAGCACTCCTGAAGCACCCCCGGGCCAGGGCACCCCCAGGCCAGGGTAGAGTCCAGCCCAGCACCCTGGCAGCGACAGGGCTGGGTGGCCAGCGGAGCCTCCGGGAGAGACCCCCGGCCCGGACGGTCCTCCCTGCGCCGAGGGACAGCAACGGCCCGTGACCCGGGAGGAGCTGGAGGAGAGGGGAGCCCCGCAGAGGCAGGAAGCAGCCCGCACCCCCCAGGGCCCCCCGGCCGGGCGGGTGGGCTCCCCACCTGGTCCCCGCGGGCTGAGCACCGCTGGGCGTGCGCGGCTCCCGCGCGCGTCACCGCACCCCGCGCAGGGGCCCCGCCTGGACGGCACGTCGGGCGCGCGGCTGCCCGGGAATAACCCGGCGGCAGGAAGCGGCGCGCCCCCTCCGCGGCCCCCCACGCGGGGCCAGCACGCCCCGTTCCCGGAAAGCCCGCCCACGGCCGGCCACCGCCGGGCGCAGCGGCCCGGCCTCCCCGCGGCCCGAGTCCCGCGGCGGCGCCCCCCGCGCACGGACGAGCGGCCGGGGCCTCGGCGCGCGGGCGAGGGGCGCGCGGGGCGGGCGGGGGGCGCCGCGCCCGCCTCCCGCCGCCCGCCGCGCCCCCAGGAATGTCAGCCGGGCCCCGCGCGGGCCGCCCTCCTCCGGGAAGCCCTCCGGGAGGCCCCCGCGCGGCCCCCGCCCTCACCTCGCGGGGCCCGGCCGCTCGCGTCCCTGCGCGCTCGGCCGTCCTCGGCGCTGGCCGGGACAGGATGTGCGCGCGGCCACCCCGGGGCCGGGAGGGGGGCGGCGCGGAGGGGAAGTGCGGGCGGCTCGTGGCTCGGCACGTGGCGGGGGGGCCGGCGGGCGGGGCGCGGAGGCCCGGCCCGGCGCGGGCTCGGGGGGCGGCGGCGCCGCCGGGGGTCTCGCGCCGCCCCGCCAACAGTCCGGCGGGGGCCGGGGCCTGGGACACGCCCCCGTCCCCGGGCGCTCGCCGCGCCCCTGCCCGGCCCTCGGGGACGCGGGACCCGCCGCCTGCGGGCCCGGACGCATCTGCGGGCCCCCGGGCTGTGCTCCGGGCCGCTCGGGCCCCCCTGCGGACGCCCCCGTGACCGCCCCGGGCCCCCGCCCCTCCGCGGACTAGCGCCCTCGGGCGAGCGCAGGCGCCCCGCGGTCACGAGCAGCGCGAGCGCGCGCCGAGCCCTTAGGGCCCCTGGCGGCCGCCGTAGCGCGGGACGCACCAGGCGCGCGCGGGGGTGTCCGCGCGGGGCGGCGGCGGCGGGGGCGGGGGCCGCGTCCGCGCGGGGTCTGGGGGGCGCGCGCGGGGGGTTCCCGGCCGTGCGGGGGCGCGGCGGGGCGCGGCGGGGCGCGCGCGGCGGCCCGGGGGGCGGCGGGACGCGGCGGGGCGGGGCGCGCGCACCCCCGGAGTTGGGCGCGCCCGGGCGGGGCGGCCGCGGATTGGCCCGCGCGGGGTCCCGTCGGGTCCCCAGTCCCCGCCGCCCTCGCCGCCGCCGCCGCCGCCAGCATGATCATCCCCGTGCGCTGCTTCACGTGCGGCAAGATCGTCGGCAACAAGTGGGAGGCGTACCTGGGGCTGCTGCAGGCCGAGTACACCGAGGGGTGAGCGCCGGGCGCCCCGCGTCCCGGGGAGGGGGCAGCCCCGGGCCCGGCGGCACCTGGTTCCCCGCGTCCCGGGGGCGGGGTGGGGGGCAGCCCCGGGCCCGGCGGGACCTGGTTCCCCGCGTCCCGGGGTGGGGGGAGGGCAGCCCCGGGCCCGGCGGGACCTGGTTCCCCGCGTCCCGGGGGGCGGGGTGGGGGGCAGCCCCGGGCCCGGCGGGACCTGGTTCCCCGCGTCCCGGGGGTGAGGTGGGGGGCAGCCCCGGGCCCGGCGGGACCTGGTTCCCCGCGTATTGGGGGGTGGGGGGAGGGCAGCCCCAGGCCCGGCGGGACCTGGTTCCCCGCGTCCCGTGGGGTGGGGTGGGGGGCAGCCCCGGGCCCGGCGGGACCTGGTTCCCCGCGTATTGGGGGGTGGGGGGAGGGCAGCCCCGGGCCCGGCGGGACCTGGTTCCCCGCGTCCCGGGGGGCGGGGTGGGGGGCAGCCCCGGGCCCGCCGGGACCTGGTTCCCCGCGTATTGGGGGGTGGGGGGAGGGCAGCCCCGGGCCCGGCGGGACCTGGTTCCCCGCGTCCCGGGGGGCGGGGTGGGGGGCAGCCCCGGGCCCGCCGGGACCTGGTTCCCCGCGCCCCTTAGTGCTGTCTGGGCCGCTTTGGCGTCCCAGGCAGCCCCCAGCCCCATCGCGCGGACTCCTGTGCGGCGCACCCCGGGACCCCCTCGTGCCCTTCTCCCGCAGGGATGCCCTGGACGCGCTGGGCCTGAAGCGTTACTGCTGCCGCCGCATGCTGCTGGCCCACGTAGACCTCATCGAGAAACTGCTCAACTATGCGCCGCTGGAGAAGTGACCCTCATCCCCCAGCACACTCCGGGGGGATTGCCCGGGACCCCGCCTGCCTCCCGGGGTGGAACCAGCAGTGAAGACCCTCCGCCCAGAGATGGACACTTGGAAGCCTGCATCTGCAGTTCCGCTGCGGCCCTGACCCCCCCTCCCCCACCCACCCCACCCAGCCTCCTTGCTCCACTAGAAACCCACCCTAAAACCTCCAAGGCCCCAGAATGGAAACGCCTTTTCCTATAAACCCATTTTCAGCCAAAGTCTCGTCGTGGACTGTTTCTTTCTTCCCACGACCCTGATCCCAGACCGGTCGGGTGTGAGCTGACCGTGTGGGGCCACCAGGAACTCCCTCTCGAGTTCTGGTACCTCCAGGCCAAGCAGATTCTGTTCCTGAGATCTGTGCCATGGCAGTGCCCACGGCTTCCCTCAGAGAGCCTGAGGCCACAGCGCGATCCATGCCCCGAGCTGTTTTGTTTTGCGTGTGTGTTTTGGGCTTGGGCCACACCCAGCCTGGCTCAGGGATTACCCAGGCAGGGTGGAGTCAGGGATGGAAGCTTGGCTGCCAGCAAGGCAAGTGCCTCAGCCCCCCATTCTGTCTCCGGCCCCCCAAAAGCTCCAAACTGCACAACCCCGGCTGCTGAGGGGGCCTGCTGGCAGGGCTGGGCCCTCTGTGACCCTCCCACTCTGGACCCCCCTGCAGCAGGAGACCCCAGGACAGGAGTGGCTTTCTGAGGCAAGCGGGCTGTCTGCCCAGCTGTGCCGCGTTTATTCAGTTTTGGCGTACACAGGTCAACCGAGGCACTCGTACAGCAGTGGGGACGTGGGGGCCCGGGCTGGAGGGACTCGACTCGGGCTTTAGCACAGCAGTGGGGACATGGCCTCTAGACAGGGTCCTGCCAGCTGCTCCCTGGACGGTGAGCCGGGATTCAGCGGTGGGCAGCGTCCCTTGGCACTTAGGTACCATCCGAGTACCCTGGGTTTGTCAGGAGCTGGGGAGACTCCAGGTCGCCGGGACCCCACCTCAAGGGCCCTTGCAGCCCTGGGGAGGGGCCCCGGGAACTGTGGCATGCAGAAAGGCACGCGTGGCCCAATGCTCAGTAGTGTTCGCTCAGTAGTGGGGCGGCGGCGGCGAGGTGCGGGCCGGAGTCAGTAGTGCTCCAGCTTCAGGCTCTTGTACAGGCAGCACGTGGCTATCATGCCGAAGACCTGCACAGAGCAGCCCGTGTCACAGGCCCGAGGGCAGCCCCCACCCCCCAGGCTCCCCTCGCCACACACCTGCACACAGGCGATACCAATGCCCACGGCACCGATGATCCGCAGGTGCTCCTGTATGAACCTCTCGAGCTTGGAGATGCAGCCGCCCTGGGGGGAGAGGGGGAGGCAGGTGGGTCCTGGCCGCCCCGCCCCCACCCACCTCCACCCTGCAGATGCCCACTCCCCCCCTCCCCATTAGCCTGCACATGGGCGTGCCGCACACCCCACTGCAGGGGGGGGGGGCAGCTGCCTCCACAGGGGAGGTGTCCAGGATGGTCTGCACCTCACCCTGCCCCCAACCTGTAATGGAGGAGTGGGTGGTTGTCCCCACCCAGCAGATGCTGGTTTGTGTGTGTGTGTGTGTGTGTGTGTCCGGCCATTCTGTCCCTGCACCTACCTCCTCCACCCAGCAGATGCTGGTTGGGGGGGAAGGGATGTGGGTATGTGGGTGTGGGTGTGGGCGTGTGTGTGCTGCCTCTTGTCCCAGCTGGTTTGGGTGTGTGTCCTGCCATCCTGTCCCTGCATCTACCTCCACCCAGTAGGTGTGTGTGTGTTTGTGTATATGTGTGTTTATGTGTGTGTGTGTCCCGCCTCCTGCCCCTGCACCTACCTCCACCCGGTAGATGTTGGAGGCGTGGTCCCGCACCCCACAGCCAGACACCACAGTCTTGCAGCAGCTGTCCGGCACCACGCGGCCGTCCGCCTCCTCGGAGTGCACCCACCGGCTGTCCCTCCAGTCGTAGGAGTTGTTGCTGCCACAGCAGTGGAACTGGGGGCACCACGTGGCTGAGCAGGGCGCACGCACCGCAGGGACCCCACCGCTACCCCCCACCCCTGCTTCTGCCGGGGCTCCCCTCACCTCCTGGTGCAGCTTGTCCACTGCACTGGTCACGCCCTCATGGCCCCGCTGGTGGTAGCGCTGGGTCATGGTGTCCTTCAGGTTCTCCTTGAGCTCCGTGCTCAGCTGGGGGACGAGGGGAGCCCATGAACGAGGGCGGGCAGTGTGGCCATGCCACCCAGGGAGTGGATGGAGGCCGCGGTGCCCACTGCTCACCTGCTGGTAGTAGACGTAGGCCAGGATGCCAGCGATGGTCTCCAACAGGAAGATGATGAGCAGCAGGATGAAGTACTGGGGACAGGGACACCCTCGGCGCGTCAGGACCGCTGCCCCCGGCCCCAGAGCAGGGCCCCTCGCAGGAGGGTGCTGCCCGCCCCCCGTCCCCCACACCCCCACTGACCAGCCGCAGCAAGTTCCGGCGTTCCTTGAACGTGGCGCAGCAGCCCAGGACCCCGGTCACCATGACGACCACCCCAGCCACCACCAGGATGTAGGCCGTGGCCAGGTAGGTGCCCGAGGCCAGCAGACTGATGTAATCGCTCTTGAAGGCCAGCGTCCAGATGCCCACGGCCATGACAGCCAGGCCAGCCAGCTGTGGGCAAAACGGGTTCACCATTGAGGCGGAGGCCCTGAGAGGAGCCCCCTGGGAACAAGGGAAAGGTGGGGGGCTGGGCCAGGAGCCCCCAGGATATGGGGGAGAGGTGAGGGACCAGTGAGTTCTGGGGGGGGCCTGGCAGAAGCCCCCCCAAGGAATGGGGAAGGGGTGGGGGCTGATTCATGAGATGTTCCCTCCACCCCCGCTCTGGGGCCCAGAGAGACCTGGTGGAGGGGTATGGAGGGAAGGAGCACTGGGCTGTGAGCCTTCCTAGGACAAGGAGAGATGGGGGCTGGGCTGTGAGACCCCATAAGACAGGCTGCAGGCGGTGCCTCACCCAGAAGCAGCAGTTGAAGGCGAACAGCAGGTACTTGAGGCAGACGGTGCCACATGTGGCGTTCTTCTCGCTGAACTCCCCCATCCTGGAGGGCTGTCAGCACCCTCAACGCCGGGCCTGGACTGGGGACAGCCACCCCGGGCTCACAAGGACACTCCCGGCTGCAGGCCAGCCGCTATGTCCACCAGAGCCCTGCCCAGCCCTGGAAACAACACGGCTGGACGTGGGGAGCGGGCACAGACTGCCCGAGATCGTCCCCGCTGACTGCCCTGCGCAGGATGCAGCTGGCCGCCCCACCCTGCCGGGCATTCCCAGACCGCATCACCCATCCGGGCCCCTCGCTGGCCCCCGGCCTCAGGGAGCCTCCAGGAGGGGCGGGCCGCGACCTCAGGGAGAGGCCGGCTCGCTCCCGGCACTCACCTGGCTGGCAGGAAGTCCGCCGCGGGGCAGGTGGGCAGGTGGGCAGGTGGGCAGGCCTCAGGCCACAGGCTGCGCTGGAACGCAAGGACGGCCCCGTCTGGCTCCGGCCGGACCCTGGGGCACCGGGGCCGGGACCCGGCTGGACGGCCGGACGGGACGCCGGGGACCGGCCGGCGGGGGTCTCGGCCTGCCGCGTCCCCGGCCCTCCTATGCCCTGCCCCGACGGCCCCGCGCGGGCCCTGGTGGACGGGCCCCGCGGCCGCCAGGGCGTGGCCGCCCTTCCCGGAATGTTCCGAGCCCCTGGGACCCGGCGGCCAGGAATAGCCCTGCAGGCTGGACGGCGCCGCCCGGCCCCGCCCCTCGCGGGCGCGCCCCGGAGCCCGCCCACACGCACCTGCGGGCGGAGGTCCGGGTCGCCTCCCCGGGACCCGGGCTCGGCCCCGCGAGCCGCTGCCCGGCGCCCACCGCCCGCCGGAGCAGGAGCAGGCCCGCCCGGGGCCGCGGCCTCCCCGACCCTCCGGCCACCGCGTTCCGGGCCGCATCGCGCCGGGAGCGCGTCCGGGCCGTCCAGGCCTCCCCGCGCACTCACCCGCCACGCTCGGAGTCGGGCCCGGCGGCGCGAGCCTGCGGGGGCGGCGGCCGGACGCGCGGAGAATGCGGGGTCCGCGGCCTGCAAGCGCGACTGGAGCCCGGCCCGGCCCGCCCGGGGAGGCCCCGCCCAGCGCCGGCCCCGCCCACGCGCGCCGGACGGCGACCCCGCCCAGGCGCCGGGCCACGCCCCTCCCGCGCAGCCTCACGCTGGGCCACGCCCCCCGGGTCGCCCGCAGGCCGGGCCACGCCCCGACACGCCCACAAGTCGGGCCACGCCCCCAGGTCCACCCGCCGCGCTCCCGGCTCCCGGCGGCCGCGCTGGGGAGCCACCCAGACCCGCGGGCCAGGCGCCGCCCTTTTGAGGACCCCACAGCTCAACCTTTCTCGCACTCTCGGGACACCGAGCAGCGTAGCAGCCCGGCCCCAGCCTTCGGGTGCCCGGACCCACCCCCCTTTCCTTTGGAGACTGAGGGGACAGCAGTGCCGCGGGGCAGGCCTTGGGGGGGCGCGGGAAAGGATGCTCCGACCTACAGGGTCACTGGTGTGAGGGCTCAGACCTCGGCCGAAGCCGGAGAGGCAAGGGCTGGGGGCCAGAAACTGCTCTCCCGCGTGGAGGGGCAGGAGGGGAAGGCCCCGCGGGCCCAGCAGGCTGGTGCCAGCCCACACTGCCACCAGCTACTGTGTTTGGGGAAGGTGCCGCGGCGGTGGTGCTCGGGGACCATATGCTGGGCCTGGGTTTGGATCTGCGTGGATTTCAACAGCTGCCCGCAGGTTGTCCCTTTGTTCCTCTCTGCCCCTACCCATGCCACCTGCTGTCACTGCCCAAGCCATGAGCACCCAGCTTCAGGCCGGGCAGCCTCCCAAGGGGCTGAGGGGAGGCTCGAGGGGGTGCGGAGCTGGCCCACTCGGGGCAGTGAGGTCAGGCTGGGGAGGGGGGCAGGGCACCCGGGGCTGTGCCCTGGTGACACACGGGCCTCAGTTCCCTCCCTCCTACAGAGTGCCCCTAAGGGCTGAGGGCACGAGCAGGGCACTCAGCGAGACCCACAGGTTGACAGGGATAGAGGCTGCACCACAAGTTGTGCACCTGTATCACGCACGCAGTACCACGCGCCTGCTTGCCCCGTGCCCTGGGAACCCAGACATGCACACACAAGTGCCGTGGCCACGCCGCCTCTACCAGGACGGCCGTGCAGTCACAGGGCTTTATTTGGAGGAGGGGCTCCTGGGGGCCCATGGGGGTCCGACCCCCGTGAGTTCCTTCACAGCTGCTGTCCTCCAGGAGTGGCTCAGCCGGGGCTGCTCAGTGGATGCTGGGAAAGTGGCCGGAGCCCCGGCGCGGGGGTCCAGCCCAGCAGCAGCAGCAGCACGGGGGGTCCGGCAGGCGAGTTGCGGCCGGGGCCTTTCTGCAGCTGCTGCTCAGTCGCTTGGCGTCCCAAGCGTCGCGCTCGTCTCGCAGACGGGTGTTCAGCTCCCTGGGGTGCGAGAGGCGCAGGGCTCTGAGCTGGCTGCGGGCGGGCGCGGGCCCAGGGCGCGACTCCCGTCCCTCCCGCCGCTCGGCACCTGAGCAGCTCCAGCTGCCGCAGCAGGCTCAGCTTCTCCTTCTGCATGTTCCTGGACACCGCCACCACCTCTCTGGGGGAGGAGAGAACAGGAGGTGACCCAGCTGCGGGAGTGAGGGCGCGCACGGAGCGGCGCAGGCTGCCCGCACCCACCGCCCACCCCTCGCCCGCCCCTCCTGGCACCGTTGGGTTTGCTCCTGACGACCCTGCACGTGGCCCTCCAGCCGACGGAGCTGCTCCTGGACGTCCTCCAGCTGCTTCCGCAGTGCCTCGTTGGCCAGCCACAGCTGGGCGCTCTGTGCCTGCGTCTCCAGCTGCTCGGCCGCCCTGGCTTGCAGCTGCTGCTCCAGCTGCGGAGGTGTGCGGGACGCGGGCTGCAGAGGACCGCAGCTCCCGCGCGACCCCCGCTCTCCGGGAGGAGGGGGATGCGTTTGGGCCCGCCCCCCCGCCTTTCCCAGGCTGGGAACACGGAGGCGCCCGGGAGGGCAGCAGCCGGGCGGGGGGCGCTCACCTCCCGCTGCCGCAAGCCCGCGAGTTCCAGCTCCTGCTCGCGCGTGTGCAGCTCCAGCTCCAGGCGACCCCTCCGCTCCTCCCGGGGCCGGTCCTAGGACGCACGTCGGGCTCCTGAGCGGACGCGCGCGCCGCGGCGGGGGCGGGGCGGGGGCGTGCCCGGGGCGGGGCCAGGACCCACCTGGCTCCGCCCCCGCGGGCGCTCCTCGCGCTGCTGCTGCTCCAGCTCCTCGTACAGGCCGCGCACCTCCCGCTCGTGCTCGCTCTCCCGCCTGCACCGACCGCGGGGAGACCGGGGCTCAGAACCGGCCGCGCCCCGCCGGCCCCTCCGGCCCCGCGCCCCGCCTCACCGCCGCAGCGCCTGCTCCAGGCCGTCGCGCTCCCGAGCCGCCTCCTGCAGGCAGGCCGACGCGCGGGTCAGGACGTCCTCGAAGGCGCCCAGCAGCTCGGGTCGCTCGCGCTGCAGCCGCGTCCACAGCGCTCGCACCGCCCGCTGCCTGCAGGGGGGCAGGGCTCAGCTGGGCGGGCGCCGCCGGACCCCCTTCCGCCCCGAGGGTCGTGTGGCAGGCGGCGAGGGCAGCGGCGCGCGCGTGTGCGTGTGCGTTTGCGTGTGCGTGTGTGTGTGGACGCCGCCTCCGCAGCAGCCTGACATGCAAATTCTGCGGGAAATCACGGGGCGACAGCCGCCTGGGGCGTGTGGACCAGGTCAGCGAAGGGCCGGCCGGGGGGGCCCGCCCCTGACTCACTCGCCCAGGACCCGCGCCACGCCCAGCTGCTCCAGCGCCGCGCAGAACCTCTCCTCCTCCTCTTCCTCCTCCTCCAGGGAGTCCTCTGTGCCAGGCACATCAGAGCCGCCGGTCTCAAAGGTTTCTTCGGGAGCCCAGCAGGGCTGGACGCCCTGGGCCAACTCCGCCCCCACAAACCTCCCTGCAGGCATGGATGGGAGGGCGCGATTTCCGACAACAGATCGCAGGATCACACGCTACACACACACACACACACACACACACACACACACACACCCATATCCTGCTCCTTCTGGGAGCCGGGTTTCCTGTTTTTCTTATTCTAGTCCAGTTCCTGGCCTGGGTCTGAGAGGTGACAGCCGCGTTCCCACCAGAACGGGACTCCCCCAAGTCCCAGTCCTCGGGTGGGGCCTGGGATGAGGGAGTGGAGGGTCCCGGGGAGCGAGTGCGGGGGGCGGGGGGTGGGCTTCAGGCACTCCGTGGTGGGGGGCCGCAGGTGGTGCTCTGGGAGCCCCCGCAGGGTCCAGGGGGCCCGGTGGGGGGACTGGGCAGCTCACCCAGGCCCAGGCAGAACTCGCGGGCCGTGAGGAAGCCCGTGCCCGCCTGGTCCAGACTGTGGAACACGGCGGCCAGCTGCTCCGGCGTCAGGGGCAGGTCACTCTGCAGGCCCTGGCCGGACAGGGGACAGGCTGGAGCGCAGGGCGCGCGGGTGGGCGCGCGGGTGGGCGCGGGCCCTGGGGCACGGACTCACCTGCAGGTCGAGCTGCGTGATGAAGCCCTTTTCCTCCTTGTCGCAGAGCAGAAACAGCTCTTGGGCCTGCTCCAGCACGGCTGCCCGGGGGCCCTCCGAGCCCCCCGCCGCCCCCGTCGCGGGGCTGGCCATGCCGGGCTGGGTGCTGTGAAGGGAGCCAAGGAGTCCGCTGAGGGCGCCCCAGAGGAAGCCCGGGAAGGGGCGACGGCGGGAAGGGTGGGGCCCCAGGGGGCCGTGTGGGGGCCATGTGGCACGTGCGGAGGGTGCGCGGAGGGTGCGGCTGGCCTGGATGCGGGCCACGTGGGGGAGAGGCTGGGCCCGGCAGGAACTGACCCCCGACGGAGGGAAGGAGCGTGGGGTGGCCGCTGGGGGGGCGCAAAGCCGGCAGTGGGCAGGTCCTGGCAGCAGGAGCCCCTCCCCTCCCTGGGGCCCTTGGGGGTGTGTCCCGGCAGCCCCCCCGCCCGCCGGCCCCGCCCCTTCGCCAGACTGGCCCCTCCACCTCCCCCGCACGGCCGGCGCTGCGGGGTCCCTCCCTCCCCGGGGCTGTCCCGCCTCTCACCAGGGTCCTGCCCACCGCGCCCTGGGTCTCGGGGATGGCGGGACCCTCTCACCTCAGTCCAGGGCCATGGCTGTCCCCCCGACCCGCGTGGGGACCGTCTCGGAGGACACGTCCGGGATGTGCGCGGGGGATCCCCGCAGAGGTCGCCCCTACGCGCCCGGGCCGGGGCCTGCGCCCAGAGCTCTGTCCAGGCGGAAGCCGCGGGGCGGCCACGCCTGGAGCAGGGCCCGGCCGGCCACCTGCGCCCCCTGGTGCTGCCACCCCAGCCCGCAGCGCCGCGCGCCCCGACGGCCACCCGCAGCCCCAGGACGCGGGCGGGACAGCCCCGGGGGCAGCTGCTCCAGGAAACGGGCCGGGCCCTGCACACAGGGGACCCGCGGCGGGCGGGAGGGGCGGTGGCCGGCGGCTGCCCTGTCCCCGCCTCCCGCGCCGCGGCCCGGCTCTGCACACCCGCCCGCGGCGCTCGGCCTGGCGGGACCCCAGCACGGAGGCAGGACACCCAGGGCGGTCCAAGCCACACAGAGGAGCCGGGCCGGGCCAGCTGGACGGACAGCGGGTTCCCTGAGCCCACCCCTCGCCCTCCGCCCCACACACCCCCTTGCGGCTCTGGCGCCTTGGGACCCAGGCCGGTCACAGCCGAGGCGAGGAGCCTCGCCCTGCCACGTGAGCACCCGCGCAGGTGCCAGCGTGTGGGGCAAGGAGACCCCCTCCCTCCGGCCGAGCCCTCCCGGGACGGCGGCGGGGGACACGGTGGCCTTCCTGCTGGGGACAGCGGCCCTCTTCCCCAGCCCCCTCCCGGCGGGGCCTTGGCCCGGCACCCACCTGGAGGGGCCGCGGGGGTGCGCCCTGGCAGGTGGGGGGCTGGCAGCGCTCGCTCCGGGGATCCGGCCGCCTGTGACAGGTTGGGCCTATCGGTCGGGACCTTGAGGAGGGAGGGGTTGGCCCCTGGCACCCGGGAGACGTGCGGGGACCTGCCCAGCCGGCTCTCCCGGTCCTTCGCGGCGCACAACCGTTATTGTTGGCAGGGGGCTCCGGCCGCGTGACTCCCCGGCAGGGCTCAGGCGGGGCGCAGGGCAGGCCCAAGATCCGAGATCCAAGATCGGGACGGTGTGCGCGGTGCCCTCCCCAAGGGACCTGCGACCCCCAGAGGGCCTGGGCGCCCCCCGCAGCCCCCTCCGCCCCGCTCATCCCAGATGCCCCCTCGCTACTGTCCAGGCGGGGAGCCCGAGCGAGGGGGTCCCGCCGGGAGGAGGAGCGCGCGCGTGGGAGCCCACCCGACACAGCTGGTCCCCGCGGCGGGCCCCACGCCCGTCGCCGGCTCGGCTCAGAGGTGGACGCCTCCTTGCGTAAACATTCTTCGTTTTTATTCAGCAGCCGACCAACCGAGTGCCAAGTGTTTCCCCTTGGCAGCTGCGTCCAGCGGGCGGGGCTCGGGGGCAGGGGGACCCCCAGACCCGGGGGCGGGGCTGCAGAGGCGAAGGAGGCGGGACTGAGCCGTGGCTTTTATTACATCTGCTTCGGCGAAAATAAATAATCATTGGGCCAGACGCGGCCCAGGCGGAGGGCGTCCCCGAGGAGATAACACTGCGCGGGCGGGCGCGGGGCGGCGCGGGCGCGCTCAGCACGGGGGCAGGCCCGGCGGGTGCTGCGGGGGCGCGGCGGGGTCGGCGGCGGGGGCGGCGGGCGCGCGCATGCGCAGGGCGTCGGGCGGGAAGGCCACGTTGGTGCAGAAGAGGCCGAGCAGCAGCTGGCGCTGGCACTCCTCCCACTTGGCCAGCGCGTCCCCGAGCAGGAGGCCGTTGCGCATCCAGCTGGGGAGCGACTCGCTGTAGGTGGCACAGGACAAAGGCACGGACGGCAGCGACTGGACGCGACGCAGCTCGGCCTGCTCGGACAGCCTGCGGCGGGAGGGGCGGGCACGGGCTTCAGTGGGCGCCCGGGCCGGGCAAGCGGGCGCGGAGGCCCCAGGCCGGGGGGACGCTCACCTGGAGGGCAGGTGGCTGCCCAGCTTCCTCTTGGCGCGCATCACCAGGTACTGGCAGATGCTGCCCGTCTGCTCCTTCATCCACCGGATGTCCTCGGGGACGTCAGGGAGCCACTCCAGCAGGCTGCGGAGGGTCAGGGTCTGGGGTTAGGGCCAGCGGCCAGCCCGCACCCTCCTGCCTCACCGACACGTTTCACCACAGTGCCCCCCACCCCCTAACTTTGGGGGAGGAGGGACCGCACCCTGCGGTGCTGGGCTAACTCCTGACCAGGATTCAGTCCTGGTGCGGCTCGAGACTCCCGTGGGATGATGAGGAGAGGCCCTGGGGTCTGCTGCGTGCAAGGCAAGTGTCCGACCCGCTATGCTATCTCTCCGGCCGCCGCCTGTTGCTTTACAAATAACTTTCCAGGGCCAGAGCGGTAGCACCACGGGCAGGCGGTTGCCTGGCACGTGGCAGACCCTGCGGTCTAACTTGACTTCGATCCCTGGCACCCTCTATGGTCCCCAAGCACCACCAGGACTGACTCCTGGGTGCAGAGCCAGGAGTAAAGCCTGAGCATCACGGGGTGTGGTTCCCCCCCACCACCACCAAAAAGTAAATAAATACTAAAGACTTCCACCCTCGGGGCAAAGAAAGGAAAGAAGGCATCTCCCCTGTGGCGCCAGGGATCAAACCCCGGGCTTGGCACTTGCAACCCCGTGCTCTGCCTCTGGGCCACCCCAGGCCCGGGCCGGCCCGGGCTCCTGGCAGCGCAGCCAGCGCCGGGGCTTCCTCCCGCCAGCAGCGGCCTCCTGCCCGGGGTCTCCCCGTCCTGGGGGGCTGCAAGCCGCACCGGATGGTGAAGGACACGGCGCTCTCCAGCGGCAGCGTGTAGGGCACCATCATGGCCGTGGCCAGGCGCACGGGCAGCATGTTCGAGAGCGTGCTCAGCAGGTCTTTGGGCTCCACGCAGGCCTCCAGCAGGGCTGCGGGGACACGAGGCGGGTTGGCGGCCGGCCGGGGTCGCCGGGGGTCGCCGGGGCCCCGCGCGCCCCGCCCGCGCACCCACCGTCATTGAGCCGCGCGGGCAGGCGCTCCAGGATGCGGTGGTCGTCGCGGGGCGGCGGCAGGGGGCACTCCGGCCGGGCCCTGTCCGCGGCCTCCTCCGCCTCCTCGTCCTGGTCCTCGGGGGCCGGGGGCCGGGCGGGGCCCAGCGCCAGCAGGGGGTTGGGGCGGTTCAGGAGGCCTGGGCGGAGGGGACGCGCCGTCAGGGGGCCTTGCGCGCGGCGGCCGGCAGGGGGCAGCAGCATTTCGGGTCCGGCCCGCCCCCTCCCGGGCAGGCCCCGCCCCTCCCAGCCAGGTCCGGGCAGGCCCCGCCCCGCATGGCCCCGCCCCGCCCCACCAGGCCCCGCCCCTCCCAGCCAGGTCCGGGCAGGCCCCGCCCCGCATGGCCCCGCCCCGCCCCACCAGGCCCCGCCCCTCCCAGCCAGGTCCGGGCAGGCCCCGCCCCTCCTGGCCCCGCTCCGCCCCGCCTGGCCCCGCCCCGCCCGCACCGTTCCGCCGCAGGAAGCGCAGGCCGTCCCGGTAGCCCTGCTTGCACATCTCGCGCAGCACCTGCGGCGGCAGGAGGGAGAAGCCGGCGTGGGCAGCCGCCCCCTCGCCCCCCGTCCCCCGCTCCCCGACCATGCCCGGGCTGCCCGGGTCCGGGCGCTCACCATGGGCTCCGGCGGGAACAGGGCCTTGGACAGGCGGTAGAGGTTGCGCAGGTTGAACTGGATGCTGGTGTTGGTCACCCGCAGCTCGTGGATGTTGGTGGAACTGTCCTGCGGGCAGATGTCGCTCTCGCCCGAGAAGGGGGACACCGTGATGGTGTTTCTGAGCTCGTACAGGGGCAGGTTGTCCGAGATGCCACCATCCACGTAGCGCTGGGGCACGGGCATGGGGCACGCGGTGAGGGGCCGCAGCCTGGGACCCACCGCCCGCGTCCGTCCTCCAGCCGGGGAAGTTGGGCAAGCCCCGGGGGAAGTGGGGTAAGAGGGGCAGGCCCGCGGGAGGCACTTACCACGCCCTGCAGGGAGGGCGGGATGAGGCCGCAGTACACCGGGATGAAGGTGCTGCAGACATTGGCCTGTGGGCAGTGACAGGGGCTGTGAGCGGGCCTGGGGCTGCTTCCTGCACCCCAAGGCGCCAGGGCAGGCCTCCCACCTGGATGAGCTCCTCCTTGGAGTTATAGTGGGAAATGATGACGTTCTCGCCATCCGAGACACGGGTCAGGGAGATGCCCAGGCGCCCGCTGGCAAGCTCGTGGCTGTCCGCAGGGAGGGTCTTCAGTAGGCAGCCGCGGATGGTCTTCACCAGGTTAAAGGAGGGGTGCAGGGGGCCCAGGAACCGCTTCCGGGCCTCCTTAGATACTTCAATGATATTGGCTCCGGCCTCACCTACGGTGGCAGGGCCAGGGTCAGGAGCGGGTGCGTACCCGCGGGTCGACGGTCAGGGTCCCGGGACTCGGGCATGCCGGAGGCCATCAGAGCCCACTTGGGTCATCTGCCACCTGCCCCTGAGAGCCAGGACACAGCTGAGACCAGCGCCTGCCCTCTGTCCGGGATTTCGCAACCGTCTCCCCATGACTCACTCACTGAGCCTGGCTGGAGTGTGGCACCCACCGGGTGGGGGCATTCAACTCTGACCAGCCTCCGCCTTCACCCACTTGGCTAGGTCCAGACCCACGAGTCCACCAGGTCGCCCAGGTCCCAGGGCACAAGGCTTGAAAAGGGGGCCCACCCATGTCCTAGGACTGGCCTAGAACAAAGCCAGAGTGGACAACAACCCTGGGAAGGGCTGGGTAGAAGCCAGGAAAAATGCCACCTCTTTGGACACCAGCAGGTGGGAGCGGACGTGCCTGGCACGCTGCCCTAACTTCGCATGACCAAGTCTTCTAGACTAGGAGTAGGGGGGCTACCCCAGCTAGGCACTGGGACACTAGTGGGGATGCACTGCCCACTGAGGGGCGCTGCTCTGGGGTGGGCAGTTGAGGGGGCAGGGCCAGAGCAGAAGCCCCAGGAGTCAAGAAAGTAGAGTCTAGCTCCTCCCTGACCCCACTCGGGGCAGAGGTAGGCAGGATCCTGGGGGCAGGGCACTCGGGGCCTGTGATCCTACTGGCCCCCAGACTGCAGGACCGGGCTGGGGGCTGGCGGAAGCCCCCGGGACTCCCCAAGAACCCCAGGCTACCCGGAGTGTGACGGGAGGCGCCGCCCAGCCCCGCACACACCCCCGCCAGGGGCCGCGGCGGCTGGCACCTGTCACCCTGGCGTGGTGCGTGGAGCCTGACCCTGGCAGGGCCCAGGACTCTGCCCCGGGGCGCTGGTCCCCGCCGCCGGCTCGGCCGGAGCGGCCTGGAACGGCGTAGCCCCAGGACACAGTGACCGCTGGCGCCCGGTCCGCCGCCCGGGGCCTGGGGAGCTTCCGGGCCCTGCCCCCGCCCGCCGGCCGGCCGGGCCGCCCACGGGGCTGTCCCGCCAATGCGCGGCCGCGGCCCCGCCCGCCCCGCTCGGCCCAAACAAAGGCGCCGGCGGCGGCGCGCGCTCACCCAGGCAGGCCCCGGTGACCAGCGCCGTGGCCGTGAGCGCCCCCGCCGAGGCGCCGTAGATGTGCGTGGCGTTGGCCACCAGGAAGGGCGCGTGCTCGCGGAGGCAGGAGGCCACGCCGATGTGGTAGACGCCCAGGAAGCCGCAGCCCGCGAACGAGATGTTCCACGTCGTGTCCCGGGGAAACATCGCCGCTCGTCGCGATCGGCCGGCGCGCTGCGCGGAGGCGGGGGCGGCGCTCGCTCGGGGTCCCCGCCGGCCAAGGCGGAGACGCTGCGCGGCCGCCGCACACTCGGTGTTTTTAGCCGCGCCGGGGGCGGGGCCGGGCGGGGCGGGGCCGCGGGCGGCGGCCCAATCGGAACGCGCGGCGAACGGCCGCGTCCCGACCACGCCCCCGGAGGCCCCGCCCCGCCCGCCCGGAGGCCCCGCCCCGGCCGCCGGCCCCGCCCCGCCCCTGCGCCCCGCTGCCGGCGAAGCCCCCCACAAGTCCCTGCAGAGGCTGGCCTGGCCCCAAACGGCGTCCAGGTCCCCGGCCTCCCGCCCCCTGCCCTCCCGCCGTCGTGGGTGCTGGTAGAGGCCAGAGTCCGGCGGACGCGGGCCCTGTCCCGCCTCGGGAACTGCCCTGGCTGTACCAACACCCCCGCCCGGGACCCCGAGAGCTGAGCCCGGGGCAGCGATCGGCCCCAAACGACCGCACACATCCGGGCCGGATGCGACCCTCAGCTCCCGGAGCGCCCCGGCCCGCCCCTCCGCCACCGCGTTGGTCTCCCTACCTGCCCGCGACCTGGCGCTTCTGCCGCGGCTGGGGCGGCTGCGGCGGCCGCTCGGACTCGGCCCGCCCCGCTCGCTAATTGCCCCGGCAGGTGGGGCGCCCGGTGAGGTCACCCGCCGGCCCCTTTCCGCATTTTTCTCCCGGCACCTCGTTCCCTCTGCTCCGCGACGGTGTGCGCCCGGCTCCCTCCGCCAGCGGGACACCCACGGGAAGTCCGAGCAGGGCGCGTGGGTGCTGCCAGCCCCGAGCTTAGCGTGGGGCCGGCTCCCATCAGCCTGTTTACAGCCAGAAAAGGAACCTGAGTTGGGGTGCGGGTCCGAGTTTGCTCTGGACAGGGAGGTGAGGGGCGCTCCAAGAGGGCTCCGGAGGAAGCAGAGCGAGCGCCAAGGGCCAGGTGACCTGGCCGCCCTCCGACTCGGGGACCCCAGGCCCCAAACCCCAAAAAGGTTCTGTTAGGGGCTGGAGCGATAGCACAGCGGGGAGGGCGTTTGCCTTGCACGCCGACCCGAGTTCGATTCCCAGCATCCCATATGGTCCCCTGAGCACCGCCAGGAGTAATTCTGAGTGCACGGCCAGGAGGAACCCCTGTGCATCGCGGGGTGTGACCCAAAAAAGCCCAAAAAAAAGGAAAAAAAAGGTTCCGTTAGGGCTGGGACTAGACTGCTTCGTCCTTGAAAGAGGGAGGTGAGGGGACCGGAACAGCCTCCACAGGATGGACCTGAGCGGCATCAGGGTGGCCACCGAGGGGAACTGGACAGTGTGGGCTGACTGGGCCCTGGGCAGGAGACCTCTGTTCTACTTTTGAGTACACAGACCTCCCTCTGGGCCCTTGGGGGGCTGGGAGCCAGGAACGAGGGCCAAGAACAGAGCCGCCGTTCCTGGAAACTGGGGGTGGGGACGCTGGGGTCCACAGGGAGACTGGGGGTGGGGACGCTGGGGTCCACAGGGAGATCGGCTGGGCTGGGGCGTCCTCTGACCCACACATGCCGCTTGCTCAGGGCAGAGGCCAGGATTGTTTTTCTGGGTCACCCATCAGTGCTCAGGACTGACTCCTGGCTGATTCCAAGGATTATTCCTTGGTGCTGCTCCAGAGATCATAGATTGTGGGGCTGGAACCAGGTGGACCTTGTGCAAGGTAACCACCAGCCCGTCCGCTCTGTCTAGGCCCTAGAGCTGGGATCGCGGCAGTGCCAAGGGCAGCTGAGCTCTACTCTGCTGTCAACCCAGGCCCCACCAGTCCCCAGTTGAGTCCTGGACCCCTGCCGGGGATTCCCCATCCCATGGTGCGGTCACCCTCCCCACCTAATTCTTGCACTTCTGGGTGGCTAAGGGGGTAGGGGTTCTCAGACCATCCACCCAAGTTTTTTGCTTTTTGGATCACACCCAGCGATGCTCATGGCTCTCTCCTGGATCTGCTCTCAGGAACCGCCCCTGGCAGTGCTTGGGGTACCATATGGGATGCTGGGAACCAAACCAGAATTGGGCAGGTTGGCCTCACGCAAGGCAAACGCCCTACCCGCTGTGCTATCGCTCCAGCCCCTCCCACACAGCTCTTGCTGTTTGCCATTTTGCTGGGACTTTTTCAGGACTTGTGACCTTACTGGCCCCCCCAGAGGGAGACTGGTCCACCCGTTTCTGTACTGCATCTCCAGGGCCAGAGTGGACTGGGCAGAACCCACAAACAGGAGAGTGGGGGATGCAACTCTGCCCTGCCCTCACATTCTTGGTCACAGCCTGACACAAGAGGGAGCCTTTGGCCCAATCACTGGCTAGCGACTGCAAGGGAAGGCATGGACTCAGGGATCGCATAGGAACCCACGGTAGGTTTGCAAACACCCATTAGTCCCGCTGCCAGAGCCCCTGTTCAATGCTGGCACTGCCAGAAGCAGCCCCCCTGCAGTTGGCTCAGGGGCCACTCCCGTGATAGAGCCAGCTGCTCGGCACTGACCCCAGAAGCCACGCTTGGACAGTCACAAGACACACGCTCAGGTCTAGAAAAGGGTTTTATTAGGGCAGTGACTAATCGAACAAGCCGAATCCCATGTCGTCATCCGACTCCTCGGACTCCTCCTTCTTCTCGTCTTTCTTCTCCTCTGCAACGGGAAGGACGGGTGAGTGGTCCCTGCCACGGTGCTCCCAACCCCACACACCCGGTCCGACTTCCACTTACCCGCTGCGGGGGCAGAGCCAGCTGCAGGTGCTGCGGCTCCAGGGGCGGCCGAGACGGCCACAGCCCCGCCGGCGGGAACACTGGCCAGCTTGCCGATGCCTGGGGAGGGGAGCGGAGCTGAGCCCTTTCCCTGCACGAGGCAGTGCCATGCCGCCCCCTCCCCACCCCGTTCACCCTCCTATCCTGGAGCCGCGGGCCAGGCTGGCTTTCCCCCAGCCTTCCTGGGGCACACGGATGGCTCCAGCCTCCACTGGGTCCCAGATGTCCAGAAGCCCACCCCCAGGCCAGGACACAGCAGCCCGGGCTTCCTGGGGGGGCGTCCAGGGTGCTCTGGTCCACAAGCGAACCCTCCAGGCCACCGGCTAGCCAGCAGGGATTAGGATGGACCTGAAGGCCCTCACGCGGGCGCGCCACTCACCCTGGGCGATCACGTCCTCGATGTTCTTCCCGCTCAGTTCGCTGATGACCTGGAGAAAGGCGACACGGAGGGCTGCAGGCCCGCTCGCAGATGGCCAGGGAGCCCGGCGCCCCGTCCCCGCAGGACGCGCGCCCCCCGCCCCCAGCTGCGCGCGCCACGCGGCCCGGCGCTACCTTGTTGAGCCGGTCGTCGTCCGCCTCGATGCCCACGCTGTCCAGGATCTTCTTGATGTCCTTGGCGCTGGGGGACGCGTTGCCCCCGAGGGCGGCCAGCAGGTACGAGGCGACGTAGCGCATCCTGCGGCGGGACACGCGCGGCGGCGTCAGCGGGGCCGCCCCCAGCCCCGAGGGCGACACGCGGCCCACGCGGCCCGCCGCCCCGGCCCCCGCCGCCCCGGCCCGGCGCCCTCCCGGCCCCCGGGGCCACCCCCGCGGCCACACTCACTCGAGACGGCGGAGCGGCCTGGCGCGTGCGACCTCGGCGGCGGCGGCGACGGAAAGGAAGGGCCCGGCCGGGGGGGCGGGGGTAATCGGCTACCCAGAAGCCCCCGCGCGCCGCGCCGCGCCCCGCCCCCCCGGCGCCTCCTGGTGACGTCACGAGGCGCGCGGCCAATGAGGGCTCGGGGCGGCCATCGTTCCGCCCGGGCGGACGCCGCGGCCCCGGGCCGGCGGGGGTCGCGGGGAAGCGTTCTCGTAGAACGGGAGACAAGCGTCGGGGCCCTGCGGCCACGGGACGACGCGAAGTGCGAGCCCGAAACGCGGGGCTTCGCCTGCTGGCGGTCCCGCGCGTCGCCTGGCGCCTACAGCTCCCAGCATGCACCGCGGCGCGGCGCTTCCGCCGCCTCTGGCAAGGCCGCCCGACTACAAGTCCCATGATGCACCGCTGCCGGAAGTGGGCCCGCATTGATGCCCTGGCCGGGCCGCACGTGGTCCCAGGCGGAGGCTGTACCCGTGCCTCCGCCCGACTTCCGGTCCGCCGCATTTCCGGTTACTGGGGGTGGGGGTACCTGGGGAGCTGCTTCCCTGTCGATGGTCGGTGTGGCGGCCGCGGCCCACCTGTGCCGGACCCAGGGCCCCGGCGCTGGACTCGGACGAAGAAAGCCGATTTGGAGGCCAGGCAGAGCACCGGGGTCCGGCCAATGCCGCCCCAAGAGGAGCGGCCACATGGGCCCAGTCCTGTCCCCTGGCCCTAGTGCATATCACGCCCCCCCTCTGTGTCAGGCACCGCGCCAGCATTCTGCAATAACGAAGCCATGTTAGAAACCTGGGGGGCGAGGGGGGTGTCTGGGACCCAGCCTGCAGGAGTACCTGAGTGGGGCCGTGTGCTGTGCCCCGTCGCTGCGTTGACCCATGTTACAGATGGGGTCCCGACACATTTCCTCGCGCTGTTCCAAAGTGGGACCCTCCCGGGGCTGAAGTGATAGTACAGCGGGTAGGGCGTTTGCCTTGCACGCGGCTGACCCAGGCTCCATTCCCAGCATCCCACGTGCCCCCCCCCCACCGCCAGGAGTAACCCCTGTGCATGGCCGGGTGTGACCCAAAAACAACAAAGTGGGACACTGCCGATAAGGACGAGGTTTGGGTGGCAACCGCAAAGACAGCAGGCACGTGGAATGTTGGGATTCCGCTGAAGGAGCAGAAGCTGTTGCCTTTTGCCACAGTTGTGTCCCTGAGCACCTTGTGTCTGCGCAAGCTCCGCTTTCTCATCTCCAGAACTTTCTCTCTTCCAGACCTTGGCCTCTAGTCTCCTCCAGGCAGGAGAACTAGGAAAGCGGTAGGGTGCTTGCCCTGCACGCAGCTGATCTGGGTTCAATCCCTGGCACCACACCTGGTCCGCTGCCTGGAGTGGTCCCTGAACCCAGGGCCTGGAGTAAGCCCCCAGCAGTCAGGTGTGGCCTAACCCCCTCCCAAGTCATCCCTCCTCTCCGGCGTTAACTTCCCTTGCTGGGTTCCTCAAGCACCCCCGGAAACCCAGAATGATCTGTAGGTGCACACGGCTTCTGGCCTCCCCAGTCCCTGCCGCAACTGTGTGGCTGTGACGGTTCAGGGCCGCGAAAATGTGAGCATGACTTGGTGCCTGTTTCCATCCTCAGGGGCAGGAACATCCCTGTAAGTGCAGAGTCAGTGCACTGAGCAAAGGCTGGGACCAGTTCACCGCCAGTGCCACGGGGCCCCTGAGCATAGAGACCGGGGCAGCTAAAACAAACACTGTCCTCCCATTGTTCATCAGTTTGCTCAAGTGGGCCCAGTAATGTCTCCATTTTTTTTTTTGAGACTTGTTACTGTGTTTGGCATATATTGACTTACGTCGCGGGTAGCTTGCCAGGCTTTGCCGTGCAGGCCAGATACTCTCGGTAGCTTGCGGAACTCTCCGAGAGGGGCAAAGGAATCGAACCCGGGTCGGCCGGGAAGCTGCTCACAAGGCAAACGCCCTACCACTGTGCTATCGCTCCAGCCCCATGGAGTAGCTAAAAATAGATAAATAAAGACTGAGGAGTGTCTTGTGTCTGGTCTCAACTCCCTCTGGGGAAGGTTCAGCTGTCCCTTTGCAAAGTAACGTGCTGGGGTCAGAGGGGTAGCACGTTGGATGGAGCTTTTGCCTTACAGGGTTCGATCCCTGGCATGCCACCCTTATCTCTATAACCCCTGGTCATCGCTGGGTGTGACGCAAACACCAAGACCAAAGCCGCTGGGGTTGGAGTGATAGCACAGTGGGTAGGGTGTTTGCCTTGCATGCAGTCGACCTGGGTTCGATTCCCAGCACTGCCAGGAGTAATTCCAGAGTGCATGAGCCAGGAGTAACCCCTGTGCATCGCCAGGTGTGACCCAAAAAGATAAAAGCACTGTAGCACTGTCCTATGACAGTGAAACTTGCCGCCTCCGTTGTGAAACTTGTTGTTACTGTGTTTGTCATATCCAATACATCACTTTGCCATGCGGGTGAGATACTCTCGGTTGCTTGGGTTGCTTGTCGGGCTCTCTGGGAGGGGCACAGGAATCGAACCTGAGCCAACCGGCACGGCTCGGGCGCATGCGAGGCAAACGCCTTACCCCCTGTGCTATAATAAAAGGAAGAGCAAAGCCGCCATGCCACTGGGCGGAATGAGCACAGGCGGGGCCTGAGTGCAGCCCCTTGGCCTGGGCACTTGGCTCCCATCAGCTCACGGGGCCGCCAGTGTGCCCACGCTGACCTCGGAGCTTGCCCTGGAACTCGCGGGCGAGGGCTAGCCAGGCAGAGTGCGGCCAAGCCCGCCGCCTGGGCACCTGGACTGGCACAGCGACTCCGGGGCAGGGCCACTGTCCCGGGCTTGTCGGGCTGGCTGGGCAGGCGTCAGTGTGCCGCGGTCCCCAGCCCCTAGCGGGCTGCCTAGCAGACGGCCCGGCCTGGGCGCAGGCGCGCCCGTGGGGGCGGGGCGGGGCCGCGCTCCAGCCCGCCCGGAAGAGCGCCGGCGGGAACGCGGGCGGCGAGCGGGACCTGGGGCGCCGGCGGGAAGGCGGGCGGCGAGCGGGACCTGGGGCGCCGGCGGGAACGCGGGCGGCGAGCGGGACCTGGGGCGCGGGCGGGACCGCGGGCGGCGAGCGGAGGGGCCGCTGGGCCGGGTCACCCGGGCGACCGCGGGGGACACGCCCCCGGCCGTGTGCGCCCCTACGGCGCCGCGCGCTGCCCCTGGACCGGGGACAGGCAGTGGGGGGTGACAGGACCACCCCCGCCCCTCTCGGGGGTCGCCTCTCCCGGGTGGTCCTGGGGGCTCCCGTCCGAGCGCAGGACCAGCGGGGACGCCGGCTCGCGGGGCGGGGCCGGGGTGAAGCCCCCCCCCCCGATGCCCCGTCGCCCCCCGGCCCGTGCCGGCCAGCTGAGCCCCCGGGCCCCTCGCCCTCCCGCGCCGCGGCCTCAGGCCCGCGCAGGCCCCGCGGGCGGGCGGGCGAGCCGGGGCATGTCCGGCCCCCCGAGGACCGCGGGGGGCGATGGCAGCGCTGCCGGAGGGGCGCGAGCCCGCGGGTGCCGAGCCGCCGCCCCCCGGCAGCCGGCTGAGCCTGGGCGCGCACCCCGACGGCGCGCGCCGGCTGCTGCGCCTGTGTGCGGGGCGGCCCCCGCAGCTGCCCGGCGTGGAGCTGCTGCAGCTTAGCGGCCACGAGGACCCGCGGCTGCTGGCCGCCGCGCTGGCCCGGGTGCCCGCGCACCTGCCGCGGCTCCGCGCCCTGGTTCTCAAAGGTGAGCCCCGCCCGAGCTCGGCCGCGGGGGTCTCTGCCCGCGGGGCCCGGGGTGCCGGGCTGCCCCGCCTGACCGCGGTTTCTCCCAGGGGGGCAGCGCCGGGCCGCGCTGGGCGCCTGCGTCCGGGGCTCCCTGGCCACGCTGCCGGCCGGCCTGGGCGCCCTGGCCCAGCTGGCCCACCTGGACCTGAGCTTCAACAGCCTGGAGCAGCTGCCCGGCTGCGTCCCGCACATGGGCGGCCTGCGCGTCCTCCTGCTCTCCCACAACAGCCTCGCGGAGCTGCCCGCCGCCCTGGGCGCCCTGCCCGCCCTCTCCTTCCTCGCCGCCTCCCACAACCGCCTGCGCGCGCTGCCCCCCGCGCTGCTGGCCTCCAGCACCCTGCAGTGCCTCGACCTCTCCGACAACCTCCTGGGCACCGTGCCCCCCGAGATCGGGGGCCTGCGCCACCTCGCCGAGCTCAACCTGGCCTCCAACCGGCTGCGCCAACTCCCGGCCTCCCTGGGTGAGGAGCAGCCGCCCTCCCCACTCTGCCCTGCCGACCGGGTGCTCCCGGCGCCCTCCCAGCTCTGCTCTGCTGAGCCTGGTGCTCCTGGTGCCCCTCCCCACCCTCCCCTGCCCAGCCCGGTACTCCCGCCCGGTGCTCCTGGTGCCCTCCCCACCCTGCCCTGCCCGGTGCTCCCGCCGCCCTCCCCGCCCTCCCCTGCCCTGCCCGGTGCTCCCGCTGGCCCCGGCCCTGATCGTCCTGGTCCTTAGTGGCCCTCCGGTGCCTGCGGATCCTCACCCTGCACAGTAACCTCCTGGCCTCGGTGCCCACCGGCCTGGCCCACCTCCCGCTGCTCACCCGACTGGACCTGCGGGACAACCAGCTTCGGGACGTGCCCCCCGAGCTCCTGGATGCCCCCTTTGTCCGCCTGCAGGGGAACCCCCTGGGGGAAGCGCCGCCTGCCCCCCAGAGCCCCCCAGGTAGGCCTGGGCTGGGGGCATGCCACCGACTCCAGATGTTTGCGGGGCCTTGTGTCCACCTGCCGGTGTCCTCTCTGTCCCCACAGCAGCCCCCGCGGCGCCGGATATGCCCAGACTCTCCCTGAGCGCCGACTCCGACAGGTGCGGGTGGGACTGCGGGCCGGTCCCACGGCCAGGGACCCCCGCCTCACCGTGCTTTCCTCGCCAGCTTCCCCCTGACCCCCGGAGGGTGCTCCGTGAGCCTGGCGTGCGGCGTCCGCCTGCACTTTCCCGCGGGCGCCACGGCCGTCCCCATCACCGTCCGCTACCGCCTGCGACAGCCAGAGCCCCGCCTGGCGCCCCTGGGTCCCCACGACGCCCTGCTCAGCCCCGTCCTGGAGCTGCAGCCCCACGGCGCCGCCTTCCAGCAGGCACGCTGCACGGGGCAGGGGTGCGGGCAGGGCCAGGCCAGGCAGTGCCCCGTGCTCACCGCACCCCTGCCGGCAGGACGTGGGCCTGTGGCTGCTCTGTGTGCCCCCGCGAGCCAGGCGGTGCCGGGAGGTGGTGGTCAGAACCCTGAGTGACGGCAGCTGGAGCGACCTGGAGACCCACCTGGAGGAGGAGGCCCCCAGGGTGAATCCCCTGGCCTGCCCCGGCTCCCCTCTGACCCTACGTCCCTTGGGCCTCGGCTCCCCTGTGGCCCCACCTCCCCTCCCAGGCGCACCTGCCCTCTGAACCGGACGCCTTTTGTCCTGTTTTCGTCTGGGGGCCACGCCGGGCGTGCTGAGGGTTCATTCCTGACTGCTCAGAGTGGGGCTTGGGGGCCCTAGGGGGGCCTGGGATCAAGCCTGGGTGGGCCTTGTGCCCGGCAGATGCCGCCCCGCTGTCCTGGTGCTCGGGCCCCAGGCTGACCTCCCCGACCTGCGTCTGCCCCCAGAGGCTCTGGGCCCACTGCCGGGTGCTTCACTTCTCCTGGTTCCTGGTCATTTCCCGCCCGGCCTGCAACACCTGCCTGGTGCCACCAGAGGGAGCACTGCTGTGCTCCTCGGGACACCCCGGGGTCAAAATCACCTTCCCCCCTGGGGCCACCAGGGAGCCCCAGCGGGTCAGCCTGCAGGTAGGGTGGGGACCCCCGGGGGGGGGGGGCCGAAGCGCCCGCACGCTGGTGACCTGACTCAGGCGTCGGCAGGTGGTGCGTGTTAGCGGCCGGGAGCTGCGTGCGCTGCGCGTCCTGCTCCAGGAGCCCGAGGCGGCCGCCAGCCCCCTGCTGTCCCTGACCCACGGCGGAGCCCCCGATTTCCTGCGGCCGGTCACCGTGCAGCTGCCGCTGCCGCCCGGCGTCACTGGTGAGGAAGAGCGCTGTCCCGGGGGGCCTCCCGCACCCGTGCCGCACCCCGAGGCTGCAGCCGCACCCCTGCCCCGCAGGCCTCAGCCTGGACCGCTCCCGCCTGCGCCTCCTGCACCGCGCGCCCCCCGCCACCGCCTGGGACGACGTCACCGCGCACGTGGCGCTGGAGCTCAGCCACCTGTACGCCCGCTTCCAGGTCACGCGCTTCTCCTGGTCAGTGCCGTGCCCCCCAGCACGCCCCGGCCCCTGCGAGCGGCCGCTGACCCCCGCCCCCCTCAGGTACTGGCTCTGGTACACCACCAAGGCGTGCGTCGGGGGCCTGGCGCGCAAGGCCTGGGAGCGGCTGCGGCTGCACCGCGTCAGCCTCATCGCCCTGCAGCGACGCCGGGACCCCGAGCAGGTGCTGCTGCAGTGTCTGCCCTGCCATAAGGTGAGGTGCATCCCCGGCTGCCCTGACACAGTGGGGTGCGGTCCCCCATCTACCCTGACACAGTGGGGTGGGGTCCCCCCGTCTGCCCTGACACAGGTGGGGTGGGGTCCCCCCATCTGCCCTGACACAGTGGGGTGGGGTCCCCCCGTGTGCCCTGACACAGTGGGGTGGCGTCTCCCGGTCTGCCCTGACACAGGTGGGGTGGGGTCCCCCGTGTGCCCTGACACAGTGGGGTGGGGTCCCCCCATCTGCCCTGACACAGGTGGGGTGGGGTCTCCCGGTCTGCCCTGACACAGTGGGGTGGGGTCCCCCTGTCTGCCCTGACACAGGTGGGGTGGGGTCCCCCGTCTGCCCTGACACAGGTGGGGTGGGGTCTCCCGGTCTGCCCTGACACAGGTGGGGTGGGGTCTCCCGGTCTGCCCTGACACAGTGGGGTGGGGTCCCCCGTCTGCCCTGACACAGTGGGGTGGGGTCCCCCCGTCTGCCCTGACACAGGTGGGGTGGGGTCTCCCGGTCTGCCCTGACACAGTGGGGTGGGGTCCCCCTGTCTGCCCTGACACAGGTGGGGTGGGGTCCCCCGTCTGCCCTGACACAGTGGGGTGGGGTCCCCCTGTCTGCCCTGACACAGGTGGGGTGGGGTCTCCCGGTCTGCCCTGACACAGGTGGGGTGGGGTCTCCCGGTCTGCCCTGCCATAAGGTGGGGTGCATCCCCAGCTACCCTGACACAGGTGGGGTGGGGTCCCCCTGTCTGCCCTGACACAGGCGGGGTGGAGTCCCCCCATTTGCCCTGACACAGGTGGGGTGGGGTCCCCCCGTGTACCCTGACACAGTGGGGTGGGGTCCCCCCGTCTGCCCTGACACAGGTGGGGTGGGGTCCCCCCGTCTGCCCTGACACAGGTGGGATGGGGTCCCCCCGTGTGCTCTGACACAGGTGGGGTGGCGTCTCCCGGTCTGCCCTGACACATGCAGGGTGGGCCCCCACAGTGCCTGCCCCACCGAGGGGGACACTAGGCTGAGCCCGCTGGACCTTGCCCAGGTGGACGCGAGTCTGCAGAGGCTGCTGGAGCGCTACCACGGGCCCGAGCCCTCGGACACCGTGGACATGTTCGAGGGGGAGCAGTTCTTTGCGGCCTTTGAGCGGGGCATTGAGGTGGATGCCGGTACGCCCCGTGTGCGGATGCAGCCTGCCCTGCTGCCCACTGTCCCGGGGAGAGCACGGCGGAGACCCTCACACCTCCCCTCCCCCAGAGCGGCCGGACTGCGAGGCGGGCAGGGTGGCCTTTGTCTTCTACGCCCACCTGAGGAACGTGAAGGAGGTCTACGTGACCACCAGCCTGGACCGGCGGGCACAGGCCGTCAGGGGCCAGGTGGGTCGGCGGGCCGGGCCCCCGCGGCCAGCTCAGGCTGGGCACTGAGCCGCCCTGCCCCCGCAGGTGTCCTTCTACCGGGGAGCCGTGCCCCGGGAGGTGCCCGCGGAGGCCGAGGCCGCGCGGCAGAAGAAGGCCGCGGACGCCGTGTGGATGGCCACGCTGCCCATCAAGCTGCCGGTGGGTGCCGGCGGGGGCGGGCGCGGGCAGGACCCACCCCCGGGCTCACTGACCCGCTGCTTCTGACAGAGACTGCGGGAGCCCGAGGGGCCAGGCCAGGATCGCGGTCTCTCCCTGGCCCCGCTGCGGCTGGGCGACGCCGAGAGTGGCTTCCTGACGCAGAGCAACCTGCTGAGTGTGGCCAGCCGCCTGGGCCCCGACTGGCCAGCCGTGGCCCTGCACCTGGGCCAGGCCTACCGCGAGGTGCAACGCATTCGCCACGAGTTCCGGTCGGTGCCCCAGCCCAGCGCCGCTGCGGGGAGGCGGGTCGTGGGAGGGAGGGGGGCTCGCCCCGCTGGCCCCACACCCTGTCCGGAGAAGAGGTCAGCGTGGTCCCCGCCCCCGCAGGGACGACCTGGACGGACAGATCCGCCATATGCTGTTCTCCTGGGCCGAGCGCCAGGCCGGCCAGCCGGGGGCCGTGGCCCAGCTGCTGCAGGCCCTGGAGGACAGTGACCGGCAGGACGTGGCCGAGGAGGTGCGCGCCGTCCTGGAGCTCGGCCGCCGCAAGTACCAGGACAGCATCCTGCGCGCGGGCCTGGCGCCCGGCCCCGAACCCGCGCAGGCCTAGGGCCGGCCGTGGACGCGGGTCCCCTCCGCGCGGGGAGGGGCGGCGCGCCCCGTGTGACAACATGCTGGCTTGGCTCGGAGCTCTGTCGTCTGTGTGTGGTCGGGGGGACGCGGCGGGGGCTCCGGGGACGGGGCTCGGGCTGGGCTGGCGCGGCCGCTGCGCCCCCGCCCCCGGCAGCGAGAGCCAGAAGCAGGATACAAAGTAGCAGCGGCCCGGAGCCCCAGCGCGGGAGGGGGAGGCCGCCTGCCCGGCGCGGGCCCAGCCGGGGCTCCCCAGAGGGTCTCCCGGGCCCCCCGGACTCATCCCCGAGCACCGCCGGGTGCGGGTCCGGCGAACCGAAAACCCAGTGGCCGCGGGCCGGGCGGATGCGGCTCCCGGGCGCGCGGCACCTGCGTGCGTGGGCGGGCGCGGGCGGCGCAGTGGCCGCGGCGGCCGCGAGGGGGCGCCGGAGCCCGCGCGGGCCGGGCCGGGCCGGGGGCGGAGCGCGCCGAGGTGCAGGCCGGGCGGCGGCGGCGGCGGCGGCGGCGGAGCGCGCGTGAGCGGCGGGCGCGGGGCGCGGGGCGCGGGGCGCGGGGCGAGCGCGGTCGCGGGGCGCGGGCTGACAGCGCCGGGGGGGGCGCGGGGCGCGCGGGGGCACGCGCGTCCCCGGGCTGCGCGCCCGCGCGGGGCGGCCGGGCCCGGGCACACGTGGACCCTGCGGCGTGGGCACGCGCGCGGCCGGCCGGGCCTGCCCGGGGTCCCCCGGTGCCCGGCACCCCCCGGTGCCCGGCGGGGCTGCAGGCGGGGACTTCCCCGATCCCGGGGCTCACCGGGGCGGGGCGCCCGGCTCCCCTGACGGCGGGGACCTGGGGGGGGGCTCTGGAAACGCAGCTTCGGCCTCCGGGCGTCGCCCCAGCTGGCCAGGGCCTCAGTTTCCCCGGCCGTGCCCGAGGAGAGCAGGGGGGCTGGGCGGCTGCCCACGGGTCTGGCTGGGATGCAGTTTCCATAGCAACGTGGGTGCGGGGGAGGGGCCTCTCCAGCTGCTGCCTGCAGAAGGGCCGCGGGAAAGGCGGGGGCCGGGGTCCTGGGCACCCCCTGGCGCGCTCCACCGGGGTCCCCCCGGCGCCCCCGTTCCCCTGGAAGCCGGGCTGGGGGCGGCGCGCGGCGCGGGGCAGCGCCGGGCCCGCGCCCCTCCCGCCGGGGCCTGCGCCCCTCCCGCCGGGGGCCGCGGGCCGGGGCCGGCGCCCGAAGTGAAAGAGAAAGTGGCCGCGGCCGCCCCGCCCCGCGGCCAATCGCGCCCGGCCCCTCCTCCCCCGGGTCTCCCGGGAGGGGCCGCGCCAGTCGCCGGAGCACCTCGGAGCGGCCGCGCGCGGAGGTGAAGGTCACGGGGCGCGGGTGGGCGGCGAGCAGCGGCCCCGCACCCCGGGGAGCCCGGGGCGGTCACGCGCCCTCCCCGCGGCCCCTCCCGGCGCCCGGCCGGTCCCCGGGGTCCTGGCACGCGGGCCGGGGGCATCCCAGGTGTCCCCGCCCGGGCAGCTGGCAGCTGGGCACCGAGGGGTGGGGGCGCGGCGCCGGGGGAGGGGGCCCAGGCTGATGCCGCCCCTCGCCCTCCCCCAGGAGCAGCGTCCCCAGCACCCTCCTACTGGCCGCGCGCGCCCATGGCTGACAAGCAGATCAGGTCAGAGCCCCCCGCCCCGCCCCTCCCCCGCGCGCGCCCCCCGCCCGCCCGCCGCCGGCCCCCGCTGACCGCCCGTGCCCCGCAGCCTGCCCGCCAAGCTCATCAATGGCGGCATCGCGGGGCTCATCGGGGTCACCTGCGTGTTCCCCATCGACCTGGCCAAGACGCGGCTGCAGAACCAGCAGAACGGACAGCGCATGTACACCAGCATGTAAGCGTGGGGGCAGGGCGCGGCCCCCCAGCGGGGAGGGGACCCGGTGGGCCGCTCACCCCGCCTGTCCACCCGCCGCAGGTCCGACTGCCTGGTCAAGACCATCCGCTCCGAGGGCTACTTCGGGATGTACCGGGGTGAGGCTGCGGGCGGGCGGGCTGGGAGGGCGAGGGCCCGGACCCGGGCTCCATCCCTGCCCTCACACCCACGCGGCACCGCGGGGAGGACCCAGCCTCTCGTCCCCGGCACCGCACAGGCGCCAGGACACGGTCCCCGGCATGGACTGGCCCCGTGCCCAGGCCACCCCCAGGGCTGGTCCCTGCTTGCCGGGCGCTCCCCGGCAGGCCAGGCGTGCCAGGGCCACCATGCATCCCCCAGCGCCCCCTGCACTGCCCCCGGCTGGGCTGCCCTGGGGGGGAGGTTCCTGCGGGCACGGCCCAGCCCCAGATGTGGGTGAGAGGGCAGGAGGGTGGCCGCAGAGTGCCAGGTGGGGCCGTGCCAGCTGGTGCCTCCTGGCCCGGCCACCGACCCGCCCGTGCTGGGCACCGCAGGAGCGGCCGTGAACCTGACCCTCGTCACCCCGGAGAAGGCCATCAAGCTGGCTGCCAACGACTTCTTCCGCCACCAGTTCTCCAAGGACGGGTAAGAGGCCAAGGTCGGGAGGGGAGGGTCCACATCTCCGGGGCCAGGACAAAGTCTGCCGCCGGCTGGCCCTGCCTGCCCTCGGCCCCAGACCAGAGTCCGTCTCCCGCTCCTCCTCCCCCCCCTCCTCCGTCACCTGCTCCTCCTCCTCTTCTCCCTCCTCCCGACCAGGGTCCTCCTAACCCTCCTCCTCCTCCTGGACCAGAGTCCTCTCCTGTCTCGCCATCATCCCCTCCCCCTCCCCCCTGTTTACCTGGGGAGCGCCGCCTGCTACTCCGGTTCCGGGACCTGGGCCCTCTGCCAGCACAGCTACCCCCGAGGGCTGGGTTTTGGGCACCCGGGCCCCCAGCCCGGCCCAGCCGCCCTTCCCAAGCCCTGCCCCGGGCCATCTGTCGCGCTGCCCCCTCCCCAGCTCCGACCTGGCCCCCGTCCCGCAGGCAGAAGCTGACCCTGTTCAAGGAGATGCTGGCGGGCTGCGGGGCGGGCACCTGCCAGGTGATCGTCACCACCCCCATGGAGATGCTCAAGATCCAACTGCAGGACGCGGGCCGCATCGGTGAGGGGGTGAGGGGGACGGGCGCCCCTGGCGGGCTCCGCGCAGGGGCGGAGGTGCAGCGAGCGGCCTGTCCCCCCTCCTGTCTCTTCTCCGCAGCCGCCCAGAGGAAGATGCTGGCGGCGCAGGGGGGCGCGCAGCCGTCGGTGGAGGCCCCGGCCCCGCGGCCCACGGCCACGCAGCTGACGCGGGAACTGCTGCAGCGCCACGGCATCGCCGGCCTCTACAAGGGCCTGGGGGCCACGCTGCTCAGGTGGGGCCCGGGCGTGGGGGCATGGCGGCGAGCCCACCGGGCGCCGCCCTGCGTCACCGTCACCGCCGTGCCCTCCGCAGGGACGTCCCCTTCTCCATCGTCTACTTCCCCCTCTTTGCCAACCTGAACCGGCTGGGCCAGCCGGCAAGCGGGGAGAAGTCGCCCTTCTACGTGTCCTTCCTGGCCGGCTGTGCGGCGGGGAGTGCGGCAGCCGTGGCCGTGAACCCCTGCGACGGTCAGTACGCGGGCCGGGGCGGGGTGGGCCGGGCCGGGCCGGGGCGCTCGCGCTGACCGCCCCTCCTGCTCGCAGTGGTCAAGACAAGGCTCCAGTCCCTGCAGCGCGGGGTCAACGAGGACACGTACTCCGGCTTCCTGGACTGCGCCAGGTGGGCAAGGGGGGCCTCCCGGGGGTGGGGCCGGCGGCCACCCACCCGCTGACCGCCCCGTCCTCCCCCTGCAGGAAGATCTGGCAGCGCGAGGGCCCATCGGCCTTCCTGAAGGGCGCCTACTGCCGGGCCCTGGTCATCGCGCCCCTCTTTGGCATCGCGCAAGTGGTCTACTTCCTGGGCATCGCCGAGACCCTCCTGGGGCTGGTGTAGGACCCCCAGCCCGGAGACCCCTGCTGCCCCCCCACAGCCGCACAGGACCAGGGCGGCCGGAGGGGCGGCTGCGAGGTCTTCTCAGCCCCACCCTGAGGACGGGGAGGGGGGAGCGGAGGAAGGGAAGGGGTGCGGAGCGCCCGCGCCCCCCTGGGATCAGCGTGTTATTCGTGTAGAAAAAAACAAAATCTTACATTCCTGGAGCGCCCCTCAGCTCTGCCGGGCCAAGCGCCCCAGGATGGAGCTGGTCTCTGGGCTGGGGCCCACGCCCGGGCCGGACCCGCCCCGACACTACTGGCTCCTGACCCAAGGCTGACCCCGTGCGGGGGCCACACTCCGATCAGATCAGCCAGCCCCCTGCCCCTCTGCCCTCCAGGCCGTCCTGCCCTGCTCCCCCCCAGTCCCCCCTCCCCCCATCCCCCCAAGCCAGCCCTGCCCAGGGTTGGACCCGCCCGCCCCTGTAATGAGCCGAGAACCCCAGGCGGGCCCAGACTCTGGCCTGCGCCAGGCCTCCCCACGGTCCGCGGGCATGGGGGTGAGTGCACGCGTGTGGGCACATGCATGTGTGTGTGGGAGCTGAGTGTAAGTACGCATGTGACAGTTCGTCTGAGGGGGTGTGAGGGTGTGTGTGTGCTGGTTTGTGTGTGTAGATGTTGTGTGTGTGTGAGGGTGCATGTGGGCTGGTGTGTGTGTGTGAGGGTGCATGTGGGTTGGTGTGTGTGTGTGTATGCTGTGTGGATGCTTATGGGCTGGTGTGTGTGTGTGAGGGTGCATGTGTGCAGCATGCCTGTGTGTGAGGGTGTGTGGAGGCTGGTGTGTGTGTGTGTGTGTGTGTGTGTGTGTGTGTGGATGCTTATGGGCTGGTGTGTGTGTGTGTGAGGGTGCGTGTGGGATGGTGTGTGTGTGTGTGAGGTTGCGTGTGGGCTGCTGTGTGTGTGAGGGTGGGTGTGTGCGGGATGCCTGTGTGTATGAGAATGTGTGGGGGCTGGTGTGTGTGTGAGGGTGCGTGTGGGATGGTGTGTGTGTGTGTGAGGTGCACGTGGGCTGCTGTGTGTGTGAGGGTGGGTGTGTGGGGGATGCCTGTGTGTATGAGGATGTGTGGGGGCTGGTGTGTGTGTGAGGGTGCGTGTGGGCTGGTTGTGTGTGTGTGAGGGTGCGTGTGGCCTGGTATGTGTGTGTGGGCTGGTGCGTGTGGACCCAGCACCCTGCCTCCTGGACCGTGTCTTCACATCCTGCATCCGAGGCTTCGGGCCGGCCTCACAGAGAATGAACCTCTCGGAGCCCCCTTCCGCGGACCCTCCGACCCCGTCCCGGAGCCCAGGGGAGGCCGGGCGTGAGACCAGCGGCTGGCCCCCTCCCCTGACCCCCCACCCCTTGTGAATCGGTGGGCGCGCCCGCCTGCCCCTGTGATCGTGTTGGTGATGGACTGCCATGCTGGTGCTGTGTCCCCTCCCAGCAACACTACCTGAGGCCCCGCCCGGGCCTCCCCGCCCCTCACGGTTCCCGGGAGCTGCCGCCTCCCGCCTCCTCGTACCTTGGAAGCTGCTGCTGCTGCTTACAGAATTCTATTTTTTTTCTTTGGAAGAGTTTTAAGAAGTTGTAAGTTTTTGTGTCTTGTCCTGTTCGGAGATAAATAAATATTCTAAGTAGACGTGTGCGCTGTGAGCCTCGGGGGCAGGGCGCGGGGTGGCCCCCGCATCCCGGGCCGGGTCCCGCATCCCGGGCACCGCCCCCGCCGCAGCCTGGCGTGGGGACGCGGAGTGCGCCCCAGCCGGAGCTTCCGGGGCGCGGGGCGGGGCGGGGCGGGCGGAGCGATGTCCCCCGCGGTGCATTGTGGGAAACTCCCAGTCCTGCAGCCGCCGCGCCCGCGCGCCCAGGTCCAGGGACGCCGGAGCCGGAGCGCCCGCGGAGCCGCCGCCGCCGCCGCGTAAGGCTCGAGGGGCCCGGCGGGGCGGGAGGGCGCCGGCCCGGGGGCGAGGGGCGGGTCCCCCTCCCTGAAGGTCACGGGCAGCGCCTGGCTCCCGGCTCCCGTGGGCTCGGCGGCGTGGGGGGGTGGGGGACCGCGGTGACATCAGCGTCTGGCGGGGAGATCACCTGCCTTTTGCACATCCTCCCCGGCGGCGGCGGTGCCTGTGCAGCGTGGAGGGTGGCGGGTGTCGGGGGCCGCTGCCAGAACGCCCCCGCCCCAGCGTGACCTTCAGGCGACCTTCGGCGTGGGTGGAGGTAGCCCCCCTCCCACCCTGGCTCCCTTCCCTGGGCCGGGCCCCCGCGTGGGGGTGGGGAGTGGGGTGTTCTCGCGGCGGGGCCAGCACCGCAGATTCTCGGGTTCGGCTGCCGCACCTCCCCGCCGCTCTCCACTCCCTGCTGGGTCCTGAGGGATGTGGCCGGCGCGGTGTCTCCGAAGGGCGGGCTGCCCTTGGGCCGGAACCGGCTCGGCTGGTCTGACAGGTGGGGAAGCTGTGACCCAGCCGGCCCCTCCCACCTCGGCCCTGTCCGGAGAAGGGGCTGTGGGTGCCGCTGACCTCGGCCTCGTCCTCCCCGCAGGCCCATAGAATGCCCAGGGCTGAGCTGTGAGCGCCGCCACTGCCCACCGCCATGGAGTCCCGAGGGAAGCCGGCCAGCATCCCCAAGCCCGAAGCCAAAGCCCCCCCAGCGGCGGACCCGAAGGCCCCAGCGAACAAGCCGGGGAAGAAGGAGGAGCCGCCCGCAGCCCCCGCGCCGCTGCCCGCCAAGAAGAGCCCGGCCAAGGCGGACCCCGTCCTTCTCAACAACCACAGCAACCTGAAGCCGGGGCCCGCCGCCCCCAGCACCCCCGAGGCGGCCCCCGAGCCCAAGGGGCCCGGGGACGGGGCCGAGGAGGAGGAGGCCGGCCGGGGGTCCCGAGGCCCCTGCCCTCTGGAGAACTTGACGCCACTGCTGGTGGCCGGGGGCGTGGCCGTGGCCGCGGCCGCCCTGGTCCTGGGAGTGGTCCTGCTGGTGGCCCGGAAAAAGTGACGGTGGGGGCGTGATGGGCGCAGCCCCATCCTGTACAGACCTGGGGTTCTAGTGCATGCGAGCCCAGCCAGCTCTCCGTCCACCCCCACACATATAGAAACTGACCCCAGCGACAGTGGACCAGTCTCCCACTGGGCTGCCCCCAGCTTCCCTCTCGGTCCCCGGGCAGCTGCACTCGGGCTGGGGCCAGCCTCCCCACTGAGGGGCCACCGGGCGCAGCTCCGCCCTCACCCCGCCACCGCGGCCCCCCGCCCAGGGTCACTCACTCCGCTTGCACCCACCCCGGCGCCCCCGCCCACACCCGGCCTCCTTAGTGTCCCAAGCGTATAAATGCAATAACAGGTAGAGTAGAGCCGAGAGGTGCCCGCGCCCTCCGCCCGCAGCCCCGCGCCCCCACCGTGTGCCTGGAACGACCGGGGAAGGGCGGCAGGCGCGAGGGGAGGCTGTGTCGGAAATAAACTCCTGTCCCCAGGCCACGCCGCGTCCTCGCCTGCTTGGGCAGGGCTCCCGGGGGCAGCGTGGGGGTCGCGGGGATGGAGGGCAGGGAGGGGCGTGGCGAGGAGGCCCCCTCAGCCCCGGAGCTGGCCAGGGTGCCGCCCACTGCCGTCCGCTCGGCCCCCACAGCGCGGCCGGTGGCAGCTTCCTGGGGCGAGGTGGCATGGCGAGCCGTGGGCACCGTGCCTCCGCCAGCCGAGTCCGCAGGGGTCACTCCAGGTGGGCCCGGGGACCGAGCACAGGTTGGCCACGCACAAAGCAGGTATATCCCTGGACTGTCTCCAGCCCCCCATTTTGTTTTGTTCTGAACCTTTGAAACACGCGTGGGAGAGACAGCGCAGGGGGAACCTGTGGCCCACCGGGCTGGAGACCCAAATGGTCTCCTGGGCACGTCCAGAGCGAACCCCAGACTCAAAGCCAGAGTAGCCGCTGGGACGCGCTGGCGGTGGGCTAAAGGGCCAGACGGAAACAGCCGGCTACGGGGCCTCGCTGTGGCCGGCCGGAGACAACCCCAAAGGCTGGATTCTGTGCCTGGCTGGGGAGAGCCCCGAGTTCGCTCCCTGGCACCACACGGTCCCAGCACAGTCCTGTGCGACAGGAAACAAAACAGGAAGAAACTGGCCCAAGCAGCAAGTGCTGGCCCTCGGCCCTCGGGTCAGCCCCCCCCCCCCCCCACACACACACACACACTGCGGCCAGAGCGCCGGGACAGCAGTTGACCCGGTGTCCCGCAGGGTCCTATTAGCCTGCCAGGAGTGCCCTAAGCCCTGCCAGGCCAGCGCCTCCGAAATACAGACGAACAAGAATCAGTCCCGCCACCAACAGAAACACCTGTGCCGCCCAGGGACCTGCAGGCCTCAGGGGGAGCCGCCACGGGGCCTCGGGGCTGGGGCGAGCGCCCACGGGACCCCACTCCACTGGGAGGTTCTGGCAGAAGCATGTTTCAACTTCAGCCAGGGGGTGGAGGAGCGGGCTGCCTGCGGCCCGCGCACACACACACACACACACACACGCATACACAAACACACGCATTTGGTCTTGGTTTGTTCACGGCAGAGTGTCCGAGGCCTTCTCTGTGCTGGAGAGTCGGGCCTCCATGCGCAGGCCTGCCCGCCCCCCCACCAGAAGTGGGGCCCAAAGCCTCCGGCACCTTCCGTTTGTTTGGGGATCACACCCCGCAGTGCCCAGGGACTGCTCCGGGCCCTACACTCAGGAATCACTCCTGGCTGGCTCAGGCGACTGTATGGGATGGGCCCCTGAACCCGGGTCAGCATGTGCGAGGCAAGAACCCTCCCTACTGCTCGAGTGCTCTGGCCCCTAAGCCTCGTTGTTTTCCCGCAGGGACACTCTGAGGCCCCCACCCTGTTCTCACGCCCCTGTCTCCCAGGAAGTGCTGCCTTTTCAGGTTCCTGGGGCGGAACACCAGCATCTGTGCCTCTGCGGCTCCGGTCATTCAAGCCCTGCCCTGTGGGGCAGGGATGGGAGCCCCTTTCCTGCCCGGGCCAATCTCCCACCTGCAGCCACACCCCTGACAGCTGCTGGTGATGAGGGAGGCATTCAGGCCCTGAGGGGGTCTCTCTGGAGGGAGTTCAGGCAGATGGTGCCCATGGGCTTTGCGGGATGGACAGGAGTTTGATGAACGGTGCCCACAGGCTTTGTGAGGTGGGCAAGAGTTTGACAGATGCAGGTGCTCCAGCATTTCCAGCAGAGTAGTAGTGAAGGCCGGGAGGGAAAGGCTGAAGTGTGTCCCCCCAGCAGCTCCTGGGGGAGGAGGACGTCCCACAGCACGGAGAGCCTGGGGCCAACCCAACTCCTCCATCCTTGGTGCTCAGTGGAGAAACCTGCAGACAGGCATGGCCCACGCCCCATCCTGGTGTTGCTTGGAGGCATGTCCTGGATTCTCACATGGGAAGCCAGAAAGCAAAGGCAGAGCCAAGGACAAGGGCACCACCTCGGCCAAACCCGTGCCGTTCTCCAGGCCCCGCCCCTACCCGAATACACACTGTCCCGTGAGTGGGAGGCCAGGGATGCCCCAGCCACAGGAGGGTCCCTCCACATGGAAACCAGGGCCCCTCTAGGCTGGCTGCCAGCACAGAGACGCACAGGATGGACCTGCTCGAGGGCCTGCCCCGTTGTCCAGGTGGGCTTGGGTGGGCTCAGGGAACTGGGAAGACCACAGGCATAAAAGTCTTGGGGCACGGGCTGCCTGCGTCCTGCACTGGCCCTGCACCTGGTGTTCTGCCCTGGGGATGACTATCCAGGCGCAGAGGCTAGTGGGCCCCCTGCAGGTCTGCCCTACCCCAGCCCCCAGGAACCAGCGCAGATAGAGGCCCCGAGGGGTCCTGAGCAGGCCAGAGCCCCAGCAGAGGCCCACAAAGGGATTCTTGGCCAGAGCAGAGGGTGGCAGGAGGGCACCCAGCTGGGCCCACGCGCCTCCCTCCCAGGCAGCCCTTGCTCTGTCATGACCCCCACGTGGACACTCCATGACGTCATCCTCCAAAAGCCACAGGAAATGTCGGCAGTGAGTGTGAGCCCAGGCACCCTTCACTCGGAGACAGCGCAGCCTCCTTCCAACCTGTGCCCCAGCCCCAGCCCCCAAAGCTACAAAGGAACAGACACCGGTTCTTGCAGGACACCTGGACTATCTGCCGGGCCCAGCGTCCCCCTCTGGACAAGAGGAGCACGGGGCACGGAGGGGACCCAGGGCATCAGAGATATTGCTTGGAAGGACCCTGGACCTTCAGAAGAATCTTCATCTTGTCAAGGGGCCTTGTCCTCCACGGGAGGGACCCATCATGCACGCGAGTCCAGGGAAGGGACCTTGGCCGTGTGAGGGACCCTCATGAGGGAGGGGTCTTGGGCACAGGACAGACCTGAGGCACAAGACAGGTCTCAAAGGACTGGCTCCTGTGCTTTGCCCGTGGGGACCCGAGTCAGATCTCCCCTAACACCGTATGATCACCCCAACAAACAACTCCAGGAGTGAACCCCAGCACTGAGTGGGTAGTACCAGGGGCTTGACACCCCAAGTTCACGGGATGACGTTATTTCCCAGAGGGACCCTTGTTTAGGGGGTGGGGCCTCCTGGGCGAGGGGTGCGGGGTGTGGGGGGGCAGCTCCCGGCTGGGACAGCACCAAGGGCCCTTGCTGGAGAGGCCCTGGGGCACTGTAGGGTTGGGGCGTTTCCTCTGTCAAGGCAAACCACGACCTTGCACGGCCCGGCCGGGGCTTCGGCAACCTGGGCCCCAGAAAGGCGGGGGCACACGCGAGGGCGCCGGGCCCGCAGCCGACCCCGTTCCCGCGCCTGCGGCACGTGACGGGCGCGCGCCCGCCCCGCCCACTGCCCGCCGTGCCCGCGCTCGCCCCGCCCCGCTGCCTTCGCGGCCGCGCCCGCCGCTCCCACGCATGCGCACACTCCGCTCCGCTGCCCGCCGTGCCCGCGCTCGCCCCGCCCCGCTGCCGTCGCGCCCGCGCCCGCCGCCCCCGCGCATGCGCACGCCCCGCCCCGCTGGCCCCCGTGGGCGCGCGCGGCCCGCCCCTCTGCGTCCTGCACGCGCACGCCCCGCCCGCTGCGCCCCGCGCATGCGCACGGCCGCCCGCTGCCCCACGCCTGCGCACGCCCCGCCGCGCCCCGCCGCTCCCCGCCCCGCTCGCGCCCCGCGCGGGGCCGGCAGCGCGGCCCCCGCCTCTGGCCATGGCCTCGGAGCGGCTCCCCAGCCGGCCCGCCTGCCTGCTCGTGGCCAGCGGCGCCGCGGAGGGTGAGTCTCGGGCGCCGGGAGGGCGGGCGCGGGCGCGGCGGTGGGCGCTGCTGCCGGGGGAGCCGGGGAGCCCGAGCGCCGGCGGGGACAGCGGCCCAGGGCTGGGGGACGCGGCTGCAGCCCCAGCCTGCGTGCACGCGCCGCCCCCGGGGGTGGGCAGCGGCTGTCCCGCCCCCGCCCACCGATGCTCGTCGTGCAGGTGTGTCCGCCGCCTCCTTCCACCACTGCTTCACGCTGGCCAGCGGCGCCTTCAACCTGCAGGTGGCCACGCCGGGCGTAAGTCCCCCCTGCCCTGCGGGCGCAGCGGCGTTGGGACCCCCGGCCGCTTCCCATCCTCCCGGAAGGAGGCGGGACGCGGCCCGAGCGCGACCCCAGAGCCCCCGGCGAGGGCGGGTGGGAGCCGCCGGCGGGCGTGGCCTCAAGGCCCGGCCGGGCTTTTGCAGGGGAAGCCCATGGACTTCGTGGACGTGAGCGAGAGCAACGCGCGCTGGGTGCAGGATTTCCGCCTCAAGGCCTACGCCAGCCCCGCCAAGCTGGAGTCCATTGACGGTGAGGCCCGGGACGGGGGTCTGCAGGTGCTGCCCACGGGCCCTGAGTGGCCTCTCCTGACCAGCGCGCGCCCCTGTCGCCCCAGGTGCCCGTTACCACGCCCTCCTGATCCCCAGCTGCCCCGGCGCGCTGACCGACCTGCTGGGCAGCGGGTCCCTGGCCCGAATCCTGCAGCATTTCTGTGCGGCGAGCAGTAGGTGCCCCGGGCTGTACGCGGGGGTGGGGCCGAAGAGCCATGGGTGCTGGGTGGGCACTGAGTGGCTGGCCGAGGACATGTGCAGCCCAGGCACACCCCAGCAGCGGGGCTCTCATGCAACAGACACACATGCATGCAGCACACGTGGGTGCAGGCGTGGCCAGTGCTCCCTGTGGTGAGCATTCACGCGTGTTAAGGGGCTCCTGTGGTGAACATGCTGGCACACGGCCCTTGATGCACAAGTGCTTGGCCGGCCTGCACCATCTCTGCCCCTTTGGCACCGATGGCATGCACCGGGGAGGGAGGGGCTCAGCAGGGACCCCCACCAGCCGGTCAGACTCCAGCCTGCCAGGGCCAGCAAGGACGGTGGTGGTGTCTGGGCCGGCATGCAGTGAGCTTTGCCCAAGCAGGTGGGCTGGCCCTTGCGTCTTCCCGGGGGAGGGGGCGACCACAGGGCTGCCCCAAGCCTCTCTCAGCCCCACCCTTTGCTTTTAGAGCCCATCTGTGCTGTTGGCCACGGGGTGGCCGCGCTCTGCTGTGCCACCAAGGAGGACGGGTCCTGGGTGTTCCAGGGCTACAGCGTGACGGGGGTGAGTTGTCGGTGCAGCCTGGCACATGCCCGCTGAGCAGTGGCCCTGGGAGAGCCAGCCAGGCGCGGGGCCCTGAACGAGGGGGCAGCAGCGAGTGGTTCCCCACCCCCTTGGCCTTCCTGCAGCCCTCCGTGTATGAACTGGTAAGGGCGCCCGGCTTTGCCGCCCTGCCCCTGGTGGTGGAGGACTTCGTGAAGGACGCGGGTGCCAACTTCAGTGGTGAGCGGGCACAGGGGCTTGGTGCCCCACAGCGGGGGGTGGGTGGGGGACCCACAGGTGCGGGCAGTGCCTGAGCGTGTCCTGGGGCCTTTGCAGCCAGTGAGCCGGACGCTGTGCACGTGGTGCTGGACCGTCACCTGGTCACTGGGCAGAACACCCGCTCCACTGTCCCCGCCGTGCAGAACCTGCTCTTCCTGTGCGGCACCCGCTGACCGTCACTGGTGCCCCCTGCAGTTGGACCCCACTGTTCCCTTCTGCCCTGGGCAGCTGCATAGGTGTGGAGACACGGGTCTCCTGTAGCCTGCCCTGGCCGAGCAGGTCAGCTGAACCCAGGGTCCCCAGGGAGGTACCCGTGCTGCACCGCAGGACTGTCCACAGGGAGTGCCCCCTGCCCGGGTGCTCTGCTCACGCACCACCTGGAGGTCCAGTGTCAGCCTCCTTGGGGCACGCTGCAGAGTCCTGGAATAAAGTGAGAAGAAGCCCCAGGGCTCGGGCTGCTTCTTGTCCAGGGTACCTGTGTGTGTCCACGTGCCAATGCCACGGGGCCCTCGCCTTCCGCAGGCCCCAGCAGTGGGGCCGGTGCAGACCTCGGCGATGCCCGCACCAGCCCGCAGCCTGTGCAGAACTCCCGTTCCTGCCACACCCACGAGGACCTGCACTGGCAGTGACGGCTTTAATGTTTCAGACCAAAGGTGACAAGATCAGACCCTGTGCGGCCCCACCCAGGCCGGGCACGGGGTCCTCATCGCGAGCTTGGCTTGGCTGGCACGCGGGGCCTCCTACTTCCCGTTCTCGGCGCTGAACATCCGCTCCTGCAAAGCGCAGGCGCGTCAGGGGCGTGGCACAGGCCCCTTCCCCCTGCACCCCCGGGGCGCGCCCCGGACCCCACCATCAGCATCCGCTCCAGCTTGACGGAGTCGGCCGCGAACTTCCGGATCCCGTCCGAGAGCTTCTCCACGGCCATCTGGTCCTCGTTGTGCAGCCAGCGGAAGGCCTTCTCGTCCAGGTGCACCTTCTCCAGGGGGCAGGCCTGGGCTGGGGGCGGCCGGGTGTGGGCGCGGGGCTGGGGCGGCCCTGCCCGCCCGCCCGCCGGGGCACCCCCGGGCACCCACCAGCCTTGGGCGACAGCGCGGGGCTGAGCTTGCTGCTGTCCTTGAGCAGCTCGGCCAGGAGCTTGGGCGCGATGGTGAGGAAGTCGCAGCCCGCCAGCGCCTTGATCTCGCCGGTGTTGCGGAAGGAGGCGCCCATGACGATGGTCTTGTAGCCGAACTTCTTGTAGTAGTTGTAGATCTTCGTGACGCTCTGCACGCCTGGGGGGCGGCCCGCGGTCAGCGGCCTCCCGGAGCCCCGGCGCCCGCCCCCGCCCGCGCCCCCTCACCCGGGTCCTCCAGCGGCTCGTAGGCCTTCTTGTCCGTGTTGGCCACGTGCCAGTCGAGGATGCGGCCCACGAACGGGGAGATGAGCGTCACCCCCGCCTCGGCGCAGGCCACGGCCTGGGCGAAGGAGAAGAGCAGGGTCATGTTGCAGTGGATGCCGTGGCGCTCCTCCAGCTCCCTGCGCGGGGACGCGGTGTCAGGCGCCTGGCCGCACGGTGGCCTCGGCCCACCGTGGGCTTTCGGCTGCTTTCGTTTCTGGCGAAGCCGACTGCCGTCTTTGGGACTGACCCAGGTGTGAGCGAGGGGCAGTAGGTCGGGAGAGCACGCGGGCGTCTGTCCGCCGCGGGGCCTGTCCCGGGGAGACCGCCGCCCGGTGGCCTTCGGGGGTGGGGGTGCTGGGCCATACCCAGCATCGCTAGGGGACCCTGAGTTGGCATCAGCGGCTTCTGCCCAGACAAGCCTGCCCACATGGCTGCGGTGGCCGCCGGCCCCGGGGACACTCACTTTCCGGCCTGGATGCCTTCCCAAGTGGACGAGAGCTTGATGAGGACCCGCTCCTTGCCCACGCCCAGCTCCTTGTAGAGGTCAATGAGGCGCCGTGCCCGGGCCACCATGGCGTCCTTGTCGAACGACAGCCTGTGGGGGGTGCCAGGCTGTGGCTCTGCCCCCGCCCGGCCCCCACCCCCGCCATGCCCCGCCTGGCCCGAGGCCCCACCTGGCATCCACTTCCGTGGACACGCGGCCAGGAATCTTCTTCAGTATTTCTGCCCCAAAGAGCACGTAAAGCTTGTCGATGGCATTTTTAACCTGTTCCTCCTGTGACCTGCGGTTCCAGAAGAGCAGCTGGAGCCCAGCCCGCTCCAGGTGGCGCGGCCCATCCTCCCCGCCCTCCCCCGCACCTGTGCACATTCCCAGTGGGACGACTGGGGACAGGCCGGGCACCGAGGATGCTCTAGGTGCAGCCAGGACCCTCCAGCTGGGCACGCCGGGGAGGCCGCGGCTCAGAGCGCTTAGGTGTCTTCTCAGAGGGACTCAGCAGGTGGGAGCAGGGGAGGTGCCCGCGGCCCACCCGCCCCACCCCACCCCAACACTCTTGGCCCTGTGAGGCTGCCAGGCCGCAGGTGTGGGGCGCCCGTCCCCCCGCACTCACCCGCCCAGCTTCTTGCCGTAGGCGATGGCCGCGTCCACCAGCTCCTGGTAGGCGGCCATCTGCGCGGCAGCCAGGATCAGGGACGGGTTGGTGGTGGCATCCTGGGGCTTGTACTCCTCGATGGCTGGAGAGGGCAGCAGAGAGCGGGGCGGTCAGTGGCGTGTTGTTTCTGCCCCGAACCCGAGCTGGACCCGGGCCAGATCCCCAGAGCCAGGCGGGGGCCGGGTGGAGAGAGGCCAGCCTGGGCACCCTGCGCCCGCTCAGGGGCCAAGTTCCTGGTGGCGGAGCCTCGGCCCTGAAGACGCCGAGGCCAGGAGACGGCCGTGGGGACGGCATCTGCCTGTGTGCGGCCTGCCTGGGTTCCAGCCCTGGCCCCGCAGAGGGGCCCCAGCACCACGGCCGCGCCCCAGTGAGCCCTGAGCAGCCAGCTGTCCAAATACCCAAAAAAGCAAGTAGCAGAACCCCAGATCAGGATCCGAAGGGCCTTTGCCTGGGGGAGCCGGACTTGGATCAGCATGTGTCAGTGCTGAAACACACACACACACACTTCACATGCTCCACATGGACACATTTTACGTGATCCACACACGCTCCATGAGCTCCTGACACATTCCACACAGAAACCACAACCACTGCACAGAGGCATGTTCTACATGGACACGCCACACACACACACACACACACACACACACACACTCCAGACGTTCCACAGACGCTCCCCACCATGCACACGTCCCCCACGGACACGTTCCGCGTGTCCCGCACCCGCCCCCCCCCCCCCGCAGACCGCCCGGCCTGCGCCCGCCCGAGGGGGGAGGCGACGTGGTCGCTGCTCGGGCGCCTGACCCGGGCCCAGTGCTCGGCCGTGGGCGGGGCTGAAGGGCAGCGGCGGGTCCGATAAACAAGCCGGTTCCCCAGGGCGCGGCCGTTTCTCAAGTCACCGTGAGAAGGCGCCGAGGAGGAAGTGGGCGCCGCCGCGCCAGGCCGCCAGTTTGCCGATTCTGGGGGGAGGTGCGGCCCGACCCCGCGCCCCCGCACGGCCGCCCCGGACCCCCTGCGCGCCTGCACGGCTGCCCCCGTCACCCCGCGCCCCCGCACATCAGTCCCGGACCCCTGCGCCCTGCACGGAAGCCCCCGGCTCCCCCCCCCGTCCCTACACATCAGCCCTGGACGCCCCCCGCCCCGCGCCCTGCACATCAGCTCCCGCCCCCCGCGCCCCTGCACAGCAGCACCCCCCTCACACCGCGCCCCTGCACCTAAGCCCCAGCCCCAGCCCCCCCGCGCCCCCGCACATCAGTCCCGGACCCCCTGCGCGCCTGCACGGCTGCCCCCGGCTGCCCCCCGCCCCCGTCCCTGCACATCAGCCCTGGACGCGCCCCTGCGCCGCAGCTCCCGCCCCCCGCGCCCCTGCACGCACGGCAGGCGTCACGGGCACGCAGGGTTCCGGGGTGCAGGCCGGAGGGAGCAAAGGTCCGGGGGTTCCAGGGCGGAGGGCGCGGGTCCGGGTGGACCGCGAGGGCGCAAGCTCCGAGGCTGCCAGAGGGGAGCAGGGCGGGGGAGCGACGGGCCGGGGGTCCGGGCGGGCGGCGGGCAGGGCGGCGGGCAGGGCAGCGGGCAGCGGGCAGGGCGGCGGGCAGGGCGGCGGGCAGGGTCCGAGCCCGGGCCCCGGCCGCCGCCGCCGCCCGCGCGGCTCACCGTTGAAGTCGCCCGTGTCCGCCACCACCGTGGTGAACTGCTTGAGCTGGTCCAGCGCGTTGTCCATCCTGGGCCGCTTCACCGGGGAGGCCGACATGGCGCGAGGTAGCCCTGGAGCCCGGCCCACAATGCTCCGCGGCAGGACGCGCGCCGGCCAATCGGAGCGCGGCGCGGCGGGGGCGGGGCCTCCGGCACTTCCGCCTCGCAGGCCCCGCCCCGCCTGGCAGGCCCCGCCCCGGCCCCGGCCCGCCCGCGGCATCCCGGGCGCAGCGGCCCCGCCGCCTCGGGGGTCCTGCCCTGCCTGGGTGCGGCGGGCCGGGGCACGGAGCGGGCGGGCGAATGCCCCGCGCGGTCGCGCCCTGCGAGCCGCGCCGGCCAGCGGTGCGGGCCGCTCCGCGCGCGCCTCCACCCACCCCGTGGCCTGCAGGTGGCCGCGGCGTGAGCCGAGGCTCGAGGACAGCCAGGCGTTAAGTCCCCGCAAGGGCCCTGCTGGGGCCCAGACTTTGTACTTTGCATGTGGGACAGGCCCTTGGCCACGCTCCCCAGGCCCAGTTGGACGCCGGCTGGCCGGGCCAGGGCATGTGCCACCGGCGTGTGGGTTTTGGTCACCGTCCACCGCCCGCCCCCTCCACCGGCGCCCGGTGCCCGGGCAGGCGAGACCGACCCGAGCGCGATGGCAGGGAGGAGGCTGCTGGGTGCTGGGTTCCGCGGGACCCGGGAGACGGCGAGCGGCGCCAGCCTTGCCGTCGGTTCCGAGAACCGAGCCCGCCGCACAGCCACAGTCCTTGGGGTGCCAAGTCCCGGTTCTCTGCAGGCTGGAGCCTAATGCTTCCTGGGGGGCTCTCCCTGCACGCCCCGCATTCTCAGTCCCCACTGCGGGCCTGAGGAGTCCTGCCGTGCATGGAGACCACCCCCCCTGCGGTGTCAGGGGCCTGGGGTGCAGGATGGAGCTCAGGTCATCACGTGGAAGCCGTGCGCCTTACCCGGCTTGAGCGCTTCCCCTCCCCGTCCACTCTTGCTTGTCTGGCGTCTGTCTTGCCTCTTCCCTGAACACCTCCTCAACGTCTCTCCTGTCCACTGTTTCTCCTTCTTTGCAGGGCCTGAATGGAGCCCAGGCCTTCATCCTGCCTTTGCTTTTGCATTTCCTTCCCTCTCTCTTCCCCACTGCAGACCA